CCCCCAGGCTTCACAATTACAACAGAAGCTTGCAATTTATACACTAAAAATGGTGCAGAAAACACTTTCGCTCTCATCAAAGCTGATGTTGAAAAAGCACTTCATCAAGTTGAAGAATTGACCAAGATGGAATTTGGCTCAGCTGAAAATCCTTTACTTGTTTCTGTTAGATCTGGTGCTAGAGTTTCTATGCCTGGTATGATGGATACCATTCTTAATTTGGGATTAAATGATGTCTCAGTAGAAGGATTGAGCAAGAGAACAAATAACCCAAGATTTGCATGGGATTCTTACAGAAGATTCATTCAAATGTTCAGTGACATTGTTTTGGATATGAAGCCAACAACTAAAGAAGACATCGATCCATTTGAAGAAATCATCGAAGGTGTTAAACATGCTAAAGGAGTTAAATAAGATACCGAACTTGATGTTGATGATCTTAAGACACTCGTTACCAAGTACAAGGAAGCTGTTAAAGTTAAAACAGGAAAAGATTTCCCATAAGAGCCATAATAATAATTATGGAGAGCTATTTAAGCAGTATTTGATAGTTGGAACAATGACAGAGCTAAATATTATAGAATTCTTAACAAGATTCCTGAAGATTGGGGAACTGCAGTTAATGTCTAAGCTATGGTTTTCGGTAATATGGGAAATACATCAGCAACAGGAGTTGGATTCACTAGAGATGCATCTACAGGAGAAAATATTTTCAATGGAGAATATTTGATTAATGCTTAAGGAGAAGATGTCGTTGCAGGTATCAGAACACCATAATAAATCACTTTGATTGGATCAAAAAGATGGGCTGAATTATAAGGAGTTGCTGAAGAAGTCAGAAAAGCCTAATTCCCATCATTAGAAGAATCATTACCAGAAACTTACTAAGAATTGAAGAATGTCTAAGAGAAATTAGAATAACACTTCAAAGATATGTAAGATATTGAATTCACTATTCAAAATGGAAAATTATGGTTATTATAATGCAGAAATGGTAAAAGAACAGGTGCTGCCATGGTTTAAATTGCTTGTGATTTATTTAGAGAAGGAAAGATTGATGAAAAGACAGCTCTTAAGAGAATTGAACCAAATAAATTAGATGAATTATTACATCCAATTTTCACTCCAGAAGCTTTGAAAACAGCTAAATTTGTTGCTAAAGGATTACCCGCATCTCCAGGTGCAGCTTCAGGATAAATTGTTTTCTTTGCTGATGAAGCTAAGAAATTTGCTCAAAGTATTTTAGTAAGAATTGAAACATCTCCAGAAGATTTGGAAGGTATGAACATTGCTAGAGGTATTTTGACAGCTAGAGGAGGTATGACTTCTCATGCTGCTGTCGTTGCAAGAGGAATGGGTAAATGTTGTGTTTGTGGTGCTGGAGCATTAAATATCAATTATAAATAAAGAACACTTGAAGTTAATGGAAAAGTTTATGCTGAAGGTGATTGGATTTCATTGAATGGATCAACAGGAGATGTCTTCGAAGGAAAATTATAAACATAAGAAGCATAACTCAGTGGAGATTTTGGTTTGATTATGGATTGGGCTGAAAAATATACAAGAATGTATGTTAGAACTAATGCAGATACACCAAAAGATGCTTAAATTGCTAGAAAATTCGGTGCTAAAGGTATTGGATTGACAAGAACTGAACATATGTTCTTTGAAGGTGAAAGAATTAAAGCAATGAGAGAAATGATTTTAGCATCTGATTTAGCTGGTAGATAAACTGCATTGGCTAAATTATTACCATTCTAAAGAACAGACTTTGAAGGTATTTTTGAAGCTATGAATGGATATGGAGTAACTATCAGATTGTTAGACCCACCCCTTCATGAATTTGTTCCACATGAAACTGCTTAATAATAAGAATTAGCATAAGAAATGGGATTAACTTTGGATTAAGTTAAATAAAAAGTACATGAATTAGCAGAATTCAACCCAATGTTGGGACACAGAGGATGCAGATTAGGAATTACTTATCCAGAAATTACAGAAATGTAAACAAGAGCTATTATTGAAGCAGCTCTTAACATCAAAGCCAAAGGATTAGATGTTAAACCAGAAATTATGGTTCCATTAGTTGGTAATTTTAATGAATTAGAACATTAATTGAAAGTTGTTAGAAAAACAGCTGATGCTGTATTCAAAGAGAGAAATGATACTATTCATTATTTAGTAGGAACTATGATTGAAGTACCAAGAGCTTGTTTAGTTGCTGATTAAATTGGTCAAATTGCTGAATTCTTTTCATTTGGTACAAATGATTTGACTTAGATGACACTTGGATTTTCAAGAGATGATGCTGGTAAATTCTTACCATATTATATTACAAATGGAATCTTGAAAGTTGATCCATTCTAAGTTTTGGATAGATAAGGAGTAGGAAAGATGGTTGAATTAGCTGTTAAGAATGGAAAATCAACAAATCCAAATTTGAAAGTTGGTATTTGTGGTGAACATGGAGGAGAACCATCATCAGTTGAATTCTTCCATATTGTTGGATTAGACTATGTCAGTTGCTCACCATTCAGAGTTCCAATTGCAAGAGTTGCAGCAGCCATTGCCAATTTAACCAATCCATGAGTATTTCATTAAAAAAATATATAATTATTTATTAATTCAAAATGTCTGATGTTGACATAGAAGACACAATAAACAGAATAAAAAATCACAAATCAGTCTAAGGAATTGTGATTGTAANAAACATAAGAAGCATAACTCAGTGGAGATTTTGGTTTGATTATGGATTGGGCTGAAAAATATACAAGAATGTATGTTAGAACTAATGCAGATACACCAAAAGATGCTTAAGTTGCTAGAAAATTCGGTGCTAAAGGTATTGGATTGACAAGAACTGAACATATGTTCTTTGAAGGTGAAAGAATTAAAGCAATGAGAGAAATGATTTTAGCATCTGATTTAGCTGGTAGATAAACTGCATTGGCTAAATTATTACCATTCTAAAGAACAGACTTTGAAGGTATTTTTGAAGCTATGAATGGATATGGAGTAACTATCAGATTGTTAGACCCACCCCTTCATGAATTTGTTCCACATGAAACTGCTTAATAATAAGAATTAGCATAAGAAATGGGATTAACTTTGGATTAAGTTAAATAAAAGGTACATGAATTAGCAGAATTCAACCCAATGTTGGGACACAGAGGATGCAGATTAGGAATTACTTATCCAGAAATTACAGAAATGTAAACAAGAGCTATTATTGAAGCAGCTCTTAACATCAAAGCCAAAGGATTAGATGTTAAACCAGAAATTATGGTTCCATTAGTTGGTAATTTTAATGAATTAGAACATTAATTGAAAGTTGTTAGAAAAACAGCTGATGCTGTATTCAAAGAGAGAAATGATACTATTCATTATTTAGTAGGAACTATGATTGAAGTACCAAGAGCTTGTTTAGTTGCTGATTAAATTGGTCAAATTGCTGAATTCTTTTCATTTGGTACAAATGATTTGACTTAGATGACACTTGGATTTTCAAGAGATGATGCTGGTAAATTCTTACCATATTATATTACAAATGGAATCTTGAAAGTTGATCCATTCTAAGTTTTGGATAGATAAGGAGTAGGAAAGATGGTTGAATTAGCTGTTAAGAATGGAAAATCAACAAATCCAAATTTGAAAGTTGGTATTTGTGGTGAACATGGAGGAGAACCATCATCAGTTGAATTCTTCCATATTGTTGGATTAGACTATGTCAGTTGCTCACCATTCAGAGTTCCAATTGCAAGAGTTGCAGCAGCCATTGCCAATTTAACCAATCCATGAGTATTTCATTAAAAAAATATATAATTATTTATTAATTCAAAATGTCTGATGTTGACATAGAAGACACAATAAACAGAATAAAAAATCACAAATCAGTCTAAGGAATTGTGATTGTAAATAGTGAAGGTGCTATTACTAGGACTACTTACTTAAATGAGAAAAAGGATGAAGGTAATTTTAATAATCATCATCTCAGGTGATACAATAGCTAAGTCTATTCCAATTTTGGCATAAAAAGCAAGATCTTTAGTTAGAGATTTAGACCCAACAAATGATTTAGCATTTTTAAGAATAAAATCAAAATAAAATGAAATTCTTATAGCTCCTGATAAAGATCTGTTATTAATAGTTATTTAAGGACCTAAAAAATAAGGAGAAGATGATTAATGATTAATTAGATAAGTATGCAATTTATTTATTCTAATTTATAAAATATGAATTAAAAATATTGGTGGATAGAGCAATTATAAATTATAATTTTCATAAAATATAATTTATATTAATTCTAATTTCTTTATAATAAAATATTATATCTTTAATGCTATAAAAATTTATTGTTGAAAATTAATTCATATAAATATTATCTTTTGTTTCATCATTAAGAATTAAAGTATCAAGCATTATTAAAAATTAAATTATTTGATAATTAAAGAATGCAAATATTTTTTAATTTGATAATTTCATTTTCAAATCACCTGATTTACGGTTTCTTTGTTTAAAAGGCTTTAATAAATTATTATATAATAATGTCTAAATAAAACCTAAGCAACTACATCAAATTTTTAAATCATCTCACAGAATTAGAACAAAAAGGTCTTCTCACTTCAAAGCAAAAACACCTTTTGAAAGTGAATCTAACAACTAAAGAATAAATATTAGATAAATTGATTTGCTCTTTTGATGATGAGCAGAATTATTAAGACGCCATACTTTAATATTTAAGTGCTATAGAACCATAAACTAAGTTTAGATGTCATTCTTCTGGAGAGAGTGAGACTCCAATGAAGTTTAGAAAAAGGCATAATTCTCATTCTAAAATTACTTCTTTTAATGAGTCTAAATTGATTGCCAATTTGGATGAGTTAAATGATCAATTAATGAATATTTGGTAATCAGATACTTAGTTTGTAAGATTATATTCATAATTTCTAGCTCTTTAATCAAGAAATTAATGAAAAATTAAGAAAAGTAGGAGAATTAATAAATAAAACAGCTACTTCTACACCATTTGGATCTTAAAAATAAGTTATTAATAATAGTGAGACTGTTTGTTTGATTGATAGTTTAAGATCTCTTTATAAAGACATGAAAGTAAAGATTATATTTAATTAAGCAACATTTTAATGATTATTTACGTTGTCATATTTTGTTGATGGATGATTAATTTACTACTGAGCATTTACATAAAGTCTTAAGAGCATTCATAAAAAATTTAGTTGATGCAGATGAAGTTACATTCATAATAAATAATGAATTATATACATCTAGAACTGAACAATTTCAAAATATTATAATTACAGAATAATAATAATAAGAGATCGATCTAATTCAAGATAAAAAATTAATTGATTTATCATAATTCTATCCTGAATTGGGAGTCCTTTTTTAAACTAATTAATATAAAGGTAATTATGCTCTTAAGATTTCAAATTCTTCTTGTATTTTTTGTTTTCATTAAAAAGGAGAAAAAAATATAATTATAGATTCTTTTCTATCTCTTTGTAATGAATATTAATTCTTTGATGAAGTAAATTAATTAGCATATTTTTTATTGGAAACTATTAAATAAGCTAGAGTTTAATGTTTTAATCCATTATAATTATCACATATGATTTAAGATATTGGAATAGCATTTATTAGATGTTCTAAATATATATTTATTTAAAAAGTCATTGAAATTCTTTAAGAAAGATATTAGGTTTCTAAAGAAAACACTTCATTTTCAAGTGGTTAACCTTTTATTGAATTTGATTTTAGAGATTCATTAAATTTGTGTATATATATCTGTATGGATTTGAATAAAAAAGAAGAAATGAATGTTTATAAATAATTGAATTTGAGTTACAATAAATACTTAAAGTTTATTAAATAATGTTATGATAGAACAACATTTTATAAATTCTTTGTAAAATCTTAGGATTCTTTAATATTTGAATTTGATAAATAGGGTTTAATAACATTTGTTTCATAACCAATAACTAATAAATTAGCTAATGATTTTGGTATAAATTTTAATCCATAAATGTTTAATGCATCTTATAAGAGTATGTTCAAAAATAAAAATTTACTATAGCATATAGAGAATTAATTATAAGAATAAAATTAATGGAAATTAACAGATAGTAATTCTACATATGAAGTATTTATGAAAATGGAAGAGAAATACTTCAAAGGATTTTTTGTAATATTTTAATAAGGATGGTTTAGATATGATTAGAAAGAATTTGATGCAAGTTAATGGAATAAATTAAGGAAAAGTATTATGCAATCAGAAACAAAATAATATTTAGATAAATTGGAATAAAAACATCCATAATTAAAAAATTCAGTAGTTCAAATGTTTAAACCTAAATCAACATAAAAATAATCATTATTTAAAAATTTTAGTCCAAATTTCAGTCCAAATCATTTAGATTAAAGAATTTCTCTTAAAGAAAGTGATAATGATAGGAGAATTCCTAAAACAAAAGGAGTGAATCACTTTTATTCAGATATGATTACAGATACTTGTATTGAAAATATAAATAATTTAAATTTTAATATAATACCATATAGTAGTGATTGGTTAGAGAAATAGAAAGTAGTATTTTAAATATTAAGAATAAATAATTTTATTGAAGATTATAAAATAAATGAAACAGCACTTTGCAATTTTTTATGTGCACTTGAATATAAATATAATAAAAGTGGAAATAAGTTTCATAATTATGATCATGGTGTTACAGTAATGTAATGTTCTCATGCAATAAGTTTAGAGATGATGAAAACAAAACATGCTAATTTGTTAACTTAATTTATTAAATTTGCTTTAATATTAGCAGCATTATGTCATGATGTATCTCATACAGGAAGAACTAATACATTTGAAATTAATAGTCTATCAAATTTAGCTATTAGGTATCATGATAAAAGTGTATTGGAATAACATCATGCAGCAACATCTATCAAATTATTATGTGCATAATCTACAAATATTATTCCTAATTTTAATTCAGAAGAATTTAGAGATTTTAGAAAATTATTTATATCCAATATTCTCTTTACTGATATTACTGAACATTTTAATTTGATCAAGAGTTTTGAAGCTCGTATATAAGAATTAAATTTTGGAACAGAATAAGATGTAAGATTAATGACAGGCATGATTATTCATACATCAGATTTTGCTGGTGGAGCTAAACCATTCCCTATAAGTAAGGAATGGAGTATTAGAGTAAATAAGGAATTTTAAGATTAGTATAATTTGGAAGGTAAATTTGGTTATCCTCAATTACCATATATGAAAGATTTAGATTAAGTATATTAATATTTCATAATAGTTACCAATTATGGCAAAATCAGAAGTGGGATTTTTTAAATTTATAGTTAGACCTTTGTGGGCAGTGATGTCAAAATTTATTGAAGATCGATTGTAAGAGAGTATTGATAATCTTGATTATACAATTATTGAATGGGAAAAGTTAATGATTAAATGATATTAAATATAAAAAAATGTCTGTTATTAGAGAATTGAGTCATCAAAAGAGAAATGTCGTTTTAGAATTATTTGGAACATCAAAAAGAAGAATTGAATAAAAAGAAAATGTATAATCTTCTATCAATCGTCCTTCTAAACGATTTAACTATCCATAATCTAGTAATGCTAGTAAATTATTATTATTCCAAATCCTCAAATAGACATCTTCTATTAAATAACCTCCGTATAAGTCTTCAAAGAAAAATAATGAAAGCACAGGATTAAATGAAAGCATATGTAGAAAAGTATCCAATTATTCTTAAAATAAAATAGAAAATATTACATATTGATATTTAAGAGCCAAAAACATATATAAAATAAGTTATTTCTCCTTATAGAGATTTTCGATCATAAGTCTCATTTGAAATTGCCCCTTAAACTTGTGTGACAGTTCCTCGAAAAATTAGTCAACCTTAATAAAATAATATATAAAGAAATTCTGTTCGAAGATCTAATAGTTTTAGAGATCTTTTCAAAAGTTAAATAACATTTGGTTGACACATTTAACTATATTGAATACTTAAAATATAAATATATTAATTTAATTTCTTAATATCCTAAAATCCCTCTTAATCATCAACATAAATTTAATAATGTCATAAATAAAAATTATATTTAATAAATAATTAAATACAATTACTACTTTATACTTATTCACAAAATATTTCTAATTACCTAAAATATCATACAAAAATATGAAATTGAAATTTCTAATTTGGTTTTTACTTTAAGTCAATATCTACAAAATTTTGACAGATTGCATCTTAATTTCAAAAAATTTAAATATAATATTCTTAAAATATATTCATTATTTCTATAATTTATTTGATTTATATATTTAATTAAGTTGAATATATTTATTAATATAATTATTTAATTAATATCTTATAAATTAATAATATATATATAATAGTACTTATAAATCATTTTCCTGCCTTTTATTTTAAATTAAACATAAATTCCAATTTAGCTAACTTTATATGAATATCAATTCTGAAAAATAATTTTCTTAAAATAATATCTTATTATCTTCTTTTAATATTTGATACTTTATCATTATTTTATGGTTTAACTTAAAGTTGAAATTATTTTATTGGAGACATATTAGTCTTTTTTATATTTGGTTCGATACTATTAGATCTTAAAGATTATGGAATTTATGATGTTGTTTAAACTTTTACTAATACTGGTTCTTTGCTCTTTTAATTTGAAAATGAGTTTAAGTTAATAATATCTAATAATTAAGCAACTGGAGTACGTTTACTAGGATCTTCTAAAATAGATTAGTCAATATGATAAACAGCATTACTATTATTTAGAGACTCTTAAATGATTTATCCTTTTTAATAATAAACTTCTGGTGCAACAATTTAAGTTTCAATTTATAATTGCTTAAATCTATTTGTATCAATGCTTGAACCTCTTGCACTGCTATCTCTTCTACTTCTTAAAGGAGTAAAATTCTTTTCTGGTCTTAGAGCACTACAATTAATTGGTTAAACTTTAATACGAGAGATAGCTTATTTTTACTCTGAAAAAGTCATAGAAGATTTATTATCAAATATTGGTTATTTAACATCAGATAATTAATTGACTTTTCTTAAAATTCTTGAATCATCCATTTAAATAGGTAATAATTTAATTAATTATTCTTCATTATCTTTTTAAGCTGATTCTATTTTAATTGATTGAGAAGGTTCTTCAATTTTCATTACTTAAACTATTCTATCTTCAATTAATTATTCTTCTGAATTATTATTATTTAAAATAGTGATTATAGGTTTTTATTCTTTTTCATTTAACTTTTATGGTGAATCTACTTTCTTTTCAATTATGTTTTCATTTTATTTTTCAGTCAAGACATTATTCAAATTTATTTTATTATTATTAAACTATTCAATATCAGGAATAATTTCTATTTTTTATATATTTTCTTATTCTTATTCTTATTCTTATTTTTTAAATAAATTTAATTTTGTAGGTTTTTTTTCTATTGACTAAACTGATATTTAATCAAAAATCTACATTATATTTGATATTTTATTGTTATCTTGTTTTTTTTCATTTTATAAAATTTACATAAAACTATCTTATTATTGATCAATAAAATCACTATTGCTTTAATAATCAATAACTGATTGTTATTCCATAACTTCAACTGTTTTTTTTTATTTTGAATTTTGAATTGTATCTATTTTCAAAAATGATTTTATTTATTTTTATTGAATTTCAGGTATTATAGTTTATGATTCAAAAGGTATAAATGAAGATGTTGATTCTTATTCATCTTTCTATGTTTATGACTCCAAAACTTAATCTAATGATTTTTCTGGTTTTAACTATAATTTATTAATTAAATTATTTAATTTAGATTAAACAGGTGGTAAATCTAAATCAGGAATCACAACTTTTTATAACTAAGTAGGATTATCTTAAATTAATATAGGTGAAACAATTTCCTTTTAAATTTATTAATTTTTTAATTATTCTAATCTTTTTTAATTTTATTTGATTTCTGTTTTAGTTTCAAAAATATCATTAATTAAAAATGCTTATCGTTTTAAATAGAATTTTCCTTTATCATCATCATCTTAACAAACACTCTATTCAAATGAACTCTCTTCATCCAAAGTATATAAACTATTATTTTATGTTTTAAATCTTGGTTAATCATAAGTTTCTCTAATGGATTACAATTTTTAATTTATTATTTTTTAAGGTGGAACTATTATATTTTATATCTATTCTACATGAGTATTCTAATCTTTATTTTCTTAACTTTTTTCTAATTCTTTTTATATGCATTCTTCATTATTTGGTTTTATTTGTAAATCAAATTGTTTTTTATATTATTCAAGCAATTTAGATGGTTTAATTTGTATTTCTTCTTATTCTATATTTATATCTTCTTTATTTAAAACAATTTTTTATTATTGTTATTCTTATACTGATTAATATTATTATTTGTCAAGTTGTGGTAATTTAGTTATTTCAAGAGGAACTATAATATCTGACTTAGATTTTTAGTTTCTTTTATAATTAAAAGTTGTATCTATAGAAAATTAATTGATTTCTTATTTCTTTTCAGAATTATATTCTATTTCTCTTGTTTCTTATTTGTTTGATCTATCAAAAAAAGATTCAAGTATATTATTATTTGTAGATTGACGAAATCTTGATTCTGAAGATAAATCATCTTTTCTATCATATCTATCTGTTAATTTATTAGTAGTATCAGATCTTTCAGTTTTATCACCTTTTACTTATCTACTTTGTCTAATATCTTAATTTCTTTTTTTAGATGGAGGATCCCATTAATCAAAAAGTTATTATTTTAATGTAGACACATTACTTTTACAAAATGTCCTTTCTAAAACTGATATAGATTAATCATTTTAATTAATTTTCTAAATCATTTTTAATTAAGCACAACAAAATTAAGAATAAATATCTGAATATATAAACTTTATTTCTTAAAATTCCTTTCTTTTACAATTGATTATAATCTCATTTCCATAATTCATCTTTTTAAATAATGTCTAATTCACATAAAATTAATGAGTTGAAAAATCATCTAAATTCCATTACAAAAGAGATTTTCCTTATATTGCAAATATAAATTTATTATTAGCACTAATATCTTCAAGATTATTGATTTTTAATTTAATCATTTTATTTGTATAACAATAAGCTTCTCCATTTTCTGTTATAGCTATACCACCAAATTAAAATAATAAAGATTTCTTAAAATATCCATTAATTCCTAATCCATTTAATTATTGAATTGGTACTTAAGTATCATTTTCAATATTAAATATTTTACCACCAACTAATAAATATATATATATTTTTATCTACTTGTAATTAGAGTAAGTTTTTCTTTATAAGTACTTATGTGTTTACAATGACTATATATTGTTTTATTAGTTTTCCACCAAAATCCTCTTCCAGAATGATCTATTGCAGTTGTTGGAGTAATAGTCATATAATTTTTGCCTTAAACTAATTGCTTAGGTTATGAATCAATTGAATATAGATCTCCACTATCTTTAAACAATATATTAATTTGTACTCATTAAACAATATATTACTTTTCCATCTGAACTAATTTATTGGACTCCTGAAAGTACATTGATAGCTTCTTACTCAGTAAATTGTGTGATCTAATCATCACTAACTACTAGTCTTTTTAAGTTGTGGTTATTTATAAAATAAAGCTAAGCACCCAACTTTATAGCCTAACTAAAATTGAATCTAAGCGATTAGATATTCTAAAGTTATCATTAAAAGTATACATCCAACTAATCAAAAATAACAGACATATTTTATATTCGTTAATATTATAAATTATCAATAATTAAACTAATTCTAATTATTCATAATTTTAAGTCAATTTTACTTCTACTCTTAAATCATCATTATTTATGAACTTAATTGTTAATCATTATGTTTATTTTAAACAATCAATAATTTTATAATTTTAATATGATTTTTATAATTATAATTAGATTTATATAATATTTAAAATAACATACCTTTCTTATTAAAATTATAGCATAATGATGATTATTGAAAATTTGATAAATTATTTAATACTCTAAAAAACACTATAAATTTAAAATCCATCAATATTTCAATAATAATAAGAAAAAAAAACATAAATATTTATTCTAATAAATTATTTTTGATTTCAATTCTAAAATCTACTAGAAGTAAATAATTATTTTAAATATCATTTATTTCATTTTAATTGAATATTTAATGATTTACATTTAAAAAAATCTAAAATCTTTAAGAATTATTTCTTTCTTTCTTGTTTAGTATTTCATTTATGATAAATTCAATAAAATATTATTAAGAAATTATAAAAATATTAAAATGAATTCATTATTGGAACTTTTAGATTATCATGATGAAAAAGAAAAGGAGATCTTTGAATTGTAAATATCGCATGCTATTCAAGCCTTAATTCAAATAAAAATAATATGATGGATTTTTTGAAATTGGTAATCGAGACCCCTAGTGACTTACATCCAAAGTATGTCTAAATACTTTAATTAGATATCCATTCATTGTTAGTGAATTAATGTTTGGAAGCTATGAACAATTATTATAAATGATGTTTGAATGGGATGGAGAACCTATTTAATATTTGCTGACATTCTTCAATTATCCATAAAATGACACTTCATGTGGTTATTTTGAAAAAATGATAAGACCATTAATTTTATTAAAATCAAATGAAATAAAACCCTTTTTAGAGATTTCTAAATGGATTTAATTTATTGATTAAGAGTCAATTCAAAATATATTCTAAACAATATTTGCATGCAATAATCTGGATGAAAATTATAAACAAGATTTGTTGGGAATACTTTTAAATTAAAACAATATTAATGAGAATTCATTTAGAATAATAATTAAATACAAAGACTTATTACAATAATACTTGAATCAACATTAAGAAATTGTTGGAATAATATGTAATTAATCACCCCCTACTTTATATTAATTATACACTATAGAAATATTTATGGGATGGAACATACTTAATTTATAATGGCTTCATAACTAAATTAATTATTTGGATTAATTAGTCTATAGAAATTTTGAATTTTGTAATTCAACAATGAATTTTCTATATAAACCATAAGGACTCACAGAAATTGATTTAAAAATCATTCACATATTATCATAAACATTAACTAGACCAGAGACAATTAAATTTTAAAATATATTATTAGAATTGTTAATCAAATATGAATGGAATAATAATTTATAAAATATAGCTGTAAATATGTATGAATCAATGTCTAAAGAGGAAACACCTCATAAATAATATGTATTTTAATATTTTGATATTTAGTTTCAATCCATAATAACTGATTTCATAACAAATAAAGTAAGTTTTGAAAAATTTGAATTTGGATTAAAAAGAAAAGTGTAAAGAGGTTATAGATGGGTTTTTACTAGAATAGTAAAATACTTCTAATTAAACTTTGATTAGGCTGAAGAAATTACAACATTAGAAGGGAAATTTTTATTAAATGAAGACCCATCTAATAATAGAGATAGATAATCTTAATTTATTCTAGAGAAGGTATCAGAAAGAAGGACATAATGGACAAGGAGGATATAAGAGGAAGACATATAAAGAAAAGAGGACAAAGAATAAAATCAAATGGAAGTAGAGGAAGAAAATAATGAGAATGATTAATTTTTTTAACCAAGAAATAGTTTTGGTATAAAACAAACAAATAATGAAGAAGAAGTAGAAGATGAAATACCATTTAGAGGAAGGTCTAGTTGTCAATTCAAATAAGATGATTTAGATTGATTTGCTAATTTTTGTTTATTTTTAATATGATTGTCACTAAATATTTAATGAAGCTCAAATTGTAATAATCAAAATTTAATTTGTTGGGAATAGATTTAGGTACAGCATTCACTGGATTTAGTGTAACCTACAATCTATAATAAGTTTTAGTATATGATTTGCATTATAGTCCATGCTATTCACCACATGATTCGACATTATATAAAAGAATTATATAGATTATAAATAAGGAAAAGATTGGAGGAATTTTAATTGGGAAACCTTAATTTTAAAAGGGTTATATAGATGAATTTACATAAGGCTTAGAAAGTAATTTAATAGCTGAAGGATTGTAAACATTTATTACATAAGTTGGTGAAGATTACACAACTAGTAAAGCAAAGAAAATATCTAAAACAAATAATAAATATTTGCATGATGGCATGGCAGCCATGCTTATTTTATAATCATTTTTAAATGAATTATGAATATTAATTTCTATTTGATAATATATATAATTAATATATTAGTTATCACAATTACTCAAATTAACCTATTAAACACAAATATGATCCTAAATATTAGAAAATAGCCATCTATTATATGTATAAAATAAAGATTTAATTGATAAATAGAATTCATAATTAATTGACAATATTGTCTAATAATAAGAATAATAACATTTTATAGGTAAAACTAAAATTAGTATAAATAAGTACAATATTAATATGAGTATAAGTAGAATTCTAAAGATAATACAATTTAATTCTTAAAATCAATAACAATTAAAATATATTTTTCAGCAGTAATCTGGTACTCTTATAGAGTTAACAGATTTTAGTTTCACATATTCATCAATTTCGAGAGACATATCTTCAACCTATAAATTGTAACCTTCTAATGAATCTAAATTATATAATTAGAGACTAGCTGCTTTTGCTGCTCTACTTTATATTCTTTTTGGAAGAGAAGGTAATTTTTAGTTAATTACTTTTGTGTTATTCATAGAATATGATTTTTGTCTGGATTATGTTACCTATAAATCTTCTCTACTTATTTATTTTGATTTTTGGTTTGCCAAACTAATTAATTTTTCATACTTTTTCCTTTCTTTTTCTTTAAAGTTATCTGGAGAAATTTTAGTACAATTGATAGGAGAAAATTTTAGAAAGTGTTCACTCTTTTATTTACTTGATGGAGTTATTTTCTTCAAATTTCTACATCCCCATTATTGACCATATCTCATGGGAATTACAACAATATTTAATTTCTTTTGACTATCCTTTTACATCTCTTTCAGCATTAAATCATAAATAATTTATTTTATGCTTTTTTGTTATGTTTTCATAGGACTTTGCATATAATAATAAATTATATTAAGACTTATTAATTGATTAAATAAAATAACAAATGAATTAAGAACAAGACTAACATTAGCCAAATTAGTAATATAAAAATCCATTAGAAGAACAATTGCATCACAAAACTTATTCTAGATTAATGAGTGTTTGTTTTGCCTTTTTTGTATTCTTAGGAATATTGTAAACATATCATATATTCAAAACTAAAAGAGAAAGAGTATTGACATTTTTATGAAAGTTTTTCATGTTAACAATTTACATATATTTTTCAAATTGATTTCTTGTATTACAAAATAATAAAATGCTTTTTTTTATAAATTAAACAATATAATTTTATTTATAATTTTTATATTGTGATTTTTCATATCTTCATAAATTTATTACTTTTATTTATAATTTTACATATTTTTAATGCAACACTTTAATTAATAGTTAGTTTACTTTTTTATTCTTTGCTACTTCTTTAATTTCTCTTAATTCTTATATAAAATAAAGAATATATTATACTTAAAAAGCACAATAATTATATTATATTCAGGGTAGTAGATATCAAAATCTTACATTCTATCTAAATCGACTTTATAGATATCCTCTATACATATATTCTTGTCATAATAAATATATACCTCATTACCTAAAGTTAAAAATTCAGTGACAGTAGGCAAACTTGGATTTTATAATCTAACTATAGGACTTGGATTACTTGATAAAGTAGGTATGATTTTCAAAGAATTACCCTTATTCAGTAAGTTTGAAATTTTCATATCAAAAATATTCTTAGATTAAAGTTTCTATTATTTTGATGATGAAGTTGGTGACATCATTTCTTGATATGGTAATTCTTTCTATCCACTTTATTTCATATTCTCATTATATAAATCATATAATAATAAATTGCTTGAATCTCCATGAAATTTTGACTCTCTTTTATCTAAATTTTATTCTAATTCACTAGATGATTACTAATTAAACTCAGAAGAAATTTCATCATTTGAAACATGATTTATTTACATTTCAATTAATTTCTTAAAATGATTTCGAAATTAATCATAATTTCGTTTTCTTCTTCTATTATCTATTAGATATTCATTATTTATTACATGATATTCTAGATTAATATGGAGAATAAAGATATTAATCAAAAAAATCAATATTCTTTTTTATTAGATGTATTTTTGGGCAATTGTTTATTATATGTGTCTTATCTTAACAATATAGACAAACTGAATCTATTATTTAATAATTATTATTAAATAAAACTTAATCTTTAATAAAAGTAGCCATTTCCTATTATTATCATAATTATTATACCAAATCTTAAACATTTGATGAAATTATTTTTAGAAATTTATCTCTACTTAATTTATAAAGGAGGCAATAATCTAAACATGTTATCAAATTTTTGTTCTCTTAACCAGTAAAGAAAGAATATTAACCAAAACATTGGCCACCAAAAATTTGATGATATTCTGGTAATGTGTCTGTAAGACCATATGCAACTTTACCTTAATTTAGAAGATAAATATTATATTAGTCACCATATTGATTACAAATTAATTTATCATTTGCATTAAGTATCACTGGAGTAAGATTTTAAGCTATCTATTGTCTAGTTGATTTTGAAAATTTAGAAAATATAGAAAATTAATTTACAAAATTTATTAACTTTTATTCCTTAAATTCTTAAAATATTTATTCTTTTTCTAAACATTATTCAAAACAATTTTCAATAATTTATGAATTTTTATCCCTTGAAAAAATTTAATCTAACTTTACAGAAATTTACTATTTTAATGTTTAAGAAATTTTCTATTGATGCAAGAATCTTTAGAGCAGTTTCAGATCTTTGGTTTTTTTGTATTCTTAAAAAAAGTCAAGAGAATCTAAAATTATTAGCTTTAACAATAATATTTTATAAAACAAAAGGATTACTATTGTACTCATATTGAAAACTCGATATAATAATTTATCATCTTCTAAATTAAATTTCACATTTCCTAATTAAAGAATGTAGTTAATATATATCTCTAAATAATCGACAAATATTTATTCAACTTCTTTGACTTCTTAATTTATTATATATTATTATCTTAAATTGATACAAGTAAAAAAGTGACATGCAAGTAAGATTTATATAATCTAAATATTTAAATCACTTAATTCATAATATAATCGTTTATTATATGTACAAATTATCTTTCTACAAATTATAAATTTAATAAGTATCAAACAAATTGTCTTAATAAATTCATCATCTGCAAAGATTAACACAGTAAGGATAGCTATTGAAGATGTATCCATTAATATTGTTTATGAATTTAAAATAAGTTTAAGAAATTATTTATTATAATTTAACTATTCTTCTTAATATCGTTATGATGTATATTTATAAATCTAATCCAAAATACATAGAACAATCATCGTAATATACAAATACTTCTAGTAAACATTTGATTAGTATATGTATTCAATTGGACTAACAATTAAGAGTAAACTACAAAACAAAAGTATAATAGAATCCCAAATTATATTTAATATTGGATAAAGTGAATTCTTATAAACTTTTTTTCCAGTGTTTAAAGGAGAAAATAATAATGAATTAATAATTTTGTATTATTTGCTTCCTATAGCGAGATGTTATTTTAATTTGTCAATAAATATAATAACCTTTTATTATGTATTCATTTCGGTAATATTGATTTTTACATTTGTTTATTACCTTTGATTTCGAAATTTCCAACTAATTCCTTTAGATTCCTTATGAGCTTTTAAATCAAAAACTTCAAATGCAGGAGTCTTATCTTCTTCTACTTAGTAGGATGGTTGTCTGGGATGAGTAATTTTCATTCTTTTTCCAACTTGAAAAGTATTTTCTTTCTAATCATTATTTATCCTAGACTTTAGAAATTAAAATACATTATACTTCCATCAGAAGGACTAAGAATTAAAAATTCATTTTTCATTTCATCTTATATCATTTATTTTTAAATAATAAATAATTAATTGCATGATGCTCAATGGTTAATTTTAATTTTTAAACTTCTTAAGAACTGAATTAATGAATATTCAATCTGAATTATATTAATTACTAGTGATTTTTTAATTTATCAATGTTAAGATTTTATAATTTTAAAGTGAAATATGTATTAAATCGAGTGATATAAAAAATTAACGATAAAAAACTTCCTTGATTAAGAAATCAAAATTATAGTATTTAGATTTGATTATAAAAATATTTGGTTAATAAAAATTCAATATTATCCAATGATCTTAAACTACATAATGAATATTAGAATATACTTTTCTTAGAATTAAAAAAAAATAAAATCAAGATTGTCAAGTATCAGACATTAATAACCATATAGATTACATAAAGCTAACTATTTATTAAATATAAATATTAGCATTTAAATTAAAACTAATAGACTAAATATCAACTGTATCAAAATAATTTAGATATCTAAATAGTTATTTAAAATTCTATGTATAAATATAAAATATTCAATTTTTGAAAAAGTAAATGTACACCCAACAAAATTATAATGTTACACTAGCATAGAGCAAAACTCTAGATTTATCCTGTTATCTATAAACAATTATTAAAAGCCACAACATTATTCGAATAAATTCAACGAATACTCTGCATAATTTATAGAAGTTTGTATAGCATAATAAATGTAAAATTTCAACAAAAAACATGCAGAGAATATCCAAGATCATTATTCGAAAGTATGGCAATTTTTAGATTATAGTTGTTGTCTTGTCAATAACATATAAAATTAGGCCAATAAATAGGTTTAGTCTAAGTAAATGTATATCCAAAAATAAAGGGTAAGAGCTAATTAAAGTTAAAAAGAGAGAACAAACATTATCATTCTTCATCAATGGCCATACTTTCTTTAATCTCATATATGCTATCCCACTCATTATAGTTTAAGTTTAATGGAGGTATAATATGAAAGAACTTTTATAGTTAATTATTTCCTTACATAAGTATTAAGAAATAAATTGATAAACTATGTTTCAGTCCTACATAACAAACAGAATCAAAATGATGATAATCTTAGTTTGCAAGCAATTTTTCAATTGCCTCATAAATTTGAATTATCATTAAAATATTAATTGTATTTATTTTTTTTTATGATAAATATACAACCAATATATTCAATTATTTAATACATCTTTCTAATAATATTAAAAGTATATAAGTATTTAGCGTATATTTCATTAGAAGTTAAAATTAATTGACAAATCCGTATATATTATAAATAATTATTAGATTCACTACAACTGAGTTGTTTATTATATTTCCTCCTTAGTTCTTCTTTTTCTCTTTTATTTAACTTAAATTGCTTCTTTTTTTGCAATATCTTTCCTTATTCTAATAACATTATCTTATTTATTGAGTAAAACATTCCAATTTGTTAGAGGATCCTCTTCTTAAATAACCAAAGAATCAAAATAGGATTCATTACATTTGACTCCTAAATTTTACGATAAACTTAATAAAGTTCATTTTTACTTTTAAAGTACGCTCTTAAACATATTCTTTTCTCTTATCATCTTTTATTTTAATTTAGTGTAAGTGGTTTCTAATTTTATGATATATGTAATCAAATTGGTTTAATCACTCATTTTTATTTTTATAATAAAATTAAACAAAAAATAGAAGACCAAAATTTGCAAGGTAATTTTTTCTATAATATATTTTTCAATTATGAATTTGAATCGAATTCCTTTAGCTCCTTTAACACCTATGCAAGTATAATAACTTGCTCGTTTGCCTAAAGTACAAAATATTCAAAATTAATTAACTTGTCCCAATACTATTAAAAATAACCTAGAATATAGTAAATGTTCATCAACAAACTATTAATTTAAAATTTATAAGAAAATTGTCTTAGAACTTCTTAATTCTATGTAAATAACACCATTCTTAGAATTTATATATGGCTTACACTTTGAATTTAAGACTCCTTTTCATATTCACATTTGTCCAACTTAAAGCCTCATAAACTTTTTAAACCTCCATTATGATATTAAATAGCTTTATAGAATTTATGATAGTATCTATAAATAAAATAATAAAAAAATCAAGATTTATTTGAATATCTCAGAAATCGATCTAATATTATAATTATTGAGGTCCATAGTTAAATAAATGCCTCATATTAGTAGAATAAGAGAGGTTTTAAAGAATTAAACAGTAAGAGATCTTGTAAGTATTAAAAACACATAAATTGAAGATCCTAAATTAAATTAAATAATAACTATGATTTAATATATATTTAACTCTTCACTCACAAAAATTAATAGTTAAATCATAGTTAAGAAGGAACTATAGGAAAATATACAAAAGGATCAATCTTTTGAACATATTCAAAGTAATGTTCAGTAAGTAATTATATCCTTGTTTTTATAATATTGTTTGTATAGTAAAATAATACTTCCAGAAATAATATATTCCTTAGTTTTGTTGAACAAAAATTCTAAGAATTTAACTTTGGATCCAAGTTTTGTTAACGATATTCCAGATTCAAAATAATATGATGAATTTAAAGAGAAGATTAAATATAGAAAATACTTAAGGATTTCTAATTTATAAGGACTTATTGAATATGAAGACTATATCATCTCAGAATTTTAAATCTCTTATCCAATGAAAAATTTAGAAAATGATTTATTATAAACTATAAACTTAGTCCTTGAAAATTATTAATAAATACTAGATAGATTAATTAGAATATTTTCAAGTAAAAGAATTGGTACAACACTTCAAATCTTGGGTTCTAATTCATTAAGTTAAATTGGAATGAATATATTTAATACTATTCTTGACATCGAAAAAGCTTTGAAAAAAAGGGAAACTATTTAAAAAAAGAGAATCCCTAAAATTAAGTTGAAAATATAAAAAATTTGATATGAAAAAATATAATAGATTATATTATAATATTCATCCTTTTAATTCAGGTAAAGAGCTAATTGCATTTTTCCAAACTTCATACGGTGTCTGCACTTTCTATTGCTATTGTTATTATTATTATTATTATTATTATTATGATTATTATTATTATTATTATTGTGATTATTATTGTGATTATTATTGTTATTGTTATTATTATTATTATTATTATTGTTATTAAATTTAGTTTGCTTATTGCAATTAGATAGAAAATTAAGTATTGTAGCCTCCTAATCTACTGAATTCAAAATTGGATTTACAAAAACTGTTTGAATACTCACATGATAAATTAAAGAATTTATCATATGTTGGTAATTCTTCTTTTTAAATTTGCTTAATTACTGAAAAAATTTACTTTTAATTATATTTTTTTTCTTTCTGAATTCCATAATTATTCATAATGACTTGGATATTATTCTGGGATATTGTGTTTTTTTCTTTTTTTTAATAATTAATCAGCTTTATTTAATTCACTAAATATTAGCAGGATTTTATTACTTATTTAAAAAATCAGAACTTCTTGATGTTACAAAGAATTTATGAATGAGTTGACATTTGTCTTTTCCAAACCATTAAATTCCTTTTATAAATTATGATACTTCTTTTTAATTCAAATATTCATATTAACTTAGTTTCCATGTTTTAATTTTGTTCATTTAAGCATTACTACATATTGAGTTTTTATATTTGTTTTTAATTTGTTTCAGTGTTTTTTCCCACAAAAATTCCTTTTGAATTGCCTCCAATTTTTTACTTCCATGTTTTTATAAACCCTAGAATAATAAGTCTTCATCAACTGGTGTAAATTTACATCTAACCTTGCTGATTTGATATTGCTATGGCAAATAACTAATTTAAATAAGAGGAATATATTTCTTTAAGATAAGTATTTTATCATCAAAGTTCTTGTTAATATTTTCCAATATTGTTTTAAACTATTTTAATAGAGGCAATTAAAAAGAACTTTATAAAGGAGAGACTTCTATAGTTAGAGGATTGTCATTAAATTAAGACAAATCAATACTGTATAACTATGCGTGATCTTGCTTTTCTAACTACTCTAGCATCAATATTGTTTTTTATCTTAAGGCTTCAGATTTACAAAACAAGGCATTTTAAATCAATAATTATACTAAGATTTCATATTAAGCGAAAATTTAGATGATTTAATGACTTTGCACAAGAGTCTAGTTTAATAAAGAAATATACAAACTTTACATCCTGATTAGGTAGGATTGTCTAGTACTTTTATTAACAATATTATAATGTCTTTAAGTACTCTGGCTACATCCAATTAATTTATTTAATTATATAATTTATATAAATAAATTGCTTTGATGGAACAATTATTTTTTTTAATGATTTTATCGCATTTCATTTATACCAAAAGTATTTTTATACATTAAGATTCTGTTAGAAAAGTGATAAGAATATTCAATTTTGAAAAATTATTTTCAATTTTTGATAGTCTAATTCTAAGCTTTGACACAGAAAGTAGTAAGATTATTAAGTACTTTAATATATTATTAAAATTAGATCATAAATCTAATTACAATTCTATTTTTTTTATTATTTTTAAGATTTGAGATAAAAATGGAATTCAATTGTATTATTGAAAGGGAATCGTTTTAATTAAACGCAAAGGATAGATCATTGTCAATTTCCAATAAGTCAATTTAATACACATTTGACCTTTCGTTGAAGGTTCTAATAACCTGGTTATTTCGTGAAAATGAAATTAGTGGGTTTCTATTAGAAAATCTTGTTGTGGAAGGAGATGGTTTAAATATGAAAAAACTTAAATAATTTCTAAGTGGTAAAATTACATTTTCAGGGATTTAAATCTTCTATTTCTTTCATGGAGAGATAAATGTCAATAAAAATAATGCCACTAAAGTATATATATAAAATTAAAAAGGTTTGTACTCTCATCAATAGACAAACGAAATTAAAATTCTCTTGTAAATGCTTTAAGAAAAGTGTATTAGGAATCGAGAAAATTCATAAAGAGATTGAAATAATATAGAAGGTTTCTAAACATGGATTTGCCCCTAAAATTTATGAATGTTTTGAATCAAATAATTGCATCTATCTGATTATGGAAAATCTGGAAAGAATATAAGTTTAAGAATTTATGGATGATGATATAAGAGTATTTCTATATGTAAATTACTTTTATCAATTTAGAATTTGATTTAAACCATTACTTCTCTTCACAAGGAAAATATTGTTCATAAGAGCATAAAGATGTCACACATTTTGTTTAGCGAAGATAATAAGTTAAAATTGGTTGGATTTGGACAAGCTAATGACACAAATATTCAAAATAATGAGTTTAGACTGGATATTTTTAAAATAGGGATGATTATGTATAAATTGTAAAGATTTTATTTATAAAATAGCTACTAAAAATAGAATTTTCAAATTGATTAACTTCCTGTTATTCCAGATGAGGGAAATTCACTAATATAATCTCTATTGGACTGGAAAAATGATTCACCCTTTTAATTGAACATGTTGTTAAACCACTCTTACTTCAAATTGTTAAAAAATGAAGGAATACAATTATGTATTAATATTTTTTCTATTATAGAAATTTAATGTATGAGCCCAAAATTCAAAACAAAGGTTTATTAAAATGAGGATGATGAATCAAATTTTTGATAACTATATTTAGAACTTTATAAGTTTTTAATAAATTTGAAAAATTTTCTTCTATTTTTTTTATTATAAAAAGAATATGTCCAAGTTATATATTATAGAAGTACAATTATGTGAAAAACTACTGTTGATTTTTAAATTAAAAAATATTCTTTATTTTCTATATATATAAGAGATTTCTTGAATTTCTAAATTTTTTATTGATAATAAAGATTATTATTAATTAAATTAACCAAAAAGAATTTAAATCATTTTAATTATTTGTTAATATAGATCAAAATAAAAGTATTAATTGAAAATAAATATGAATAATGAATCAATGAATCAATGAAAAATGAAAACAAAATATTTTATAATATAAAATAAATCATAATGATTGATAAAACTCAATTAATTATTATAGATTACCAAATAATCTAGTTGAAAATGTTCTTTTAGTTTTTTGTTTAACTCTTTCTAATACAGGACCATAATCCATAATTGTTGTTTCTGGTCTTCTTTTCTTAAGTGCTATCCATTCATTAAATAGATCTGAGAGTAATAGTTAATGTAATTTCTTCCAAAAATTCTCCTCCTTTAATAGAAATCTGCAAAAATTTTTAAGTGCTACTCTATCTGCAATTTCCTATAAGTTAATTTCAATTATACCTTTCTATCTCTTTCATCAAGTTATTCTTATAAATGAAAATATCGCTTAATGAAGAAAGTGATATTGATAGAAGAAGCTGCAAAATAAAAATCATTTGATGATTTACACATTTCTTTAACCATAGTTTCTTTATAATCACTCACAAAATTGATAATATCATCTAATGATTATACTCCACCTCCTCTAAAATCTGTAGTTGGATCAGCCTATTAAAACCCAAACTCTGTCCATTTTTAATTTCTAATCTCTTCCAAATCATTTTCTGTTAATAAATACCATAAACCCTTTATTCTTTTAACACAATTTTCATCTTCATGAGAATATAAAGGATATAATTCAACTCTTAGATTCCACCATTCTTTAATTTCTTGATTTGACAAATTATAAGTTTCATCAAAACAAGATGATAAGTACTTTTCTTTAAATTCCTTATTTTTTGCATGAGTATGTGGCTCATGAGCCATTTATATTTCAGTCCATGGGTGACTCTTTGGTTGATGTATAAGAACTATAGTTTGATCCTTTTGTTATATTTCTTAATTCATTTTAAAAATATTTTCTTTTCTTACATTCTTAAAATTAATTAAGAAATAATAAGTACAAAATCTTCATATAATTTATGATAGAAGACAATCTATCATAAATTATTATATTAAAACCAGACTTTATAATTATATATAGAGAATGCTTTTAATAATCATATTGATAATTAATTAAGTTACTTACTAAAAAAAGGGAAAATATGACCAATTATTTACTCTTGATTGAAATAAATATAACTATACATTAAAGATAATTGAATATATGAATAATAATATATTTTTAGATTGTATAACTTTATATTTGAATCATTTTAATTGATTCAATACCTAATCGAATGTAGGCAATCTATTGGCTAATCCTCCTTCAGCTACTAAAGTAGGTCTACTCTTCAATAAATCAACAACAGCTTTGTTTATTTAATCTGATGTAACTGCATCAATATAAGTGGCATAATCATTGATTTTAATTGCATTGAATACTTTCAACTATAATATATTATTTAAAATTTTACGCTTTTAGCAGCTTCTTCTAATCTGTCTGAAGTTCTTTCAAGAGCCAAATACAATTAAGTCTTTAAAATATTCTTAGCTCTTGTTAATTCAGTGTTTGAAATAGGTCCTGTAAGAGCTTTCAATTCATTTACAACACTACTAAGTAATTCAGATCCTTTATCTGCTGATCCGATAATTTTAACTCCAAATAATCCAGCATCAGAAAAAGTAAAATTCAAACTTTCAACAACATCAGCATATGAATTCTTGTTTAAGACTATATATATTATGATATGAATAAATACTGTTTCTTTATAATCTTGATTGAGCACTTCCTTATAATCCTAAAAGAGCATTGAGTACTTAGAATACTGCAGCTTATGAATTTGTCCAGTTAGTTGATGGGAATAATAATGCAATGGCAATTTCATTGTCATCAGTTAAATTTCTTACTTCACCTCCAACATATTATGTTTATGCTCTAACTTTAGAAGTTTAACCAGCAGGAATAAATCCAAGGGAATCTTAAACCAAACTTACAAATTCAGTATGATTGTAGATTCCAGCACCAGCAACAATAATTTTAGATGGATTGATATTTTCCAATTAAAATTTCTAAATTGTATAAGCACTCAAATTTCCAATATTAGTTTTAAATCCTCTTAATGGCATTCCCAAACCAGTCAAACCAAAAGCAGTCTTAAATATTGTTTCATTAAATCCTTCTCCACCTATAAATAAAATCTTAAATTAAATTACTTTTAATGATATTTTCCAAATTATGTGTTCCATAATTTTTTTCAACAGCAGAATTTGCAGCTACTACTGATCTTGGTTCTAATGCACAATCAGATACGACTTTGAATACATCTACTACATCATGTGCCAAACAATGTGCTTTGAAGTATGCACTTTCTTAATCATAATCCATTTCAAATTCACCTCCTGATTATTGAATAACACCACTAAATAATATTAGATGCTAATATACTAGTTGATGGTTTCATTTGTATTTAAAACAGTCTTGTAATAAGTATTTTTGATAGACAATAATGATCCTGATGTTTCATTTGTCTCATCTCTAGTACCAACATCCAAAAGAATACCAACATCTACTCTTGAAGGAGATGAAGCACTCTCTGTCATAACAGTGATGCCATTTGAGAGTTTTGTAACCTCATATCTTCTTTCCTATTCTCTGATCTCACTACCTTATTATCCTACTGCAGATTTAGGACAACCAGCAGCAAGTTTGTAAAGATCAGAAGACTTATCATCTCTGTAAATTAAATCATGTAATTAGGCTCTCAAAGTAGAGAATTTGAATTGGGACTAAATAAAATCTTATTATTTCTTACCTTTGATGCAATTCTTCCTGAAACTCTAAAAAGCATGATATTTTATTTTAAAATAAATTTTGTATATGTTTGATATCAATAACATTATCAAATTATAGATATTAAACTAATATTATTTAGGTCTTAATGTAATAAGAAAACGAGCCTACAAGTATAAGCATATCAAGAAGAGCTGCCTACAACTATATAAAGCCTATTCTACATGAAGATTCCTTAGTTTAAACACCAACCACATCTTTTCGTTCATGTTTTAAATAGATAACCTAGAAACGTAGCATTTTTAAATCTTAACATTTAACAAATGAAATTATTGTCAATCAGTTTCCACTTTAAGAATCATTTGATGAAATTGGAAAATACTAATCATAATATTTTCTTACTGTAAATTAGATTGCTAGTATACTAAATTCAACATTTCATACTATTATTTGCATTTATGTGCTTATACTTTAATTTTTTCATTAAACAGAGCAATTAATATTATTAAGAATAATTGGAATGATATTATTATTTTTTCATTTGATCTTATGCTTACTTTTGAAATAAAACATATTAGATGCTTCATAATTGGCTACATTAATATTTTATATAGTTACTTTTATTTTTGAGAATTAAATTTTAATCATATATCTTTTTATCAGTATTTTTCATATTCAAACTCTATTAAATGTGATAAAGGTTTCAATTATAATTATATCCAAATAATGTAATAATATAATTATTTTTAGATGGTTTTACATAATTTTTACTTTTAGAAATCATTATACTAATCTATACAGTACATATATATGCTAATTTCTTAATAATTTTTATGTAAGAATCAATTGATAGTTACTCATTCTGGTTTATTTATCTTAAATCAATTAATTATTCAATAAAAATACTTCTCTTTGATTTCCAAATAGATGATGAATCAACTAAAAATCAATTAGCTAATACATTCTTCATCATATTTAATATCAACTATTACTTCTTATTATTGAAAAGATATGAAAAACATAAGAAATCTTATTTCTTATATGATCATTTTTAAATGTTTATTAATAATAGATGCATTCAAATCAATATTTCACTTCTAGAGATGTTTAATTTTGTATGGATCTTACTGAAATTGTAATTTTAAGATTAATTTTTAAAAAAATTAGAGAATCATAAAATATAAATCTATGTAGATTAATTAAAGAAATGTTAAATCATTGAAAAGATATTTTCAGAAGAGTTTATTAGAAATTTAGCTTAAGAAGCTAAAATTATCAATGTCTTTAAAAATGAAATAATTCCAAATCCAGGATTATATATTGTCATTTAAGGTGGAATGAAAGTATAAATTTAGGCTGAATATGAAATTAAATAAATCTTAAAAGTAATTTTATATTAATAATTTAGTAAGGAGATTACTTTGGTCTTATTGAAATGATTCTTAATAAAAGTTAAAATTTATTTCTAAAATCTATAAAAGAAGAAAGCTTGCTTATATATATTTCAGGAGAAGATTTTCATTATAAAATAAAAGAGTTTTAAGAGGATTATGAAATAATGAGATATATTCATGATCAATTGTTATTCACATAAAGTACAACAAAAATTAAATAAAAATGTTATTTTTGTTAAGAATATCACATTCATTCTTAATGTAAATTAATAAATTTCAAACCTGAATTTGATCTTGAGAAATTGAAATTAGATTAATTAAATGATCGAAGATATTTCTAAAGAGTAAATACAAAGCGTACTTTTTAAATAAGAAATATTTCAGAATCATCCAAAGATTCAAATTAATTTGAAGAGTCCTTTGAAATTGATCCTATTAGCTCAGATATACTTAATGATAGATAAATAGGTAAAAATATTTTAGGATCCCTTTCTTAAATGATTGTTTGCAATTCAAAAATATCTCAAGAAGGAATACCATAAATACATTAAACTTAAAGTTTTAAAGTATAAGAAAGTTAAACTTAACAAAATTAATTGAATACAACATAAGGATGGAGAATTTTCGATTAAGAAAATAAAAATATTTGCATAGATAATTTAAAGAACTTTTAGTTTTATGATCCTGTGTATAACATAGAAACTATAATCCGAAAAGTAAATAAAATGTTAGAACATTGAACTTTTATTTTTCATAGTTAATCAACATGATCAGCTACTATATCTACTGGGGCTTCACAAACACCTCCAAAATATAGGTTGAGTCTATATCCATTCTTCCATGCATAACAAGTTCTATGTTAAATTGTTTATTTTTCAAGTATATCTCCATTGTCATCCATTAATTCATAAATGGTTGAATCAGCCAGAAATATCAAACGATATTAATACCAAACTTCTGTTCTAATCTTAGTATTAAAAATTCTTATAAGTTGATCAGGATGTTCATAGGGAACTACACTATTATCATAAGCATATGCTGCTATTTCCACTAAATCTTTTTCTTGACAATTTGGTATTTCATATACTCCTTATTCATTATATTTCAAACATGATTAAGCTCTTCTGAAAACAAATCTATCACTATCTTTATGATGGAGTGATCCTAGACATCTAGAATAGCCATATAACTTATTCCAAGAAGTCATACATCTCATTTAATTTTCATTATGAGGAACAACATAAGTTGCTGCAGTCAGACCTAACTTAATTCTTATTTGAACAACTTCTAAATTCTTTTAATGTGCAGGATATGTAGGAGTTTCATATTGATCACCTTTCTTAACTGTTAATGTATATTATGCTTAATGAGTAGAAGCAATGAAAATATATAACAATAATATCATTAAAATTTATGAGTGATTAATTGATCATTAAAAGGAGGAGACGTAATACAATAGATGCCACAAATTAAATTATCACTCTAAATTTGTCAGACAATAATTCCTCATTGTTAACACTTAAGCAAGAGATATCAAAAATAAGTATTACTTTTGGAATATTCCATTAGCTAGAATTAAGCCATTAAGATAATGGTTAACAAGTGAAGATTTAAAAACTGTATATGATGATAATAGCAAACCTTTAAATAAATGTGGATTTAAGAGTGGATAAGTGTTGGTTGTAAAGGATTTAGGACCTTAAATGCTATGGATCACAGTATTTTATGCAGAATATGTGGGTCCAATTTTGATGTTTGTTTTGTTGTACTACTTAGGCAAGAAAGATAAGTACACCTTTATGCAAAAGTAAGTAAATAATTAAAGATTCAAGATCTGCTTTGTGGATGGTAGCTGCACATTATATAAAAAGAATATTGGAAACAAAATTTGTACATGTGTTTAGTCGAGACTCAATGCCAACAAAACGAGCTTTGATTAATTGTTTCCATTATTGGATTCTATGTGGAGCTTGTATTGGATCTGAATTATATTTATTGAGAACTTTTAAGGAAGATCCAGCTTGGAAGAAGATTTTTATTGCTTTATTTGCAGGATTTGAATTTTTAAATTTAATGTGTCATTTGAGATTGGCTAGCTTTAGAAAGTAACCAGCTATTAAAAAAAATGACTCTGATTATGTGGCATTGAACAAATAAAGATAAATTCCATATGGATGGGGATTTGGTAGAATTTCAAGTGCAAATTATTTTTGGGAAACAATGGCTTGGGTTAGTTTCACTATATTTACTGGTTCATATGCAGGTAATATAATGATTAATTAATTTAGCAATTGGATTTACTGCTTTTTCATTTTCTTAAATGATGATTTGGGCTAAATAAAAACATTAAAGATATCTTAAAGAATTTGGAGACAAATACCCAAAAAATAGAAAAGCTATAGTTCCATTTATTGTATGAAGAATATAATATTGTGTCATCATTTAAATATAAATAAATGCATTTTTATGACGTTTTATAATTTATAATACGTATATATGTGATGATGAATATGATATTTTTCATCATTAATAAATTCCTGTATGTATATTTAACAGATTGCAAGATCAATCATCAATCGAAGTTGCTTTTCAACTGCAACAATAAATGAAGGTACATTCTTAGATTAAGTCATGGCTTATTTCAATAAGGCTGCTGGACATACAAAAATAAGTCAAGATAAATTAGAGTAAGCATTCTATTTCAAGATTTTAGCTTTTACAAGAGCACTGATATAGTGATTAAATTCAATTTGCCATTGGTGAGAGATGATGGAACATACGTTTGCGTAATTTATTAAGATAAAATATATAGGTGCCTGCATATAGAGCTTAACATAAGACTTATAGATTACCTACAAAAGGAGGAACAAGATTAAGTCCACATATCAATATAGAGGAAGTAGAGGCATTGTCATTTTTAATGACATTAAAAAACTCAATTTTGGATTTACCATATGGTGGTGCTAAGGGTGGTATTGGTATCAACCCTCGTAAATTTTCAAAGAGAGAAATTGAGACTTTAATGAGGAGATACACTTTAGAATTAGCAAAGAAGAATTTCATAGGTGCTGCTATAGATGTACCAGGACCAGATCTTGGAGTAATTGTATTAAGTAATTTCAGACAGGTGAATAAGAAATGAGTTGGATGAAGGATGCATATACTAAATTTAAAGGACATTAAGACATTAATTCTGTGGGATGTGTGACTGGTAAAGCAATCAATTAAGGTGGAATATCAGGAAGATAAGAATCAACAGGAATGGGAGTAAGTTATTAAAAATAAAAATTAGATATTCTTTGCTACTAGAGAAATATTGAATGATGTGAAGTATTGTCAATCTGTAGGAATTGAACCAAGTTTGAAAGGGAAATCAATAATAATTTAAGGATATGGAAATGTATAATACAAAAATTAATAGTAAAGGTTGGTTCATTTTGTGCTAAATATATGTACGATTATGGAGCCACAATAATAGGAGTAGCAGAACATGATGGATCAATTTATAATCCAAATGGAATAAATCCATATGAGTTGGCTGCTCATAAGACTAAAACTGGAGGAGTTAAGGGATTTGTTAATGCATCAAAGTATTGGGAAGATGAATCAGCAATATATTAATAATGTGACATTTTCATTCCAGCTGCTTTTGAGAAAACAGTTAATGCTGGCAATGCTGATAATTTTAATTGTAAGATTATAGCTGAAGGTGCCAATGGACCAACTACAATGGCAGCAGAAGATAAATTGTTATCAAAAGGAGTGATATTTTTACCAGATATTTTGCTTAATGCTGGTGGTGTTACAGTTAGTTATTTAGAATGGTTAAAGAATTTAAAACATATCAATCCAGGAAGAATGACAAGAAGATGGGAAGAGTAAGCAAAACATAGAATTCTTGAAGTTATTAAAATGAGTACAGGTCTCAATATTAATATTAAGGACAGTAAGCTTGCAAAAAAGATGTTGGAAGGTCCATCTGAAGTATTTTTATTATTTAATTGACTAGACTGATTTAGTTCATACAGCTTTAGAGTAATCAATGATAGAGGCAGTCAATAATATTATGGCTACTTCTAAAGAATACAAAGTCAATTTGAGATTGGCAGCTTATATTAGTGCAATAAATAAATTAAATGAACATTTTGAAATGGCAGGAATTGAAGCATGATTGTTATATATATCCAAAAAAATATTCATTAAAATAAGTCAGAATAAAATGATAAAATGGTTTTGTATACTCTTAATTTTTGAACAATTGCTTGCTTAAGATTTTCATGTTACAATAGATGAAATTGAAGAAGAAATCAGTACTATTCCCATTTATTCAGATAGATAAAAAAAAGATTTATTATGGATCTACAGTGAGAATAGAACATTAAACTTCAAAATATTTTCTTCATTCTCATTTAGTGTCTTATGGAAGTGGATCAGGTTAATAATCTGTCACAGGTATGTAGGCTGATCATGATTATAACAGTTTATGGACTATAAAAGAGTGTTATAATCAACCATTAAAAAAATATGGTATTTAATACGTGTGATTATTATAGATGATCAAATAAAATGTGGAGATTGTATTAGATTAGAACATATGTTAACAAATAGAAATTTACATTCTCATCCTCATTAAGCACCCTTTTCTGGAAATCAAGAAGTTTCTGCTTATGGAGATAATGGTAATGGAGATACAAGTAATATATTTATTCTATATTAATTAGGTGATGATTGGATATTGGAATGTATTGATAATAAGAATGGTGATCATTTTTAAGCATCAATGTGGTTTTATTTAAAACATAAATTAACATAAAAATATTTGAGGAGTAATAAAAAAGATAATTTTAATCAAAGAAATTGTGGATATCATTGTCCAATAGAAGGTTAACTTGAAATTAGTGCTTAATCTACAAAAAATGCAGATGCAAAATGGAAAATACATTCAGGATTATTCTATTAATAACCATAATAAATAGAAGATGATTATGAATAAGATGGAAGACATTGTAATACTTATGGTTAATGTGATGATATAGATGATGATGAATTTGAGACTGTTGTATAAAAAGACTTGTGATTTATATTATTATAAATATATATATTATTATTAAATTTTTATTATTTATGAGAAGGTATTTAATTTATAGTATCATAGTAAGTAGGGTACAACAATACAAAAGTCAGAAAAATCTATTAAAAGTCAATCTGAATATTCTGATCATAATATTAGTTATACAAGTACTAGAAAAGAAATGCTTAGTGAAAGATTAGTTAATTCAGGTGAATAGGCTAGACTTGAAGAATATTTAAAATAAAAATTTATTGATGTTGGTTGGAAAGATGATTTGAAAAATCATGCAAAATGTTATTTATATTATTATATATATAGAATTTATTAGAGAAAATGGACTAAAAATAGTTCATAAAGAAGATTTATATAAATTATTATCAGTCAAAGGAAAAGAAACTGTTCCAATGAAATTAAGAGAAGATATAGTTAGAAGATTAGAAAGATTCATAATTGAACTTGAATAAGAAGAAGAAGGTGAATATGATGATGAAGATGATGTTTGAATTAATTAATTCTTTCTAAAAATATTTTGATTTTATTTTATCTATGTAATAATGTCAAATGTTTAACTCAACTTATAAAGCAGTTAAGTATGACATTGGGCACACTTTACCTATTGTCTTTAATGGTACAGATAATCCTGAATGGATAGTTAAACTAAATAATTTATTTAAATTATTTACGAATCATTATAATTGTATTTAACATATTATCTGACTTCCAATTATTTATTAATGAAAAATCTCCAATCACATTTCTTCACTTTTGCATGACAGATTAATTCAATATTAAATTTATTATCCACTAAAAATCCACAAGCTTTATCATTTCCTCTTCTTCTCAAATAACCAAGTTTGATTTCTTAGTTTTAACAACTTAATGTGTTATCTAAAGTATTAGAAGCCTTTATGAAGAATTCATTTAAATTTTAAGTGTAATTAAATAGTCCATCAAAATTAAATTGATTATTACTAGTGTTCCATTAGATTCCTTCTCTTAAGTACCATTATGGTTGTGTGAAATTAAAGTTATAATTGACGAATAATCCTGAATTGAAAGTTGCCCCTAAACATAAATATATTGATTACATAAGGAATGCCAGAATTTCTGATTTACTTCCTTTTAAAATCCAAATTAATATGAAAATTTTTTATTGACAGAAAAGACTTTGGCAAAGTAAGAGGCTTCAAATTTACTAAGTTTCCATTAACCCAAATCTAAACCTAATTTCAAATCAGTATGATCTCTAACTCTGAAATGAACCTTAGTAGAATTCCAAGGGAAGCGAACATCAACTGTTTAACTTTTACAATATTTTCTATATCTGAATTTAGTATCTTAATTCTTCATCTAACCATTAATTTATAATGAATGATTTTCAGGATTGTCAACAAAGAAATTAAAGAATGCACTATCTTTTATTTGGCTCGTCATATTTTTATAATTTTAATTAATTAAATCATTTTATTTATAATCTAACAATCAATCAAATAAATATCGAAATTCAAAATTAACTATTAAATTCTTAAATCTATTGAAACCAATTATCGCAAATTAAGAGAACAATATAAAATATTTTCCTATAAATTATTTACATCATTAAAAATTTTGATATTTTTCATAATTAAATAATTATTTCATTTAGTTGCTTAAATTTAATTATAAAAATATTAGACTTCTATAATTAATATATATTGAATAATTTATTGTATTTAATATGTTGTTATTATTCAAACCTGACCCTACAAAAGAGGAAGATTCATTAGATTTATCAAATGAAAAAGTTTTGATAAATCTATTTCCTCCTTACATGATCCTCTAATTAAAACTAATCTACTTGAGTCATTAAGTTTGAGTTGTTTGTTAAAAGGTTAACAATTATATAAATTGGACTTTTCAGGTTCAATTACCTTCTCTAATTAAGAAATCTTAGCAATTATTTTATTAGCCTCCTTTGTATTCCAATCTGATGATACAGAAGATTTATGTCCAATGATTAATTTAGAACCTAAATTTATTTTTATATGATTTATACATGATGTATTAGAACAAAGGATCATTTTTTTGTAACGATGTTTCAAAGCAAATTCTGTTCTCTTCTTACTTTCTGTTATAGCTGAAAGTCGAATAGCAATCTCAGCCCATCTACGTCCATGTTGTAAGAGTAATTGTAAGAAATAAAGATCCTCTTAATCACTCCATTCTTCACTGAAATAATAAAAAAAGACTTTACCGATTTATTGATGGATCTAATTTATTACCCCATCTTTCTCTACATTATTTTGGTGTTCTCATGAATTTACTTTAACTTACATCATTTAGTTCTTTTGCTATCTTACTCCATTTATTGCCTTTCTTTTATTTCAAAAATGACCTAAAATCTAGAACAACAATTTACAATATAATTTCAAGCAATTATTAATCTTCTTAATCAGTCCAAGGATTGTTATAAGCTGATTAATGTAGAAATTATAAACTCATTTCCTATAATTCTTTGGGAGTCCTATATGTAGGCATCAATTCACTAACTAGCAACCATTATTCATCAGACTGTTTATAATTTTTTAAAAATATACAAGTTTAATACTTAGTGGAGCTTGAACACTAATCAGAATACACTGAAGTAATATTTCCTCATTTTTCATTCTATCATCTGAAGTCTTAGCTTGTTGAAGCTGATAATACATTCCTTCTAAGACTTTGTAATTAGGTATGGAGTTAAAGTGTAACATCCATTTTCTTTTATATTCTTTTATGTCAACGTTTTGAATTTGAAGAAAGTTCAATTTATGAGAATGTTAGGATTCTTCAGTGGATTAATGATAAGATTATTAGTGAACATGAAGGAAGCTCATATTCTTATATGTTTATAAATTAATAAAATCTCTCGCATTCACATAATTTCTTTAAATAATATGCCTCATGAATATCTTCCAAAAATATAAATGTATAAAAGTATTATAATCAAAAATTTCAAGTACAATTTTACATTTGTACCTAATATATTATATATCGGAAGATTAAAAATTACACTAACAAACAATTTAGAAGACTTTGTATTAAAATATCGTCTTATTTATAGTATTCACAAATTTTAGATATTTTAAAAATAATATTGTGATTTTATTTATAAAATGTAATAAATAAAATTTCAGAAGTAAATTTAAAACGCGATTTCATTCTCTTTGCTAATAAGCTCATAAATAAATAAAATTAGATCTTAAATATATAGAATCAAAAATATATTCAATTATAAGGCTAATGTTATTTTTAATTATGAATTTCCTTTATTTTTTATCTCTATTTGTAAATCCTATCTAAATCCAAAATTTCTTATCTTTTTTCACAATTCTTTTCCATAATTTTTAACTATTATATTAAAATTAATAATTACATCTAAAGTTGGAATTTTATTAAAATGAAATCTGCTTAATTTTAATATTGTTACATCATTTTAAAATGCTCTAATACGTCCAAATGAATTAAAACCTTTTGTATTGAACATTAAAGTTTCTCCAAAATAATCTCCATATTTTATGTAATAATTATTAAATCCATTTGGATTTTCTATTTCACACATACCTGAAAGCATGATATAAAAACCCTCTAAATGCATTCTATTATATTTTAACTAATCAATTTTATGTTTATATTTAATAACCAATTTCTTTAATTTACTTTAAAAATGACAATGCTTATATTAATCAATTAATCTATGAGTCATCTAAATTGTTGCTTTAGTTTATTTTCTAAGATGTATATATTCAAAATTTTCTTAGTATGATCCATCATTAAATAAAACTGTATTTTTTTTGAGATTACATTTCTGCATTAATTCATAAACTAACTTATAAAGAGTTAAAATGGAAACACCTTTAAATATGGATAATTATTATAATCTTGTCAATAATTCAATACCTTCCATTTATTATTAAGCTTCCCATAATTCTTCAAAATAATTCTTCTAGATTGAAATCAATTCTAATCTTGTTTATGTTAAAAACCATATATCTGAAATATTACATAAACCATTATCTTTGTCTGGACAACCAAGTATATCTCCTTGTTTATAATTAGCTTTATTTTTAATTAATAAATAAATACCAATAATATCAGGTCTTTTATATTAGACTCGATGATCATAAACATTTACATTACCTGCAACAATTATATGAACTTCATTTTCTTTTGGAAATATTACATTGTCTTTTTCAACTACAATTAATTTCATCTTTTTCAAAAATACTCTCTTAAATTATAATTAATAAATAATACTAAAATGCTTGTAGCAATCCTTTTAAAGAAACTTGTTTATTTAAGTTCAATTAATAATTCTTCCTCTCTCACCCATGATTAATTAATCCAAAATTTAACTAAATTCTCTATGTAAACATCTTATTCAATAATTGATGTTACTAATTTATGAAATTCACAAAAAACTAATGGATTAAATTTAATTTCAAGTTATCTTTTTTAACTAAATAATACTGCTAACATAAAGTGAATACAAAGACTATAATTTGTAGCTCTAGATGATTCTTTTACAATTTTATAATCTTCAGCAGCTCTTTCTAAATTAAACATTCTTTTTGCACAAATTCCTCTTAAATAAACATACAATGATCTATCTTTAGAATTATCATTTAAAATAATTAAATCTAATAATTGTTAAGATGCTTTAAAAGATCCAGTTTTATATAAACAAAGTGCATATCTAAATTTAAGTTAATTAGTTTCTGTAAATTATAATGCTAATTGGAACCATTTTTTAGCAGTCATAATTTTACCCATTTTTTCATATATTATAGCTACTAATTAAACAGCATTAGAATCTAAAGGATTAGTAATCAATGCTTATTTAAAACAATGTAATGCTGTTTCAATATTATCTTTTATATGTTTAATACCTTTATTATACCAAAAATATTTATCTTCCTATTATTTCTCATATTTTTCATCTAATAAGGCATTAAAATTAACTAATTCAGTCTTATATTTAATTCTAGTTTCTGAATTACAATTAAGTAATTGATTAGTTTTTTAGATTAATTATTTAGAATTAGTAACACTAATATCTGATTATTTATTTGATAACATAATAGATTTATTTGGTATTGGAGGATTTATAAGTTATTATATATAAATTAAATCTTCTTCTTCATTAATTTCAACATTTTCACTTCTTCCTTAATTTATATAATTAAATAATTATTTGATTTCAGGGATATTAGAATTTTAATCTTATTATTTAGATTCATTTTAATTTTATGAATCATTATTATACCATGCAATAATTTATTTAGTAACATTTTAACTTTAATTACTTTTATTTAAACTTAAAGACATATTTAAATTATTATTATTTATAGTAGTTCTACGACTCACTGATGAAACTTTACGATTTTATTAAACTGATGATCTAATTTATCTAGTTTATTTAATTGATGCTTAATGAGGTTTATAATCAATTGAATCAGTTTCACACATTTTAAGTTTTTCCTCTTTAACAAGTTTATGATTTATCTTATCCACTAAATTACCAGCAAATTTTTATTTGTTAACTTGATGATCTTCATTATATTTTGAGTATTTAATATATTTAATCATATCACTAGTTAAAAGAGAACTTTCCATTTCATCAATTGTATGTATTCTTGTACGTGTTTCTGAATTTTTCTTAGTTTAATGACCTTATGATATTTTATCTGTATTAGTTATTTGATTTTAAGATTATTATGTTTATGTATATTAAAATGGTTTTGGTATTAAATTTAAATTTGATATCTTTTATTCTTATTCAGAATCTGGATTAATTAATTATTTAATAGATTAAACTGCTTAATTTAATTACTTTCTAATTTCTGCCTATTCTTTTTAATGAAACTTCATCATAGATTTAAAATTATTATCAATCATTTATTTTTCTTATTAACTATTCTCACATTTAATTATTTGATTTTCTTCTGGTTATTTTACTTTTTCTTATTTTTCTATCTACTATTATAATTAATTAATTTCCTTATATGCAAAAGATAAGGGAACCTCTTCATTTTTTGTATAATTCCTAGTTATATTTTCATAATTCTATAAAAAGATATGATTCTCAATAGTCCTTTATTATTAATTTTAATTTGTTGGTTATTCATGAATACTAAATCTTCTAGATTAATTATCAACACTACTTAATCTTCTATAATTTTCATCTGATTATAATAATACTCCCCTTCTTCTAGATCCTACTTATTTTCTCTTTAATTTTTTGTCTTCTCTTTCTTAAATTGGTTAACCAAATAAGATTATTTTAGGTTCTAATTTTGTATGATTAAAAAGTAAATTTTTAGGATTCAATATACTTTCTCCATTTTAAATAATATATTTTTCATTTTTTGAAATTTAATCTGTAAATAAATATTCTTTAATTCCTTTTTATGTAGTTGGTAATCTATATCTACTTTTTAATTCTTCTGCATATTATTATGGAACATAGAATCTTTTCTTATTATTAAGTAATTATTCCATTGGTCTATTTTGTGATTAACAATACCAATCATCTAATGCTTATTCTGTCATTTAATTTAAGTTAATCTATCTTTCTCCACTTATACCTCTTGATTATCTAAATTAATCAATATTTGCTGATAATGCCTGAGAATATATAAATATATAATCACTCTCTCTTCCTAAATTTAAATTTAACTCTTATCACTTTCATGAAAATCATATTTCATACCACAAAAATCATGATTCTTACAACAAGGAAGTTGCATCTTATTCTTTTATTTCATAATTTATATAATTTTTATAATTCAAATTCTTCTTTTTATGCAAATTCCAATTCCTTAACTAGCTCATCCATTAACTTTTATAAATGTTTAACTTAACTTTCCAATTTTTATTTCCGTCTAATAATTTATTCTTTTTAATTCAGTTTCATGTTCAATTATTTTATATTTTATATTCTTATTAAAAATTCATTCTATTAATTATAAATTATGTAAGTCTTGTAAATTTTAATCATATTATACTTAAAATAAATATTTTATATAATCATTTTTTAAGATTTTAAACTTTTGTATATAATAATTTTCATTCAATTTTAATATATTTTTAACAATTCTCTTTATAATTATGTTTAATATATATAAATATTATTAAATATAATCAATAATAATATAATGATTTATAATCACTAATAGACTTCACAATTAATAAAATCATAATTTAACAAAAATTACTTAAACCAAAATATAATATTATCATTTTAAATATATTCTATATCTACTAAGTATTTTTATTTATTGAATATGTTCTTCATCATATTTTATTTACTTTTATTTGATTTCTGTTTATAATATTTAAAACATATAATTTAAAGTATATTTCATTTATAATAATTATTCCTTTTCATAATAATCATCACCATAACTCTCTTATTAATATATCTTTATTTGAATATCCATTTATTATCTTCATCACCTACTCTTAATCTTAATGATAGATCTATATAATTTAAATCATTTTCACATAATTTTTTCTTTCCATTATATAAATCTCACTTTAGTTAATTAATTAATTGTCTAACAGCAACTCTCATGTTACAAAAACAAAAAAATTAGAAATCACTCATTTTAGAACTTGATTATGAAACTGAATACAAGTCAATAAAGAGTTCAACAAAAATGTCTGAATAAAATATAATATCTAAATTTGTTGATTTATATGAAGAAGTGCTTTTTTAAATCAAAGGTTCCTAAAATTTAGTATTTCATATTACAATATTTAAGTATTTAATCAATAAAATGGCTAACTTAAAGAATGGCAATATTATTAATATTGAAGTATTGTTGTCTAATTTCAAATATCTAATCACATTGTTAATCCAAGAATTAGTATAATCTATCTAATATTTAGATATAATTTTAAAGATAAGTGGATTCTCAAAACATTGAACCAAATAAGTTAAATAATATGGAGTTAAATTAAATAAAACTAGACCTATAATAATTTTAATATGTAGCACTTAATTATTTAATATTAAAGGACAAGACTGATTTATAATATAAAGTTAAGTAACTTGAATAAGAAGTCTATCAATAATAACAATTAAATGCCACCATTTCTCAAAATTTGTTAGATTCAAAACAGAAATATTTAGTAAGTTTACTATAAATCTATTTAATTAGGAATTATAATAGAAATACAATTAAGAGATTAAAATAAAATAAACTAAAATATTCTAGTCTTTCTATGATCAAAATATAAAAGATAAACTTAAAAAATTACATACAATATACTAAATAGACAAATCTTCAAATAATAAATCAATAATCAACAAAAAGTAAAAATTAACCATTATGACTGAACCTTGTGATTCTGATTCATAGTATAGTACTATTATTGAATAAAATAATTCTTACTATGATAGAATTAATAGCAAGATTAAATAAAATTAAACAATAGAAAGTACATATTTACTAATATTTTTTTAGCTATTACATCTGTTCAAACTGAAAATAATAAAAATGCTGATTCCTTTTCGTATATTCTGAATAGAAGTTTTTATAAATCATAATAAAGAGATAAATCAAATACTCTATCTTAAGAATATTATAATAATATTAAGTATGCATACAATTAAAATCTACCTATTAACTCATTTAAATAAAAAAAATAAACTTAATTTAGCTGATAATTGTGATTACTAATTTATTTATATTAAATATTTATCATTCATATTCACTTATTCGAAAATTATGAATTTCAATAAAGGACCTAAGCCTAGCTTTAATATGCCTTAATAGGTATAATGTCAAAAGGAAGAAAAACCATATTCGTATGTTGAAATTGAAAGCACAGATTGCTTTAGGAATGAAAAAATTATAAAAAATGTTAGGTTTGCTCCAACTATTACCATCTTTCTAAGATATCAGGATGAAGACATTGTTAAATTCAAAGATAGATTAAGGAAATAAATATAATAAACAAAAGAAACCTTCGATTTTCATCCATCTATGGCCAAACCAAAAATGAAAGGATAACTTAAGTCTTGTTTAAAATCAATTTTTGAATGGGATTCTTAAGAATTTTGATACATTACCATTTTGTTCTACTCTATATATATATATGTTAATTATAAAATTACAAGAAGTTAACATTCATTTCTGGAATTTACTAATACCTATTTTTAGCCATTTTCTAATAAAATTTGATTAATGAGTTAATATTTATATATTAATATATTGTAATTTCATAAAATTCCTTATAGATGTATTAATCATAATCGTAAAAATCTCTCTATCCATATGATTTTATAGATTATAAAAATTTCATCAAATTACTAGAAAATTTATAGAAATCATTACGTAGCATATGAAAATTAAAAATTTAATAAATAATTCAACTGTAGGAAAGATTAATATATAAAAGAATTATCAAAAAAATAATTTAAACTCTACAATGTAAATTAGAAATCTTTAAAAAAAAACTGAACATAAACAGCTCATGTCATTTATCTAATTTAATAAAAGCCATTAACTTATAATAGGTTTAATGAATTCAAACTTTCATTAATTTTATTAGTACTTGCAAAAATAAAAATATCTAGCTATAGATTGTTTTATAAATATTTTAATGATAATAATGAATATGGATTAATAATAGTCATTAATATGAAATTACATGATAATAAGATTATATTTTTAATTTAATTCATATATTTGAATAGATAAGATTTATTTAATCTGAAAAATAAATTTTTTTGATTAAAAAACTTAAATTTTATATTTATTTATTATTAAATGAAATCTTAGTATGTAATTAGAAAATAAAGTAAATAAAAACATTTGAATGAATATTAACTCATATACAAAAGTCAATTAAATATTCATAACTTAACTCAGCTTAATCTAGCTTAAGTTTAGTATTTTTTGATGAGAAAGAGCCTGGCCAATATTATGTTGAAGAGATATTTTTGGGCAAAAATCCCAAAGTTTTGTAACATTTAGCAATCAATTCAGAACAAAAATATGTTCTGTTTAACTATTTTGCAGTCTCTAAATTAACATCTCCTAGAGTTGTTGAATTTAACAACAATAATTTAGATGGAGCACAAGAAAATTGTTTACCCAAATTATTATTTACAAAATCTAATAATTTTGTTTTAAATGCTGCTGATCTATTTNTGTTTAAAATCAATTTTTGAATGGGATTCTTAAGAATTTTGATACATTACCATTTTGTTCTACTCTATATATATATATGTTAATTATAAAATTACAAGAAGTTAACATTCATTTCTGGAATTTACTAATACCTATTTTTAGCCATTTTCTAATAAAATTTGATTAATGAGTTAATATTTATATATTAATATATTGTAATTTCATAAAATTCCTTATAGATGTATTAATCATAATCGTAAAAATCTCTCTATCCATATGATTTTATAGATTATAAAAATTTCATCAAATTACTAGAAAATTTATAGAAATCATTACGTAGCATATGAAAATTAAAAATTTAATAAATAATTCAACTGTAGGAAAGATTAATATATAAAAGAATTATCAAAAAAATAATTTAAACTCTACAATGTAAATTAGAAATCTTTAAAAAAAAACTGAACATAAACAGCTCATGTCATTTATCTAATTTAATAAAAGCCATTAACTTATAATAGGTTTAATGAATTCAAACTTTCATTAATTTTATTAGTACTTGCAAAAATAAAAATATCTAGCTATAGATTGTTTTATAAATATTTTAATGATAATAATGAATATGGATTAATAATAGTCATTAATATGAAATTACATGATAATAAGATTATATTTTTAATTTAATTCATATATTTGAATAGATAAGATTTATTTAATCTGAAAAATAAATTTTTTTGATTAAAAAACTTAAATTTTATATTTATTTATTATTAAATGAAATCTTAGTATGTAATTAGAAAATAAAGTAAATAAAAACATTTGAATGAATATTAACTCATATACAAAAGTCAATTAAATATTCATAACTTAACTCAGCTTAATCTAGCTTAAGTTTAGTATTTTTTGATGAGAAAGAGCCTGGCCAATATTATGTTGAAGAGATATTTTTGGGCAAAAATCCCAAAGTTTTGTAACATTTAGCAATCAATTCAGAACAAAAATATGTTCTGTTTAACTATTTTGCAGTCTCTAAATTAACATCTCCTAGAGTTGTTGAATTTAACAACAATAATTTAGATGGAGCACAAGAAAATTGTTTACCCAAATTATTATTTACAAAATCTAATAATTTTGTTTTAAATGCTGCTGATCTATTTACTTTCAGTCTTCTATAAACAATTCTATAATCATATGATATTTTATACTTTTCATATAATTTATACCATTCTTTAATATTGAATGTCTTCCATTCACATAGACTTACTCCATTAGATGGTAATGATTCAAATATAAAGAGTCTATTAGGTTCTATTTTAATTAATAATCCAATATGATCATAATCATTTTAAGTTAAAGCTCGCTAGATTTAACAATTAAAACTTTTTCCTCTAAATAATAGTAAATCACCATCTTCAGCTTCTTCTTCAAGTTACTAAGCAGATATTCTTTCATGCTAATGTAAATATATAGTATACTCTCCAGAACTTATCATAAAGACAAAGAGATGTTAATTTATTGAGTGTTCCAAAAGAATCTTGTAGATGCAATTTAATGATCTGAAACCATTTTGTTGTTTCTTATGAATTCTCACCTTTGAATTAGAAGACTTTTTCAATTTTGCCTATAGGTTTAATACTAATTGTTTAATACTGAATTAATACATAAATTCAATAACATTTCCTTATTTATCCTTAATATCAATAAGTTAATAAGTTTAAACATCAAAATTTAGTACTCCTTCTAACTTACGAGTTTCAGCAGAAAAATATCTAAAAACTCTATTTATAATTGAACACTATCTTTCTTTATAACCTTAAATCCAATGAGGACTCTTTTTTAGTAATGATCCAAAAAATGGTTAGATTGCATTTCTATGGTTAATTGCAATGTTATCACATAAGTTACTAGAATACATTAAGGATTGATTATGAATTAATAATAAAGAGAAATGATTATGATTAGAATTTGTCTCTTTTGTTTTTTGAATCTAATCTGATAATGATTCCCTAAAGTCTTTGCAGTATTAACTATTAAGGTTTGCATCTTTAATAAATTTTTCATTTTTGAGAAGCAACTCTTTGTCAATTACTTATCTCTATTGTAGACTAGTTAATGAATCCATTATATATATAATATTAAATGTTTTTTGTTAATCTCAATTTAATTAGAGTCTTTCTCTAAGATATTCTTTAAGAGTAACAATCTTATCTTGAATATGATCTGAAATTCTAGAAATCAAGTCTTACAATTAAACTCTAGATTGAGTTTCCATTTAATAAATATCTTATTATTATCTGCACCATTAATCTTATCCATCTAAATTAGACTATAAATAATTAATAAAAATAATTTTACTTGATTTCTCTCTACTTCTGTAGCATGATATTCAACTTTTCCTTATGATTCTTCAATGATACTTTGATAATTTAAGATTGCTTATTCAAGATTCTATCTTTAATCAGATCTATTAAATTAAATATAAAAATTACAATGTATTTCTTTCATTAGTTAAATCTGATAAGAATTATTACCAATTTAAACTTTATTATTTTTCAATATCTTCATCACTAGATTTACTTTCAACAATTTAAACTCTCAAATTTGATAATAATTATAACACTTTCTTTGCTGTATCAGAATCAGATTTAGCTGATAATTGAGTCATCATAGTTAAAATTGGTTAAAATAATAATCCACTTGATGTTGATTGACTAATATTAATATAATCATATATATTACCTCTATAATCTAGATAAGACTTTGTTAAATCTTCCTTTTACTTGAATGAATGAAGATCCTCCTGATAGATGTTCAATTAAAGCATAAGCTTCATCTATTGCTGAAATAGCTTCAGTATGATCTTTGATTTTAGATTAAAATTCAGCATATTATAAATCTCTTTCGCTTTATCCTGCATTAGTTTTTTTAGAATTCTCTTCAATTTCAACAGAAACCTCAGCAATTTTATTTAATGATCTTTGCAAATTATTTGTATTCTCATCAACAATTTTAGTATGAGCTTTCAATTAGCTTTAATGATATGCCAAATTTGTAGAGAAATCATGAAGTAATCTATTACATGAAGCTTATGTATTTTAGATATAAAGATCAGAGTCTTTTTGTTCTTATTCCAACATAAATCTAATTATAAATATAAGGAAGAACCTAATGTTATTAATATAACTTTGAATTTCATGTACTGGTGACCCTGTTGCTAAACTAATTTAAATGGCATTCAAGAATGTTTTTCCCATATGATTGTTGTCCATTTCTGCAAGTACAACTTTAGGATCTGTGGTCATTTTGCTTAATGCCTTTAATGATTATGAAGTCTTAATACCAAACTAATCAATAGCACTATAACGATTCTCATTTTTATATATAATTAATTAAAAACGAATTATGCTTGTGCTCAAATTTAATGATATAATCACAAATCAAGTTTAACAATAATAACAATAATACTAATACTTCAAGATTATCTTATCTCGTTACTCTAATTAGCATTTCTAGATTAAGAAAGCATACACAAAATTCTCTGGACGATGGTCTAAAGGAAGTGATTTAGAAAGATAAATAGATTATGTTTAAGAGAATTTGGATGTCAATTTAGTTGCTAAATTAGTAAATGCATTCAATGGTATTGAAATCATAATAAACACACCTTAAGAACTATATGAAATGTATCAAATATTGCATTTCTTTCAGATTCAAGAATTTTAAAGTTAAATAGAAAAGTTTCTAATATAAGACAAATCTAATATTTTAATAGGATACTAATTATCTGAATTATATGAAATAGAATCATTATCTAACTTTTATTTTGAATATTTCAAAGAATATGGATTCTTGGGTATTTTTAATAAAAAACTTGATACAGAAAAAGCAAGAAAACTAATATACAAAAATAAAAATAAATTAGTTCCATATCATTATTTATACTTATAAGCCAATTTATTCAAGAAATTATTGATTTTGCATAATAATTTAGCCATCATAAAGTTTGATAAAAACAAATTTTTAGATTAATTTTAGATTGCTTTATTAATAAGTGAATATTGTTTAACTAATGGATATGATAGAATTAAATTATAAGAAATCTTCTCTGATGCAGTTATTAAGGAATAAGTAACTAATGAATAGAAATAAATTATTTTGATAGAGTTTGAAAAATAATATAAAAAAAATCAGATGAGAACTGTTTCAAGTATTTCTTAATCAGAAGAAGATGATTCATCTGATACTACAATAGAAGCAAAACATAAAAATTCAGAAATTACCATATCACAAATTCCTATTATAGAACCTATAGAAATATTTAGAGGTAAAGAATTAGATATTAAATTGCTTATTGGATTAAAGAATTTATAATTTATGTTTAAGACTAAGTATACTTCATTTGGATTTTATGTTTCAAAAAAGATAGAATTAAATATATAGATATAAGATGAATAATTATAATTAGTTAATTAGATTACTAAAATTTAACTTAATACAAGTTTAAGAATTAATTGGATTAGATTTGATGAAAATGGATTAAATGTAAATAATAGACTAATAATCGTCAGATCAAAAGGAATATGTAGATATGAAGAAGATGTAAATGAACCATAAGGTTAAATTAGATTAACAGGATGTCGTAATTTTATTATAGAAGAAGTGTAAGTATGGAATACTTGTTTTTTTGCCCTTTCTTGGAATTAGGGTTGAAATTAAATACAATTCAAATTTGTTATGATAATTCTTACATTTTAATAGCAAGTGGAGAAGTCGGTGATTTATCTTCAAAATTCGGTAATTAAATAAAATCTTCATTTCTTTATTTAACTGACTCATCTTCACTTGTTTCACTGAAAGCCTTTTCATAAATTTATTATAAAGTTTCTGTTTTTATTTATTTTTTTTCCTAATTTATTTTATCTTTTCTATTCTCATAATCATGAATAAACCATCTCTTGAAATAATGCTCATCCATATATTTAATAATCTTTTAAGCTTCACTCAACTCTTTCTTTTTTTGTTAATCTATAAGTACTGGAGTTGGAACTTCACTTATAGATTTTTATTCCTCTTCATCCAATTATTTTGCAATCTAAAAATTTATAAAGAATGGCATAGCTGTGCCAAATATAATAGTTGTTATTATAACAATATAAAGAACACAACTTTAAAGTATATTTATCTAATTAATTTCTATCCCATCTGTTGGAGATGCTACAAGTGTTTCAATCAGAGCAAATGCAACACTACCTCTCACCATCCCTGCAAAACAACATATACTCATTTCATATTTTGTTAATTTCCAAACCTTTTCTCCTTAGATTCTATTATAATATTATTTAATTGATACGATATTGAAATCCAATAAACTATGTAAATACTTAAGTATCTAGCTAATATGACTATCCCTAATTACAATAATGTAAACACCCAAGATACTTCAACATAATATAAATCTTTAGTTAATGGACTATAATAAGTGGTTTAATTCCACATTGCAAAACCCAAAAAAACATACAAAAAAGCCTCTGCACCTAATGATAAGGATTCAAAAGTAACTCTTGTAGTAACTCTACCTAATTGACTAATATTGTAGCCTTGATAATGACTCATTATTATTCCAATCATTAATAGACTGATAACACCACTTAAATCTAACATCTCACATATAGAATATCCCATATAAGCCATAAGAAATGCAAATACAGTTTCAGTAGTAGTTGAATTTGTTAAAAATCTGCATTTTTTAAAACACCAAGTTGAAAAAAGCCCTACAAAAAGCCCTATCAATATTGAAATTATGCAATTCTCTAAGAATCTACCTATGAATTCAAAAGGTGTGTACCATTCAAATGATTTACCACTTTATTAAAGTATTGTTACTGCTTAAAATATGATAATTGAAACAGCATCATTAACCATCCCTTCACCAAAAACTACACTAAACAATTTTGGATATTAAGATGAAGGAATTAAATTTAATGCTGCTACTGAATCTGTTGCACATATGGTTGCACTATATTTTATCATTTAATCATAACTTAATGATATATTGGAATCTAAATTAGTACCCAATCTAACCAAATCTTTTATAATAACAAAAATAATACTCCAAGAATTAAATCCAATTGTCAAAGTTAATGTGATAATAAAGTTAAGTAGGGTGCTCAAAAATCCAAAGGATACGATGTATTTGAAATTTTTAAGGAATTGCTTTTTCTTAAGATTATATCCTCCAGAAAATATGATCAAAGGTAAAAGCAAATAAAAAAATATTGTTGCATTCAAAGAAAACTATAATATTTTTATGGATAATTACAAATTAAGCATAAGCATTTTCATCCATCCATTTAAGTAACAATCCCATTAGCATTCCTATGATGATGCCAAAGCTTGTTTCATGTATTAAATGAAACTATTTATTATGCTTTAATTGATACATGAATAGATTTAAAGTACTCTCCAATCATAATATATATTATGATTACTATCATAAGTGCAAATGGGACTGCTCCATATTCTGACATAAATTTATTATTTTATATAAGTTCATTTAAATATATTGTTTATAATCTAAGCAACAACTTCCAATTATTCATCTTCCTCTAATTATTCAAATTTTTAGATCTCTGAATTTGGTATTGATAATTCTTTGTTTGATAAATAGTATTGAATCATATTTTTATCTTCCTCTTTTAGTATTGACTCTTATGTAGCATTATAGATTATCAATAAAATATCACTAAATTGTGGTTTTAAATGCTCAATGCAATCTTTTACATCATTTTACACAATCTAATTACTTACAATTACTAAAGTGTTTTCATTAGATATAGTGTGATTGCAATTAGAAATCTTTGTAGTATCGCTTAACTAATCAAAATAATCAAATTCTTCTTAAGTTACCACTTTTTATATTAATAATCATACCTAGTAGATGTGCATTCTTTTTGTGAAAGCCTACGTATTTTGACTATATATTATTACTTTATTTCTTAACATTCCAAAATAATAGCATGATTATACATGTGAATGCAATTGTTGCCCCAAAATATATTAAGTTATTAACATGACTTTTTTTATCTGTCTTCATACTTACCACTTTTAATTCATTTTTTTCTTATTTATTAGCCTCACTTATAAATTCTGTATTTTCTTCATCACCAATCATTTTAATATTTTATTTTACAATTAAAGTTAGGTATCAATTATTTTATCAAAATTTAGATACTTCAACATATAATAGAGTGGAATCATTTTGAAAGTTAAAGAACCAATTCAACTTATTCAAAATACTAAAAGATTCTTAATAATTAATTATCAAAACCTATAACATGTTTTACTTTATTTATAAAATAAATTTTAATTATTCTTTCAATTCATTTAGAACATTATTGTGTCTTCTGTTTGAATTCTTTTTGATAAAATTAGCAATAACTTTTTTGTATATTTTAATATAATAAAGGAAAATGAAATTAGATGAAATAAAAAAATGCTTCAATTCTGAAAATCACTATAAACAGATTAAACAAATCAAAGATTATATTTTAGATAACAATAAGTAAGAGCATCTCTATTAATATAGTGAAATAACTAAATCAACATTATAAGCAGTAGAAAATACTTTGGAAGACACTAAATCATTGCCTATTTAAAAAGTATTATCAACAAGAGTACAATATTATTAAGTATTCAGTTAGTAAAAGAAATAATGGATTATCATATTGATATGGTTATTGAAAAAGTATAAATTAAAATCATTCCAATTTATGAACAAATTCTAATAGGTTATTGTGAGAAAGGATAAAAGGCAAAGTAATACTTTTCCGATTAACCTGGTAGATGTTATATTTATATATTAAAGATGAACAACTTATGGTTCTTGGTAATACATTTATAAGATTGATCAGTGAATCTGTTTTCGTTTGGAATATATGGCATCCATATATAAATGGATAATAATCAGCTTATTCAAGAGTGTAATAAAGTAGTTTTACATTTTAGATACAATTCATTGGTTGCAAAAGGATTGCAATTTCCTAAACTATTTTATTTTAATTCTTAAAAGGTCAAGGAATTCTATGTTCATTCAAAGGAATAAATGCATACTTCTCCATTTGTTTACTCAAACAACTTATAACCTGATTTCTTCTACATTAAAAAAAGACTCGATAGAAATCAATTCTAATAAAGTGATCTCATTATTATAAGAAACGAATTACTCTGTAAATCATTAAAATAATTACTATTAGCTTTAAAAAACAGTCAATTAAATTCTAGTTAACAAAAGTTTATATAAAACTTTGAAATGGCATTTAAAGACTTTGAAAAATCATAAAGGTTTGATGAATTATAAATTACAATTTAATCAATGTAAGATTTTCAATTTAATTTTTAAAGTTGTTTGGAATTTGATGATGAAGTATTTGATAAATAATCAGCCATAGATGCATTTTAAAAGAGATTTCAATCAAATTAGAGCAATTTTACTCCTTCTAAATTACAAGTTGGAGGAGGGGGATATTCTACTGATAAAATTAGTCAATTTTTATCTCATGGAAGTATGAGTGTAATAATCCATTTTATTTTCATAGTCTCAAAAATCATCACCTAATGGTTAAAAGTAGTAACTGTAAATATTAAATGAAAAAAATAGAAGAATAGAACATTTATTATTAGAAAACTCTCTTTTATAGAAATAAATAAAAAACTTTGAAGATTAGATTCACACTTTAAAACAAAATCTATCCTAAAATAATGAATGAAGATTAATTAATATTTAAAGAAATATATTCTAATTTTCAATTATGATTTAATTAACTAAAGAACATCTTCATGATTAAAATAAGAAGCTTACAGAAGAGAATTAAAGATTAGAATTGGTTGTCTATAGTCTATAACGATAATTATAAAATCTTGGCTCTTTTATAGAAAGAGCAAAATTGTTATAAGAATAAGTGGATGAGCTTAATCAAGAATTGGGAAATGTTAGAAGGGACAATACTCAATTATAAGAGATTATATTCACATTGTAATCTCAATTAAATTCAAACATGAAAACCACTCATTTAGAAAAACAACTTAATGAATTGGAAGCCATTAAGAAAATCTAAGAAGAATAACTAAATGTTCTTTAAAAAGAAAATGCTAATCTATAGAAACTAGTAAAAGACTTCAATAATAAATAAATTTCTAATCTTCAATTATCTGCAGCTAAACTAGTTGAAATTGGAAATAAAATAGATTAAAAATTAAATGATTAATCTCATAGAAGAATGATAAGCAATCCTATATTATCAAGTCCTAAAGGAATCTCTAAAGAAATATATCAAAATTTAGTTCAGTAACTTTCTAACTAAAGCACCGAAGAAAAATCACTCTTTGCTTCTCAGTATTTATTGAAATTATATTAAAATAGGCCAAAAATCAAGCTTAAAGATTCGAATATGTTCTCTTAAACATCTTAAAAAAATTCTAAATTATCAGGCTTTTAGGCTTTATAATTAGATTAGCCTCTGCCTTCGATTCCTAACCTTATTAAAAAATGATTATAATAAATTTATCATAATATCATATTATTAATTTAAGATCTGAGAAACAACTTAATTAGTTTATTACTCAAAATGATACTCTACAATTATGTAACTTACTTATATAGTAATTCTAATTTTAGGAACTTTTTTATATATAAATAAACACAAAATATTATTTTAGTTATTCCCTTTAATCTTAAAATTCAAATAAAATGATATAATGATGGCTTCTTCTATATTTTTTTAAATTATTTATTAAACCATACTTAGCAAATTTATCATATTTTTTCTCATTTATCAAAGAATAATCTTAAAATATATATATAATTAATTAAGATATAAAGATATTCAAAATACTCTTGATCATAAAATTAATAAATAACTGAATAATTATGAAGATAATTAATAGTAAAGATAAAAAGGCTTTGAAGAATTTATAATTTAAATGATATAAGTAAGTATTTACTCATTATTTTGATATTGGTCCTAAATTTCATCCTCTTAAGAATTTAAAATTAGTTTTTTTCAAGATTATAATTCAATGAAACTTGGATTTTTATTCATATATTCTTATATTCTTATATACATATAAAATTAATTCATTAATTTTAAAATCATTATCTGATATGATTAAATGTATTTTTCAATATTTTCTCTAAATTAAAAAATATGCAAGCACCAAGCTTAACAAAATTGCCTAGTCAATAGAAAGTTCCTAAGTATAGACCTGTAAGATTGTAAATTAAATTTAGTCCATCAATATAGACAATTTGATTGCCATTTGTACAGGGAAACTCAAGAATTGTCCAAATCACAAGAAAGCTCTTTATATTCGTGCATCAGCTTATATCAAGAAAGGAGAGTATTAAACAGCTATACAAGATTGCAATAAGCTTCTTGAAACAGATGTAGATAACGTAGGCGGATATTATTTGAGAGGTATTAAAATTTGAAAATGAAGGATGCGCAAATGAAAAATTGGGTTAAATAGATTTAGCTATTGAAGATTTTTCAAAAGTGCTTTCATTAGATGAAAATCATGTTAATGCAGCATTTGCTCGTGCTTCTTGTTTAAATTTGAAAGGAGATTTTGCTGGAGCAATTGAAGATTATACAAGAGCTTTAGAAAAAGATAATGCTAAATCTCTAAATCTTTCTAATTCTATTAATAAGAGGTCTTTACTTAGGAATAGTTCTATGAAGAAGGATGAACCATATCCTAAGACTGATGCATTTTAATTTACTACTAAAAAAAATAAATATTAACAACCTGAAGAAGATGATTTGATGAATCCCCAGAATGACGAGGAATATTTATAAAATGATCAATCATAAATACAAAATTAACCTTAATAGACTAGTTTTATGAGTTAGAATCCTCTTTATACTAGTATTGATGCAAATGAATTGAATATACAAAGACCATCCCAAATAATTGATAAAGAGATATCATAGCCTCTCTAATAATAATTAATATCAATGATACCAGAAAATATTAAAAATGATAATAAGAAAATCTCTGATTGGTTTCATTCATAAGGTTTTGATTCTAGAAAAAAAGAAGATTTTATAAAAGCAATAGAATTTTATACTATGGCTTTAATGTTTAATCCAAATCATTTTAAATCGATATTTAATAGAGGTATAACTTGAATTAATTCTTTGATTAGGCTTTGCTTTTGATAAACTAAGAATGTATAATGATGCTATTAGTGACTATACTAAGGCTATTGAAATGGATTCAAAAAATGCTTATGCATATTATAATAGAGGAATTTCTTATGATAAAAAAGGCGATTACAATTTAGCTATAAAGGATTTTGCAAAATCAATAGAAATTGATCCTTCAAAAGCAGACTTTTATCACAATAAAGGATTTGCAATGAAGAAAAAGAATTTAGTCAAAGAAGCAATTCTAGAATTTAATGAATGTATTCGTCTAGATAAAAATCATTTCAAAGCATATTATAATAGAGCAAATTGTTATGAAAAGTTAGGAGATTTTGATAAAGCATAATAAGATTACTTAATAGCTAATAATGTTGTTCCAAATAATCCAAATACTTTAACTCATATTGGTATATTGATGGATAGACAATAAAAATTAGAAGATGCACTTAAATACTTTAATTCGTAATGAATTTAATTTCATTCTTAGATCTCTAAAGATAGATTAGAATTATGCCCCTGCATATAATGGAAGAGGGTTAGTTTTTGATAAAATAGGAGAGTTTGAAAAAGCATGTTAAGATTTTAATAAGGCAATAGAAATTGAACCTTAAAATCCTGTTTATATTCATAATAGAGGATGTTGTAAGAGAAGCATGAACAAGTTTGAAGAAGCTTTGGAAGATTTTAAGAAAGCTTTATCTTTGGATTCAAAGAACCCTATTATATATTCAAATATGGGGTTGGTTTTGAGAAAGATGGAAGACTATGAAACAGCTGTATATTGTTATTCACAAGAATTAATTTACTCTTAAGAGAATACTAGAACTTTAAATAACAGAGGATACTGTTTGGCCAAGTTGAGTTAGTTTGATGAAGCCATAGCTGATTATACTAAAGCAATAAAATTAGATCCTGTAAACATTCATGCAATTTATAACAGGGGAATTTGTAATGAGAGGATTGGTGAATTTCGTAAAGTAGAAAAGATTTATATATATAGGCTATAGAGGATTTTACTTAAGTAATTCAATTATAGAACGACTAAGGAGCTAATGCTTACTTCAACAGAGGGTGTTGCTATGATAAGTAATATTGATCTAAGTATACTAGTATTGGAGAAATGGATCTGGCTATAGCTGATTATTCCAAAGCCCTTGAAATTGATAATAAAACTAGTAAAGTCTCATGATAATTATTTATGTAAACCTTAAAATATTATTTAACTTAATTAACTTAATTAACTTAAAGATCAAAATATGCTTACTAATTAATTAGTTGTGATTATAAGGTTTATAAATTATAGTGTTTTATTTTTTAAAGCTTTCAAACACAAGGATCAACTCAGCAATAAAAGTTTAAAATATTTTATTTAAACATTTCTTAGAGAAGAAAAATATTTAATGTTTTAATGAGTAATTTGAAACAAATACTATTAGGCAATGAAGTTAGACTTACTAATGATTAATACTAAATGTTAAAATATTATAAAATAATAAAATTTAATTAATAATGGCACAAAAAGTAAAAAAAATAATATTTTAATTAATTATGTTATTTTATATCTTTATCAATTTTATAATGCTCTGCCTTTAAAATGATCCATAGATTCGCTGACTCCGAACATTTCCATCATATTATCATAGACACATGTTGGGAAGATTGCTTTCACCATAATTGCTAAATTAAGAATAATAGGCATTATCACAACAGCTTCATCTTAGAAAATTGCATTTACAATTCTTTATGATGCATAATCTAAACAATTAATAAAATAATTACTTTCAGATAATATTGGGAGTAGAAGAGGAAACCTAGATTTAGCTCCATCAAACATTCCTGTATTGATGAAATATGGACAAATACAAGTAGTCTTAACTTTAGAATTTATAGCTCTTAATTCAAATCTAAGAGATTCATCAAAACCAACAGCCCCAAATTTAGAGGCACAATAATCTACTAATCCTCTTACTCCAACCCAACCTCCTATTGAAGCTATTGTAACAATATGACCATGATTATTATTAATCATTTTTTCTAATACTTCTCTGACAGTCCAATGATGTGCAGTTGTATTTATATTGATTGTTTTAGAAATACCAGCTTCTGAATTATTAAGAATTTGCTTTCCACTCACAACTCCTGCATTATTAATCAAAATATCTATGTTCTTTTTATGATAATCAATGCACTCTTAAATTGCATTTTTAACAGATTTTGGATCACTAACATCACAATAAGCTCCAAATGCAGTTTTTTCACCATATGTCTTATTTATTTCTTCAACAACTTTTTACAAAGCTTCTGAATTCACATCAACAATTGATATCTTTATATATTAAAATTAAGTACTTTTGCTCCTAATTTAGCAAATCTTATTGCCATATTTCTTCCAATACCACTTGCTCCTCCTGTAATAAATATATGTTCATTAGTTACACTCTTCTTCTTTAACCATCTTACAATAAATTAAAAAATTACCCATTATATTTTCTAATTTGATATTGAAGATAGAGCAATCCAAAACTCAAAGCTGCCACTTATGCCATTCCATTCTTTCCTCTCTTTGTATAGAAGACCCTCAAGAAATCTTATGCTTTTCTGAAATATGGTTGTAATTTATCCATTTAAGATAATTATTTATTCTTATCAATAATTTACACTCTGTTTTATTGCCTCATAAATTTTAAATTTGTCTGGCAAATAAATTGGTTCATGAACTAATGGAAATGGTGTATCATAGCCTGCAACTCTTTTTATTGGTGCTTCCAAATGCAAGAAGCACTTTTCTTAGATAAAGGCACTTAATTCAGCTCCCATACCACATGTTTAAGGAGCTTCATGTGTTATTATGCATCTATTTCATCTATTAATTCATTACCTTCCAGTCTTTTTCACTGAATCAACTAGAGTCTATCCATCATATGGATATATTGTTTATAAATCAATTATCTCACAACTTACTCCATCCTTTTCTGCCAATTTAGATGCTTCTTTCAATACTCTTATTGATGTGCCATATCCAATCAATGTAATATGCTTTCCTTATTGAACTACTTCAGCTTTAGACAATTCCAACTAAAATTTCATTCCATTTTATATACCTCATAATCATCCAAAGGAACTTCGTCCTCAGCATTTCGATATAAGGCTTTAGGCTCAAAAAAAATGACTGGATTTTTATCTCTTATAGATGCAAGTAATAATCCTTTTGCTTATATTGGATCTCTAGGTACTACTACTTTGAGTCCTGGAGTATGAGCAAAGTATGCCTCTGGAGATTGTGAATGATATAATGCACTAAATTATACTTTCTATTCTTACCCATGTCCTACAGCACCCCAAGTGGATCTTATTGTTAAACTTCCACAATTGAATTGATTTCCTGATCTATATCTAAATTTGGCTGCCTCGTTGACTATCTAATCAAAGGCTGGGAATATGTAATCACCAAACTAGATTTCTGCTATTGCTGTGTATCCCACACTTGCCAATCCTATTCCAAAAGCACCGATTCCCTAATAATTTCTATTTATTCATACTTGCTCACATAATGGAGTATTGAATACTCTATCAGTACCGTACTTTTCATTCAAACCCTATGAACATCTAAAAACACCTCCAAATTTAACATCTTCTCCAAATAATAATGCCCTTTCTTATATTATATGACGTACTTTGGATTTGCTCCTAATTCTATATCAAGTGCATTGTTTATTGCTTAAAACAGGTTCATTTTCTACCTGTTTGTGCTTGTAATATCAGAAGCAAATCTATGCTTTGTTGAGCCAAATTGATACACTCTTCTCAATAATTACATTTATTTATTCAATTGCTTATGTAATTTCAATTTATTTTGTGATAAGATTGCCTGAATTAAAATAATGAATGGAGAAAAAAATTAAGACTTTGAAATCTCTTAATTCGATGGCAAATTTTCAGAAAAAGTCAAAAAATTTATCATCTTTTTAAAATTAAATCATAAATTTTATTAGTTTAGAATACGACTACTTATATACATTCAAGCATAATGTGAAAATATTTTACTTTTTATTAAAAGCTCTCATTAAAAAGTAATTAGATCACAAAAATTATGGATTAGAAAATTCAATTGAATTATTTGGGAGAATGTTAAAAATAATAAATAATTAACATCACCTTTTATATTATATATTAATAAATAGTGTCTAATTTGTTAATTATTCTTTTGGATTAATTTAGAAATATCAATAAATTTTTATTATTTTTGTCCAATAAGTATAAATCTAATAACATGTATCAATTTTTAATATTTTTAATTTCTAACATTAAATCTTTAGTTTAAGTTTTATTTTGTTTATTTAATATGTGACTACTTTATATATTAGTTTTAGCAATAAGTTATACAAAACTAAATTTTGCATATTGGAGTTTTAGGATATTAATTAAAATTTTTTATATCAACTTATGTTTTATTAAATCTCCAATTATCTAAGTTTTTATTAATATTTTAATGAATAAATCTAAAAATACCTTAATAAATAATATATGAAATCGCTTTTAAGTTGTAAATTTTTAAGTAATATTGGTAAATCTAGGCACATTATTTGTAATTTAATAAAATTAATATTTATTTACATTCAAGAAGGATAGTCAGACTGATTGAATATAATAAATTATATATAATGAATACGATTTAAGTGAATTTCTAGATTTTATAAAGTAATTTTAGTAAAATCATTTAAATAGCCATAATATTGAATTATTGAAAGAAGGACTCATTTAAAGATGATATACAGATTTAAAGATGAAAAATAAAGGCTCCATACAGTTTCAGGACTAAAATTATTATAGTCTATTTATATTACTTATTGGGATTGATTTTTAATAATACAATATGTAATTTTTTTCAAAATTAACATAATATTTTATCACTATTGGATCAAACACTGAAAGAAGAGTGATGTATATTGATTATGGCAATATGACGATGATTATTTATTACTTTATTTAACTTATTGGATATATATACAGCCAATTTGAAAGCAAATCGATTAAATATTATGAAAATGACTATTTAGCCTAAATTAGTTAGTTATCATCAATTCCTTTTATGCTAATTATCATACATTATGATCCATTAACTATTTTTGCCTATTACAGTGTATTTATTACCATAAGTGCTATTTTTCTAATTTCCTTACTATAAATATTGTTGAAGGTATCATAACTAATAATCAATAGCCACTACCTTTCAATTCCCCAATTAATAAATTCATCAAATTTTACTTTCAGAATTTTTAATGGTTTTTTTTGACTCCATTTAATGAATGCATGGTTGGAGTAATCACTTGTGGAAGATAATCATATTTAGCTCAACATTCAATAATTAAGCCCTCTGAATGCTTTTCTACTATATCTCCCCATTATTTGATAATTAGTTTTACTGGAATGATAATGATTTCATTTTCAGGAATTCTTTCTGTATATTGTTTTAGAAACTATGAATTTTTATAAAGAGGATTGTTAAGAAAATTCTCAAGCTTAAATTTTGTAACAATCTTTTTGCATTAGCTACTAATAATTTTATCATTTTGGAAATTGATGTACTCCGATTATTATATTATTATTCATGCTTGCTATAATTTGATTATGTTGTGTATTTTAATTGATGTAGTGACTAATATTCCTTTTGGATTCACAAATGAAACAGTATTCTACTCAAAAATATTATTCAGTTCTTTATTTTTTGGAATTTTGATAACTATATGGATTTTTACGAACAAGGATGATGGCATAATATTCTTAACATACTCCATTTTTTTACCAGTAAATTATAATAATTTTATAGATAATTTTTGCAGCTAATTCTGCTGTTTTTAGTAATTATTTTGAATAATAGAGTTTGAAATTTTGTGAATTTATCAATTATCCTTTAAGTGAATAGCCCTTAGAATATTTACTCTTGCTCTCTCATCCTTTAACTATGACACAAACTAGTATTTGCTAAGCTTTAAAGTATTTAAATATTCATTGTAATAATTGTGAAGATTTAAAATGTCCATGCAATTAAGACTTATCTAAATTTGTTTTATCGAATGGACCTTTTGATAATGAGAAACTTTATATATGGATACAATATTAATTTTAAAAATTAATAAAAATATCAATGAGAAAGTAGTATTCAATGGAAAATTTTGAATAATTAACAATAAAGTTTTCTACATTTTTGTAAAAATATCGTGAAAATTCATATTTATCTTATAAAAGCATTTAGGATATTGTTATAAATTTTAATAGAACTTAAAAGAATAATAAATAATATCCTTAATTTTTTATGAGTTTAACTAAGAAAATTCAATCTGATACCAAAAAAGAATTAGAATAATTAAATCGTTCTAAATTTATGGTTACAAAAATGGAATTTAAAACATTAACAGATTTAAATTTATTCTTTTTTTATGAAAATGATTTGATGATAAATATTAAATAATAAGTATATTATTGTAAAGAATTTTGGATACTCTATCAAAATGGTACTCTTAAAGATTTTAATGCTTTACTTTTATAATCTAAGAAAATATTAAATTAAATAGAGAAAGTTTAATAAATTTATAGAATTTTCTAATAAAAAAGAGAAGATTCAGAATATGAAAATATTTTAACTTTTAGAATTAATTTATTAATATCTATAAGTTGTTTAGATGATTTAAATACTTAATTAAAAATAGCTGATAAATTATAAGCTATTTAAAAAGAATCATTATTTACATCAAAATAATAATTTCACATTTTAAAATATATTAATAGTGAAGCTATTTCTGTAGCATCTTTGATATCTTTTTAATCATTTGGTATGATTGATTTAAAAATATCAAATAATTTTATATCATTTTTTGGATATGATCATAATGATTAAATAACATAAATTGATTAATTATTACCAATATAAATAGGATAAATTCATGATGGATTGGTTGAAAAATTTTTAATGGTAGGATAAAGTTCTAAAATATATAATACTCAAGAATCTTTTATAAAAAATAAAGATAATTTTATTGAAAATATTACAATGTGTTTAACTATCTCATTACCATTATAAGCTGATATTCATTATTTTTTCATTCTATCACATTTATTAAAATAACATACTTATGAAAAAAAAAATCAAGATATTTATGAAAAAGGGTATTTATTAGTTGATGTTAACTTTTATGTTTTTGGAATCAGTGAAAATATTTTTAAAAAGATTACTTAATTTTCATAAAATGATATAATCAATTTAGATTAAATTTAATAAAAATTGACATTATTTTAATTGATTCCTGATCTTTTTTCAAAAATGCAAGAATACTATAAAATAAAATAGCTTTAAAATTCAAATCTAGCAAATTATGAAGTATTATTTTATAAACATGGTGGATCATTTCATATTCCAAATAAATAATTTATAGATAATTATGAATAAAAAACAAAAAATAAGAATATTAATAATATATTAACTAATAAAATAATTAATAATAATCTAATTGAAATTGAAAAATCATTTAATTTCTCAAATATCAGTTAATGTTAATTTTCTATAGAATATTCTGTTGTTTAGAATTTATTAAATCCTCTAATAAATGGAATTATGTCAGATTTTTTATATTACAAAATAGAAATTGAATTTTAAGATGATTCAAATAATAGTAAATCAATTTTTCAAATTTTGCCATCTTATTAAGATATCAAAAAAGAATAAATTAATTCTAAAAATAAGTCTCCAAATTAAAGTTAAGTTATGTTACAATCATATGAATCAGAAGATTCAAATAATTAAATTCATTAAAAATCTTAAAAGGCTTCTGAATTAAAATCTGAAAACTCTCTATACAATTAAGTAACAATGATGAATGAAATATTAAGTTGTAATAAAATGCCAAAGCCAATACTCAATTTAATACTCCTTTTTGTTCTTTAATTATTCATATTTATTGTAATGATAATTTTTTTAGCTATTCTTTTTAACTAAAAGTCAAAAATACAATCAAATTGTGTAAAAATTAATTCCATAGATTTAGACTTTTTAGATGGTTATTCTTAAATGATGTCAGGGTCTAGACATGTAATTTATTTTCGTGATTTTTATTAAAATCTTTCTGATTAAAAGTTGATGATTGATAAGAATAATATAGAATTTAGTCTTAATAATAAATTATTAATATCTTGGAATCATATTAATCTTGGGATTACAAGATTAATTAACATATATAAAATACACAGTCAAACCTTAAATTAAGGTTCTGAAGATGATTTAAACATTTCAATTATTAATAGTGATTTAAAAAGTAAAATAGTATAATAAGTTAAAGATTAATCTACTTATTATTAAGTAATGTTTTAAATCTTTTTTATGTCAAAATAAACATTCACTTAAAATTTATCAAACTTTTTATAAAATTCTACTGATCCTTACACTACTTAAATTAGTAGATCTTTAGTTTATTATAATTATTTTGATGTAAGTTAATTAGTTTAGGCAAAGTTAGAATCTTGCAAAAGTTATAATTATTATATTAATGAATATATTGATAGGATAACATCATATTTCTTTATAGCTTTGTATTTAATAATTTCAATAATTGCAATTATTTAATTTATTTTTTATTTTTAAATAAAAAGATAAATTAGTTTTTATTTAAAATTGTTTATTTAAATAGATGGTTAAGATTCAAATAAATGTATATAAAAATTTGATAATATTCATAAAATCTTAAATAATTAATCAATAGTTTTAAGTAAAAAAAATTATGAGAAAATTATAGCTCAACCATCTGTTTAATATGATAATCTTAGAACTTTAAATTTTAATAATTAAGTAAATTTTATTCAACCTTAAAAATCTAAAGAAAAGTAAATCAGAATTGATAATCATATTTCTTATTTTTATCATATATTTGCTCTAGTTTTAATATCCTTAATACCTATTGTATATGCATTAGCTTACTAATTATATTATAACTTGATTTCAGTTAATGTTACTCCAATTAATGATTAAGCAATTTAAGCATAATAAATGAGATTAAAATTTATAACAACTATCAATAGATATGATTAATTTTTAATCAAATCTTATTTTGAATCTTACTGTAAATTATCATAATTAAACTCTTCATTTAAATGTTCTGCCAATAATATCTATTCAGACAATCAAATTTTATAATAAATAGATATGAATGAAACAATAATTTAAGAAGAATTAACTACTTTTTAATAATTAGATTTTTCTAATTTTTTCTTTAATTCAATAAATTCAAATTAATTTAATTCAGAAGAAAAATAATCTATTTTGTCTAAAGATACATGTTTATTAACAAATTGTGATATGAAGAAAGATTTATTTTAAGAAAGGTTGTTTTAAGAAAATCTAAACTCTTATTTCTTTTAAGGAATAATTAAACTTCATTAAATTGTTTCCTCACTATATGTTTAATTTGATTTAATATATAAAGGTCTTAATACAACTGAAGCAAAACTACTTGCAATTGAAAATATTATGCAAGATAATGATTATTTAATATATATCCTCTGGGGATTGGATGCCATTTAATATCAAATTGCATAATTTTCTCAATATTTTGTTAATACTTCATTGACAATATTGGAGGACTTTACTTCAAACCTTTTGGTCAATGTTTTATAGAGCGGCATTGGGATGTTATTGATGATAGTGACAATTTAAATTCTTTTCATTCAAGTCTAAGTGAAGAGATAGATAATTGCAAAATAATTATTCAAAATTGTTCCTTTGTAAATCATTTTTTAGAAAAACATTCAAAGATAGTTAACCATTTTTTAAAGAAAAATATATAAATGATTATATAAATATTTTGCTAAGCGTTAATATCAATAATATATTATAAATTTGAAATTTAACCTAAATCGACATGATGTAGCTTTTTAATAATTTAATTTTTTAGCTATACTAAAAATCTTACTCTTAAATATATTTAAATAGACTTCCTTTATAATATGTTTATTAAATATAATTGCTTATTAAATAACTGCATTTCTCTTATAGAGCTCAAATATTATTAATTTTAAAGAAGTCACGCTTTAAAAAGTCTATGTTTATATTATTATATCGATGATTTTAATAAAATAATTTTTCTAAAAATTTTTAATAATTAAAATTAAAAATATCAAATAATGAAACCTATTATATAAATGTGCAAAACAATTTCATAGATCTCGTTTGTTTATTAATTTTTTTAAAATAATTAAATAGAAGTTATTAATTTTTTCAATAGAATTTTTAATAGTTAATATATTCTATATATATTAATTATTGTATATAATATAGAAAATATTCTAAATCAATTATAATTTTTTCTTTTTTAATAATTTGATAATTCTTAATGAATCTTTTTATTAAATATTACTGAAATAGGAATAAGTCTGATTAGGAATGATGAAAATCTCTAATTTTTTATTTGTTTCTATATAATTAAAAATTATATTAGTAAAAGTGTCAAAGTACATAAAATACCAGTTGAAAGTATTATGCGCTAAATAATTGTTATAGCATCATCCAATATTGTCAATGAAGTATTAACAAAATATTGAGAAAATTATGCAATTTGATATTAAATGGCATCCAATCCCCAGAGGATATATATTAAATAATCATTATCTTGCATAATATTTTCAATTGCAAGTAGTTTTGCTTCAGTTGTATTAAGACCTTTATATATTAAATCAAATTAAACATATAGTGAGGAAACAATTTAATGAAGTTTAATTATTCCTTAAAAGAAATAAGAGTTTAGATTTTCTTAAAACAACCTTTCTTAAAATAAATCTTTCTTCATATCACAATTTGTTAATAAACATGTATCTTTAGACAAAATAGATTATTTTTCTTCTGAATTAAATTAATTTGAATTTATTGAATTAAAGAAAAAATTAGAAAAATCTAATTATTAAAAAGTAGTTAATTCTTCTTAAATTATTGTTTCATTCATATCTATTTATTATAAAATTTGATTGTCTGAATAGATATTATTGGCAGAACATTTAAATGAAGAGTTTAATTATGATAATTTACAGTAAGATTCAAAATAAGATTTGATTAAAAATTAATCATATCTATTGATAGTTGTTATAAATTTTAATCTCATTTATTATGCTTAAATTGCTTAATCATTAATTGGAGTAACATTAACTGAAATCAAGTTATAATATAATTAGTAAGCTAATGCATATACAATAGGTATTAAGGATATTAAAACTAGAGCAAATATATGATAAAAATAAGAAATATGATTATCAATTCTGATTTACTTTTCTTTAGATTTTTAAGGTTGAATAAAATTTACTTAATTATTAAAATTTAAAGTTCTAAGATTATCATATTAAACAGATGGTTGAGCTATAATTTTCTCATAATTTTTTTTACTTAAAACTATTGATTAATTATTTAAGATTTTATGAATATTATCAAATTTTTATATACATTTATTTGAATCTTAACCATCTATTTAAATAAACAATTTTAAATAAAAACTAATTTATCTTTTTATTTAAAAATAAAAAATAAATTAAATAATTGCAATTATTGAAATTATTAAATACAAAGCTATAAAGAAATATGATGTTATCCTATCAATATATTCATTAATATAATAATTATAACTTTTGCAAGATTCTAACTTTGCCTAAACTAATTAACTTACATCAAAATAATTATAATAAACTAAAGATCTACTAATTTAAGTAGTGTAAGGATCAGTAGAATTTTATAAAAAGTTTGATAAATTTTAAGTGAATGTTTATTTTGACATAAAAAAGATTTAAAACATTACTTAATAATAAGTAGATTAATCTTTAACTTATTATACTATTTTACTTTTTAAATCACTATTAATAATTGAAATGTTTAAATCATCTTCAGAACCTTAATTTAAGGTTTGACTGTGTATTTTATATATGTTAATTAATCTTGTAATCCCAAGATTAATATGATTCCAAGATATTAATAATTTATTATTAAGACTAAATTCTATATTATTCTTATCAATCATCAACTTTTAATCAGAAAGATTTTAATAAAAATCACGAAAATAAATTACATGTCTAGATCCTGACATCATTTAAGAATAACCATCTAAAAAGTCTAAATCTATTGTAGCTATTCTAATGCAATTAGATTGTAAAATTGACTTTTAGGAAAAGAACATAGCAATAAAAGTAATCAAAGTAAGAAGCATGAAAATTTAGCTAATAAAAAGCAGAATCAATCTTAGAATTGGTTTAGGTATTCTTTTATCACTTATTAAATTGTTCAAGAGATTTGCTTAATAAAAAAGGTCATTTTTGTTGTTCCTTTATGTTGTTGTGGATGACGCAATCACTTATTGGTAATTTAAAAATCCATCATCCTCTGATTCATATGATTGTAACATAACTTAACTTTAATTTGGAGACTTATTTTTAGAATTAATTTATTCTTTTTTGATATCTTAATAAGATGGCAAAATTTGAAAAATTGATTTACTATTATTTGAATCATCTTAAAATTCAATTTCTATTTTGTAATATAAAAAATCTGACATAATTCCATTTATTAGAGGATTTAATAAATTCTAAACAACAGAATATTCTATAGAAAATTAACATTAACTGATATTTGAGAAATTAAATGATTTTTCAATTTCAATTAGATTATTATTAATTATTTTATTAGTTAATATATTATTAATATTCTTATTTTTTGTTTTTTATTCATAATTATCTATAAATTATTTATTTGGAATATGAAATGATCCACCATGTTTATAAAATAATACTTCATAATTTGCTAGATTTGAATTTTAAAGCTATTTTATTTTATAGTATTCTTGCATTTTTGAAAAAAGATCAGGAATCAATTAAAATAATGTCAATTTTTATTAAATTTAATCTAAATTGATTATATCATTTTATGAAAATTAAGTAATCTTTTTAAAAATATTTTCACTGATTCCAAAAACATAAAAGTTAACATCAACTAATAAATACCCTTTTTCATAAATATCTTGATTTTTTTTTTCATAAGTATGTTATTTTAATAAATGTGATAGAATGAAAAAATAATGAATATCAGCTTATAATGGTAATGAGATAGTTAAACACATTGTAATATTTTCAATAAAATTATCTTTATTTTTTATAAAAGATTCTTGAGTATTATATATTTTAGAACTTTATCCTACCATTAAAAATTTTTCAACCAATCCATCATGAATTTATCCTATTTATATTGGTAATAATTAATCAATTTATGTTATTTAATCATTATGATCATATCCAAAAAATGATATAAAATTATTTGATATTTTTAAATCAATCATACCAAATGATTAAAAAGATATCAAAGATGCTACAGAAATAGCTTCACTATTAATATATTTTAAAATGTGAAATTATTATTTTGATGTAAATAATGATTCTTTTTAAATAGCTTATAATTTATCAGCTATTTTTAATTAAGTATTTAAATCATCTAAACAACTTATAGATATTAATAAATTAATTCTAAAAGTTAAAATATTTTCATATTCTGAATCTTCTCTTTTTTATTAGAAAATTCTATAAATTTATTAAACTTTCTCTATTTAATTTAATATTTTCTTAGATTATAAAAGTAAAGCATTAAAATCTTTAAGAGTACCATTTTGATAGAGTATCCAAAATTCTTTACAATAATATACTTATTATTTAATATTTATCATCAAATCATTTTCATAAAAAAAGAATAAATTTAAATCTGTTAATGTTTTAAATTCCATTTTTGTAACCATAAATTTAGAACGATTTAATTATTCTAATTCTTTTTTGGTATCAGATTGAATTTTCTTAGTTAAACTCATAAAAAATTAAGGATATTATTTATTATTCTTTTAAGTTCTATTAAAATTTATAACAATATCCTAAATGCTTTTATAAGATAAATATGAATTTTCACGATATTTTTACAAAAATGTAGAAAACTTTATTGTTAATTATTCAAAATTTTCCATTGAATACTACTTTCTCATTGATATTTTTATTAATTTTTAAAATTAATATTGTATCCATATATAAAAGATTTCATAATCTAAATAGCCATTTTATAAAGTAAAATTCGATAAATCCTAAGAGCATGGACAAAAAATATCTTTACAGTGATTACAATGAACACTAAGGAATTTAAAAAATTAAAAATAATTAATTCTGTTGATGGTTAATGTTGTCGAGAGCATAACTAAATATTCTAAAGGTTATTCATTTAAAGAAATATTTTTGAGTTAGCAAAAATTCAAACTTTACTATTCAAAATAGTTTTTAATAATTATTGAAATACTCATAAAAAATAACTATTAATTTTATAAAATTATACTGGTAAGAATAATGAACAGGTTAAAAATATTAACCCATCATCCTTTTTTGTAAAAATCCAAAGAGATACCAAAAATCCAAAAAATATTGAAATTATCAAAAATTTTGCATAAAAAATGGTTTCATGTGTAAATCCAAATGGAATATTTGTAACTACGTCAATCAATATGATAAGCATAATAAAATAAAAGCATGTATGTATTAGAATATAATGATTAGTAATCATAAGCTTCCAAAAAGATAGTAATATAAGTAACTAATGTGAAAACATGGTTAAATAATTTAAAGTAGAGAATTTTCTTAACAATCCCCTTTATAAAAATTCATAATTTCGAAAGCAATATATGGAAATAATTCCAGATAATGACACTAAAATTATTCCAGTAAAACTTATAATTAAATAATGTGGTGAAATAACTTAAAAGCATTAAAGAGGTTCAATAATTGAATGTTATGCTAAGTAAGATTATCTCTCACATGTAATGACTCCAACCATACATTCATTAAATGGAGTTAAAAAAAACCATTAAAACTTTTAAAAATAAAATTTTATAAACTTGTTAATTGGGGACTTAGAAGGCAATTGCTAAAAAATTATGATCATTTGTACCTTTACAAGGATTTATAATAAGCAAATTATAAAAATAAGGCACATAAGGATAAATACAATATAGTAAACACATTTCGTCAAAGGATCATATTGTATAACAGCAAAAATAAAAGGAATTGATGATAGTTGGCAAACTTAGGCTAAAAAGTCATTTTCATAATATTTTATCTATTTTGTTTCAAATTGACTATATATATATCCAATAAGTTAAACATAGTAATAGACAATCATAATTATATTTCCATAATCGATATCTAATTTTCTTCTTTCAGTGTTTTATCCAATAGAAATAAAGAATTATGTTAGTTTTGAAAAAAATGACATGATTATTAAATAAAAATTATTNAAAAGATTTCATAATCTAAATAGCCATTTTATAAAGTAAAATTCGATAAATCCTAAGAGCATGGACAAAAAATATCTTTACAGTGATTACAATGAACACTAAGGAATTTAAAAAATTAAAAATAATTAATTCTGTTGATGGTTAATGTTGTCGAGAGCATAACTAAATATTCTAAAGGTTATTCATTTAAAGAAATATTTTTGAGTTAGCAAAAATTCAAACTTTACTATTCAAAATAGTTTTTAATAATTATTGAAATACTCATAAAAAATAACTATTAATTTTATAAAATTATACTGGTAAGAATAATGAACAGGTTAAAAATATTAACCCATCATCCTTTTTTGTAAAAATCCAAAGAGATACCAAAAATCCAAAAAATATTGAAATTATCAAAAATTTTGCATAAAAAATGGTTTCATGTGTAAATCCAAATGGAATATTTGTAACTACGTCAATCAATATGATAAGCATAATAAAATAAAAGCATGTATGTATTAGAATATAATGATTAGTAATCATAAGCTTCCAAAAAGATAGTAATATAAGTAACTAATGTGAAAACATGGTTAAATAATTTAAAGTAGAGAATTTTCTTAACAATCCCCTTTATAAAAATTCATAATTTCGAAAGCAATATATGGAAATAATTCCAGATAATGACACTAAAATTATTCCAGTAAAACTTATAATTAAATAATGTGGTGAAATAACTTAAAAGCATTAAAGAGGTTCAATAATTGAATGTTATGCTAAGTAAGATTATCTCTCACATGTAATGACTCCAACCATACATTCATTAAATGGAGTTAAAAAAAACCATTAAAACTTTTAAAAATAAAATTTTATAAACTTGTTAATTGGGGACTTAGAAGGCAATTGCTAAAAAATTATGATCATTTGTACCTTTACAAGGATTTATAATAAGCAAATTATAAAAATAAGGCACATAAGGATAAATACAATATAGTAAACACATTTCGTCAAAGGATCATATTGTATAACAGCAAAAATAAAAGGAATTGATGATAGTTGGCAAACTTAGGCTAAAAAGTCATTTTCATAATATTTTATCTATTTTGTTTCAAATTGACTATATATATATCCAATAAGTTAAACATAGTAATAGACAATCATAATTATATTTCCATAATCGATATCTAATTTTCTTCTTTCAGTGTTTTATCCAATAGAAATAAAGAATTATGTTAGTTTTGAAAAAAATGACATGATTATTAAATAAAAATTATTTTTTTTTTGTAGAAATTTTCTATTAATGTTAGAATTCATCCTTTAATTACGATAAAACTTAAAATGATAGTCGATTTTAATTAGAGTATTTTGTAATCTCTTAAGGTAGCTTAAATTTTATCAAAGTTTGGACTTTAAGCTTACAAATTTTTATTTCACCTTACAATTGAATTGTTGAATATTTAAAATTTACACAAAAATAATATTGATCTTTAAATTATTTTATTAAAAATGTTATCGTCCTTTTTTAAGATAATATTGATTTAATTAGGTAACCATTGATAAAAATAAAATAATATTATTAATTCAATTATGAATTTTTATTATTCATTAAATCAATTAAACACTTGGTATACTAAGGAGAGATTAGATATCTTTTATTAGATTTGGTTCAGATATTATAGTCTTTGTAATCCAATTTCCATTTTGAAGTTGAAAAACTTTAACATCTCTAGTCGTAGTTTATTATTAGTTATCATTTATTATAAACTCATAAGAAATTGAAAGCAAATTAGCTAAGGAATTCCATTACACTTTATAAGCTAGACTATTTTATAATGGATCTTAGTTAATATATATTAAATTTTGCTTTTCTACTTATGATTCCCCTATGAATCTAAATTGCCAAATTTTAACTCCTTCTTAAGTAGCAAATGCAATTTAATGATAGGATTTACCATTTTAATTTGCCCATTAGACATCATATACAGTTTTTTCCTCATCAAATTCAAAAAATTTTGTAAATGTTAATTTTTAAGTTTCATGCTAAAGTATCCAAATAGACAAAGTTTTTATTCTTTATAGAGTATAATTTTCAAGTTTTAGTCTCAAATATCTTGAATTCTCATCATTTCCAGCAAAAATACTCATATCTTTATCTGATGGAGCTTAATTCCAAGACAATGCTCTTAGCCCATAAGGCATAATACTGATTTCTTCTGCTTCTAATCTGAATTGATTGTTTTCATAAGCTCTGTGAACTTAAACAATTCCATCTGCAAATGCAATAACTAATAGTAAACCATTAGATTTTGAACCAAATTAAATATCAACAATTAATTCCGTCTTTTCTAGTGTTAAAGATCTTTATTTCCATACTGTAGTAATTTATTTTTATCCATTAGAGTTTTCCAAATATTATTTTTTTTCCTCCCATACTTAAATTCCTTTACTTTAACTAGAAATTGCTATCAATTATCCAAATTTAGGATCAGCCCATTTAACTTTCCAAGCATTACTGCAACTAAATTTGAATTCTGAACTCTTCTCCCATTTTCTAATATAATTCAGCTAAATAATACCCATCTACTTTATTGAAAATTCTTAATGTCTAATCACTGGATGCAATAGCAAATCTGGAACCGTTTTAATTAAAGGCGATATCCTAAATAGTATCCTAATGAAAGGGTTCAATTAGCATTAATTAATTAACTAAATTTAATATATGAATAAATAATAAAATTAAAGCAAACTCTTTTCCCTTTTTAGTTTAAGATGACTAAATTGAATTTCTAATTATTCTTTGATAAATACTATCTTTTCAAACTTCACATTAAAAATAAGATTTTCTAAAGATGAAATTTTCAATAATTTTATTAAATTATAATGATTTCTGTTTAACCAGAAGGTTCAAAACCCATGAAATTTTAGGGAGGTCGAATTCACTTAAGACCTATAGATAGTATAGGGAGAGACTTTGATTTAGGAAATATTGAAACTAAAGGCAGAAGACATTTTTCTTTTGATCCAACACCAGTTATGCAATATAAACCTCAATTAAGAGTTGGGTTTCCTAAAAATGTTACTAATCCTGAAATATTATTTACTCATAAAAGTTAAGGAGGCCCTGATAAATTAACTTATATGCCTCCAATCAAAAAGCATAAAGAGTTTATTTCCACTATGAGAAAAACAGTCATTAACAAAGAAGTAAATACATTAATTTATTGTAGTATGAGGAATAATAGACTGAAAATAAAAGAATGATTGAAGAGTTGGATGTTTGGGAGAAAAAGTTTAGAAAATTATGATTATTTTAGCATATATTACTAATTAAAAGATATTAATAATGTAAATTATTAAGAGCAGAGCAGTATAGTAATTGGTACATCGTTCCTAATACAACAAAATCGTATGGCAATCATCTAATCCATATAACAAAAGATGGCAATACAAATTTAAGAATGCTTATTACACATATCCAAGAGATATCAATTAAGAGCATACCTACGTTAAAACCCCAAAAGATAATTGGGAATCAGTTCCACTTGGATGGGCTTGGATCTAAGATTTATTACATAGACATGTATACATTTTGTTAATAATATAGGTGCCAAATTTTTCATGTTTAATCGAAAGAAGACATAGATTATTTGATAAGTTTAATGTTTATTTCTTGCCTGCATTCAGTCTATTCTTTTATCAATTTTACCCATTAGCATTTGGATTTAAAGTATTAAATTATGGATATCAATTAGGTTTTAACAGTGTTGCCATTGGCAATGTTATATGTGAGAGCCAGAGATAAATGCGGTGATCCTGATTTCAAAGAAACATACCTTAGGGATATGTTATACAAAAACAACGAAATAAATGCTCTTTTTAAGGATGAGACTCTTCATGTCTTAGATTACGATTGTGAATATGATAAAGGATATCCATGTCCAGAAAAATTCCCAGAATTCAAAAATAAGGTAACAAACAAGTTCATTTCTTAGTTTTGGCAATTTTTCAATACTGATACATCAATGACAACTGGATATTTCAAAATGGCTGATGTAGAATCAGGTGCAGTGATGAATTTGAAATTTAAGACAATGCCTGTTCCAGGAAAATATAGATATTAAATAGGGGAACCATTTTATTTTTATGATTTAAGAGGTATTAAACAATATTATGTCAAAAGCTGAAATTACTCATAATGGATAACATAAGGAAGTTGTTTTAGTTGATGAGAAAGTAGCTTTGCAAAAAATAAGACCATTTTTATTAATTATTTGAAAAATAAAATAACATATCAATCTAGGATATTAAAATTATAATCAATTTCATTACTTTATTGCAATTTGCGATAAGTACTTGCTATTCTCTCTTTAACTTTTTCATTTATTTATTAGTTTTAACCTTTTTCGTTTTATTTTTGTTCAGTCTCCTTTTTTAATATTTATTAGGGATTCAATTGTTTCTACTCTGTCCATTCAATGACGAAATCATACCAAACTTAATCACCTATGATTTATCCAAATAAAGAATAAAGAACAAGTTTTAATTCTTATACATCTGATAAATGACGCTTATTTTAATATAATCTAAGTATTCTCTCTTATTCAATTTTTTATAACTATTCCAATTACTATTATAATTGAACTAATTTTTAATTGTAATCTTTAGTCAGCAAATTAACTTCACTTGGCAAATTTTATAATTTAAAATTAGATTATTCCTTTTCTTGAGGATTAAGAGATTCCAATTCTTAATTTTCCCATTTTATAACATGAGCAAAAGCTGAGGGATTGAGTGGATCAATACCTTAAACGAATACTGGTTTTTTAATTGAAACTTTGCTTTTCTTTAACATTGTTTTTACTTAATTTTTTAATTGAAACACACTAATAGGTTGAGATTAAAATAATGTCTATTATGATTAGCTACTTTTGAGATTGGAAGTTGAAGGAAGAAGTTTTTGTGCCAACTATCTGGTTTCTTCAATTTCAATATCTAGCTAAGCAGCTTATAATAAATAATTTCTAGAAGTATCATCAAGATATCTAGGAAATTAATCTAACTTTGCATTTTCATTTATTTTTTTCATATTCTTAATTATTGAAACTAATCCTTCAGGTACTAAAGATTCATTTGCTTCTTGAAGTTATTTGAGAAATATATCTTTTAAAAGCATTTTACATCTTCTCTTTTTTTGTCTATGTTCATCTAAATCCTTCTAAAGTATCTATTATTTTTCATTATTTTTATGAATTTCATCTTTTATTTATGTAATAACCTTTTAGATATTTTTAATTTCTAAATCCCTTTACTATCTAATCTTCTCTACTATATCCATCAAATTCCTTTTCTTACCTTCTTAATCTGGTATATAGCCTAGTCTTGCCTTTTCTTCCTTTACATAATATTTTCTTCGAATTTCACTAATTTCTTCTTCATATTTATTAATTTATTAAACTTATTGATTATTGTCTAATCTCATTTGATAGAGTATTTATTTGTTATCATTGATTTAAGTTTAAAATTATTAAAAGGATTCCATTAATTATTTAGCTGATGATGATGTCTATTATCCAGTTTAAATTAGTTCAACTTGAAATTAATTTTAAGGTTTATTACTATAATATTTTGCTTTAGATAATACAACATCATAATCTATATATTATGCTGGATTACTAAAATATTCTGTTAAACCTTTAAAATTATTAAGAGTAGAACTTTTTAAGGCTTATGATTGTTCTCTGACAACTTATGCAGTTTCTTCATCCAGTTTTTGTAAATTCCAATTAGATTTTGATTTTCTATTGATTTTTAGATCATCTAACTTTTTAGTAACTTTTTGCAATAATAATGAATTTAAGATTTATTTATTCATTTCAATTCTAACTTAATCAAGAGTTTTAAGAACTGGATTGTTTGAATCTCTGTTTGGTCTCAACATCTAAAACTTAACTTAGACTGAAGTATTTTATTCTTCATCCTGTTATTATATTTTTAATTATTGTTTTTCTTAAGGCTTCATGATAGAATTTAAGATGGCTTGATTTATTTATGGTCCACCATCATTAGTAAATTCATTATCCAATAATTTATTGTCATTTTATTTAATCTATTCAAAAGCAAAGGTTTTTCTATTTGATATTATTTGCTCATGCCATTAATCTAATTATTCAAGTAAATGATCATTTTCATCTTAACTTTATTTTCTATGATTTTAAGATGATGGTTTATGTGTAAATTCTCCTCCATCTCCTAAATCAACAACATTTCTCATTCTAATGATTTTTCTATCTCTTATATATATAAATTGAATACCTTTGGAAGTAGGATCAGCTTCCTCAAATTAATTGCTTGAACGATTCCTTGGGACTTAAGTTGAAGGTTTAGAATCATAATTTGATGGAGAATGCATAGTTGATCTAATTAGAACATTTTTTTAATTTTTTTTCATTAAAATTATGAATTAAATATTCCCAAATATAATGCCTAAGATAATTTATCATCAAGATGACATTTTCATTCAGAAATTATAATTGAATACTTTTTCAAATCTAGGGATAACATTGGAGCTTCTGCAAAATTGTTAAAACATGTCTACAAGAGAAATTATACTAAATGTCTTTTATTATGAATATAACTTAAGAAATAGTCCTTTTGATTTTATCAAAATTGGATATTAAAGTTTTTAGTAAGTTGTATTTCAACAAATATACATTTTAATTTTATTTCTTTATCAAAATTTTTAACCATTTTTGCATTCTGATGTTGAAATTATGTATTAGAGATTAGCTGTTTTAAACTGAATATAATAGATTAAGAATTGAATTTTTAGATTTCAATACTCAAAAGGATTTTCATTATAAGCATTCTTTAGTACTGAATTAATACAAAAAGTAGAGATTTTTCAAGATTTACTAATATCTATTCAAATATGTGATTTTTTCTAAACAATATATTAATGGAGGACCTTTTCACATATAATATAGGTTTAATAATCCAAAGAATTAGAAAGAATCATAGGTGTTGAAAAAGACAATACATAACATAGTCTTAGAGAGTATTGTAAATTGATAAAATGTAGGTCAAGAGAATCTAATGATATTTTATAAGAACAGTTGTTTTAATTAAAAAAAATATATTGAATTTATTTTATATTTTATTAAGTGAGAATATGAAATATTCTAAATATTTATTATCTACTGTTAGCAAATAATTTTGAATATAAATAAAGGATACACCTGTAATTATTGTTAATTACCTTAACATTATATAATATATATCACTTATTAAATTAAATGTAATTTGATGTTCAAATTAACTAACATAAGGAGGATAGGAAACTAACTCTTATTAATGAATAAGAATTTTAAAATAATTAGAAGTAGCTTGCCATCAAAGTGCTTCCTTCAGCAAAATAATAAATGAGTACGAAAAAATTCAAGAGAACGACCTCTATTATAGATGATGATGAGTACACTTATAAAGGGCCATTTGAGGATAGTAGAGTGACAAGGATGATTTTTGAAAAATGTAGAATTATAGAATTGACTAGATTTTGGTTAATAGTAGCAAGTGTAATACTTAACATTTTAGAAGTATAATTATTTTGAGTTAGTATGAATATAGCTTTTCAACTTATTTAACAAAAAACATGGAGAATGAATTGAATATACTACTCTATCTAATTTTTTCGATGTCAATAATAATAATTTTTTTAACTATTATCTCATATTAAATAGAGTTGGAATATAGAAAGAGTTCCAGAATAATCTCTTAAAAGGCTACTTTAATATAAACTAGCCTTATTTGGGATTTATTAGTTGAGTTGATAATTATTATACCAACATCAAACCCTTTTACAAAGGACTATTATGTAACTTTTAATTAAAGAGGATCCTCTGAAATTAGATTCTATACAATCAACGAAATTTTGACTTATATAATGTTTTTCCGACTATATTTATTACTCAATATAGGGTTCAAATTTTAAAGTTATTATTCTAATAGGATAGGAAGAGTTTGGTAATATATTTGACTATATTAATTTAAAGTCGTTTATATCAAACTCGTTTTGGAACTCATTTAATGTTAAAGCTATGTATTCGATAATTTCCATTTTATACATTGAGTTGGTTATTTATTGTTGGATTAATCTAATATACTTACTAATTGGAAATAGCTGAGAGACCATTATTAAGAACATTCGATGTTATTAATTATTATAATATTACGAAAAGTTTGTGGGTTACAATGATAACCATAGCTACTGTAGGATATGGAGATTTCTTTCCTTATACAGATTTAGGAAGAATTTCTATGACTTTAGGATTGTTTTATGGTGTTACTATAACTTCTCTATTTACTGCTATTTTGTATAATATGCTATAGCCAGTTTCTGGTGAAAATAAATCTTGGGCTTTATTGGATAAGACTGAAATTACTAAGAATATGAAAAAAGCTAGTTCTAATATATTTTTTTATTTTTATTAAATAAAAAATAAAAGGAAAGTTGCAAAACGGTTGGAAATTCAAGAAAACTTTGATAACATTCTTTTTAATTTAGAAAGTCATTTATCAGATGTAGGTATAATGAGAAGGTAATATTTTGTAATGAATTAATTTTAGAATGTATAGAGATATAGATGGTGAAGAATTTATGGAAATGGTAAAGAGGAAATTTGGTGATTCAAATCATAGTTTTAAGGATTTAATATTATATCTATAAAAAATGATGGAATAACATTAATTAATTCTTAATAATTTAGAAAAAAATTAGGATTTATAATCCTTTAAACTTAAATCGTCCCAAGCGAAAAACTTACAGTATGGCTAATTTAGCTCTCCTTAGAGTTATTAATAAAAATTAAATACAGAAGATAAACTTAGCAAAGATGACAATTTCTTTGAAAATTTAGAAGAATCAAATAGAGATTCCTGTCTGATGAGCTTTCATGATTGATAAATAATTGATAGTTAAAATTATATTATGAATATATAAAATTAAGGATCTGTAGAATTGTCTGGAAATCCAGTTTCAAGGGCAAATGAAGATGAAGCAGTATAATATTAGAAAAGACTCTCTGTTATCATTTTAAATCAAATAGAACGAAAAAGAACAAAAACAAAATCTACAATCATATAAAGCTCAAAACATAATGCCTTTGAAAATAGTAGAGTGACTAGAGTCTATTTTGAAAGATATAGAGTTTTGGAATACGGGAGATTTTGGGTTATTTGTGCTACAATAGTTTTAGTTGTTTTAGAGGTGTAAATAATGATAAATAATTATAGTATGAAGTTTCTTTTTTGCATCAATTAACAGACATCTATGATAAAGAAATAAAAATATTGCTTTATTTAATAATGATCTTATCTATAATTTCAAGTAAATTGTTAATTTAATTAGTTATTATGACTTTTATTGCTTATTAAGCAGAACTTGAATTTAAAAAACGTTCTCTCTCAATTCCTAAAGCTAGCAATATATTTTAAACAAATTTGATTTTCCTTCTAATCTTAGAAACTATTATTCTATTACCATGTCCTACACCATATACTATGGAATTTAAGATATTCTTTACTTAAAGATATTCAGACCAAATCAGATTTTATTTCATAAATGAGATCCTAACATTTATAATGCTCTTTAGATCTTTATTGATTCTAAATATAGCATTTAAGTTCCAAGATTTCTATTCTAATAGAGTAAATAGATTATGGTATATATATTGAACACACAATTTTAGTCGTATTTATTCAGTAGATTTTGGTCCCCATTTCATATTTAAGGTAGCTATTCGAGAACATCCCTATAAGACAATCTGTGGACTCTTTTGTATTGGATTATTCATTTTCTCCTATTAGTTAGAAATTTCGGAAAGATCTTTATTAAGAACTGAATAAGAAGTAAAGATTTATAATTTTAATCATTCTTTTTGGGTTTGTATGATAACTATATTTACAGTTGGTTATGGTGATATATATCCATCAACTGATCTTGGAAGATTTTCAATGACTTTAGGTTTATTTTATGGTGTAGCATTGACTTCTTTGTTTACTGCTATTCTTTATGCTGATTTATAACCTTTATCTGCAGAAATGCGTTCAATAACCTTGTTAGACAAAGCTAATTTAAAAGTCTCAATTAAATAATTTGCTTAAAAAGCTATGCTTAATTTATTTAAGCTTTAATAATATTTTTAAAGAAATAAATAAAAATATATATAAAGTAATCCAGCAATCGAATAAAGAGTGTCTCACATAAAAGGTATTTTATAAAAAACAGAGAATATGAGAAGGTAATCATGTATATTATTTAAATCAGAAACTATAGAACAATTGACACTGAAGATTTAATTACTATGGCTGAAAGAAGATTTAAAGAAATGACTCATTTTTTCATTGAGTATTATGAAATGCTTGAATAGATGTAATAATAATAAGAGTTATTGGATGATATAGATACACCAAGAATTCATTCAAATGAAAAAAGTCATACAGTGACATCAGCCAGTCTTAATATAAGAAGCAAAGATGACTAATATTTTGAAGAACTGATTGATTCTTAATCAGAAAACCCATAATTAATGTAATTTAATGATGAAGATTGACAAAAATGCGAATTAAATTTCGTAATGAACATAGAGTTTATTTTTTATATTTAAATTTAATCAAATAATCCCTCCTTATCCTAGTAATCTTTCTAAAGAATTTTATAATTAAAGCATTTTGATATGAGCATCTTTATCCTATTAATCTCTCAATTATAACACTAATCTTTTTGTCTTTGCTTATTCTTATACACAAATTGAACAATTCATAAATTTTATATTATAGACCTATTCACTATATTCTTCAACTCTAACTAATTTGAATCCTACTCTCTCAAATAAACTGGAACAATCTTCAGGAATATTTTCTTCATAATGTATTAAATCAATATTTGTATCCATATATTTTTCCAATAATAAATGTTCACATGATCTAATTCAGTTATTTATATACAAGTTAGTGTTATTTTGAATTCTCAAAATAATTTAATTATTGTTCAAAGTATTAGCCTCTCTTCTAAATACTTTCTCAAAAACTTCATTCTTTTTATAATTGACTTATTATCCTAATTTTTTTGATAAATAATTCAAAATTTCATGGTGATCTTTTAGAGGAGCATTGTACTCTTTTTTTACTTGAAGCATTATGATTAATTAAATTATAAATAATATATAAAATTATTAATTGGAGATAAAAACTCTATAGTTTTAAAGATTCTAGTCTTTTAACATTAAAAAAAATTGGGATTAATTTAAATTAAAATATTTAGTTCAACCAAGGTCAATAATTCTTCGTATCTAATATTTTTTTAGGGAATTTGATATAATTTATATTTCAATATTTATTAATTTAGGAGTGATGAAATATTTTTCTAAACTAGTTTACTTCTTTTTAACCATTGGCTCAAATACTGAAAGAAGAAAATCCAAAATAGATTATGGAAATCTTGCCATGATAGTATTTTATTTTATCTAATTACTTGGATATATATATAGTTAATTTGAAAGTAAAACTCAAGTGTTTTATGAGAATGATTATTTAGCATAAATTGGTTAATACTCATCAATACCTTTTATGATGATTGTTATTCATTATGATCCTTTCACAACTTTAGTTTATTACTGTATTTTTGGAACAATGTGCTCTATATATCTAATTGTAATATTTCAAGTCTTTATCAAAGTAAAATTGTACATAATATCTAGCCTTTACCTCCATCAAATCTAATAAACAGGTTTATCAAGTTTTACTTTCAAAACTTTTAATGGTATTTTTTAACACCTTTCCATGAAACTATGATTGGTATACTAACTTGTGGACGTCTAGCATATTTGGAACAACATGTTAATTTAAATCCTCCTAATTGTTTTTCTGAAATTTCCCCTCATTTTTTAGTCATAAGTGTCTTTGGATAGGTTCTAGTTGTAATATCAGGATTCCTATCATTATACTGTTTTAGAAACTATGAATTTATTTAAGGGGATCTTATGAGAAAATTTAGCTATTTCAACTTTTTAACTATTTTACTACATATGATTTTACAAATGACTTCATTTTGGAAAGAAATGTATGATAATTACAATATCATTATACATATGATTTTTAATGTGATAATGCTTGTAATATCATTAGATACATTCAATAATTTCCCTTTTGGTTATTCTTATGAAACTGTGTATTTTAGTAAGTGTTTGGTGAGTGCTTCTTTTTTCGAACTCTTGGTTGCAATTTGGATATTCTCAGATTTAGATGATGGCCATATATTTTTATCTTTCTGCATAATGTTACCTGTAATAATAATTAAAGTTATGATAGTTGATTTTTGGAATTAATTAAACTTTCTATGATAATTACATTGATAATAAATGTTAACAATTTTTTAAGTCTAGACTTGATAAGATAAGTGAACATCCCTTAGAAGTTATTTGTTAATTATGTCATTAAGATATAAAATAGCAAGAAGATTATTTTATGGTTTTGAAATATTTAGGAATTCATTGTTAATATTGTACAGATTTAATTTGTCCTTGCAAATAAAAAATTAATAAATTTATACTTTATCATAATTAGTTAAATACAAATCAAATATTTATATGGGTTCAGTATGAATTTTAACAAATGATTAAATCAATTATGTAAAATCCAGATTTATTCAAATAATTTGAATAATTAACAATTAAATTTGTAACTTTTCTTTAGAAATATAGAGAAAATTAAGTCTTATCATACAAAATAATTCAAGATGTAATTTACACTTTTTAAAAAATGAATACAAATAGTACTCCATATTTTTTCTTAAATTTGGCTAAACATATATAATATTAAAATAAAGTTGAAATGGAAAATATTAATAAAGCAGGAGCATAGATATCATAAAATGAATATTTAACTTTATAAGAGTTTAATCTTTTTTATAGATATGAGCAAAGTTTGGTCAGAAATCTAAATGAATTATTAGTAAGGTAAAAATAATTATGGATTGAAAAATTGAGAAATTAAATTTAAATGGATAAGATTTTAAGTTGTTCTAAAGATATTATGAAAAAAACATAAAATGTGAAAAAAATAATTAAAAATTTTGAGAATTCCAAAGATATTCCAAAAAATGATACAATATTAATTTTAAGAATAAAATTAGTCAGTAGTCTTGTATGTATGGAAGATATAAATGTATCAATGAAAATTGCTAGACATATAGAAAGTTATGAAAAAGAGTTAATTAATTTAAAGTAATAAAATTTTAATTCAATATAATTTATATAAGGATAAGCATTGTCAGTGATTTCAAATATATCTACTTAAACATTAGGTTGTATATCTCAATAAGTAAATGATTAATTTTGCAATTTCTTTGGATATGAAAGCAATAATGGAGCATCTTTAACTAAAATTGAGTAATTATTGCCTAATAAGATAGGCAGAATACATAATGGATTGATTGAATCTTATTTATAATAAGGTAAATCAAGTAGATTATATTAAAATTCAGATTAATTTATAATAAATTCTGATAATCTGATTGAAAAAGTTAATATATGTTTGAGTACTCTATTTCCTTATTATAATGGATAATATTAGTTTTTAATAATTGGTCATATATTAAAAACGATGAAATATGAAAAGAAAGAAATAGATTATAATAAAAGAGGATATATATTAGTAGATTCAAATTTCCTTATATTTGGATTATCTCGAAATGTTTATGAAAGAATAAATTATAAATATTATTATAAAAATGAAAAAGATGTAGAATTAATATTACCTGAAGAAATATATGAATAATACTCTATCTAAACTCTAATACCTTAATTATCTTTAGTATTGGAAGAGTATTATAAATTGTTGGCTTTAAAAAATGAAAAGAAAATATTGAAATAAGATTAAATATGTCAAAGAGAAATAGGAGTATTTTAAGCTCCATCTGCTTAGAGTTCCTAATTCAAAACATGTTCATCTGTTTTGACAAAAAAAATTACAAATAAACACATGTTGAATATTTTAAAAGATGCTAATATAAGTTTGTCTAGATTTCCTACAATATCTTAGAAATAATATCCAATAGAATATAGTGTTGTATAAAAGGTTTTAAATTATGTTGAAAAAGATGCCATATATGAATTTCTATATTTTATAATTGAACTTGACTTTCTAGAAGACCCTAAATTAAATACTTCTCCAAATTAAGTTGTTGCTCGAACTCCTGCACTATCTGAAATACTTAGACGATAGCAAATACAAGTTGAATAAGTTAGACCTAATTAGAGTAATATCATATTATCTAATGATGATAATAATGATTAGATAGAATTAGTAGCAGAATTAACAAATACAGGAACAAGAAGAAGTTCTAATGAAATAATAGATCAATTAGAAAAAATCATAATCTATATTAATGATACTGTAGTGCCAAAATCAATTAAAGATTTTATAGCATAATTGATAATACAGATTTTAGTATTTATGGCTATAATCATAATTATGTGTATTATTTTTCAATATAAGAAATCCATTCAATCAGACTGCATTGAATAAATTACTTATGATTTAAACTTTTTGGATGCATATAGTGAAGCAATGTCAGGATCTAGACATGTCATATATTATAGAGATTTCTATCATCTATAAAATGACACTCTAATTCATTTTAATCTTAATGAAATCAATTTCAGTAGATATGATAAGATTTATGTAGCTTGGTAACATATTTCTAAAGGAAATATCAGATTAAATAATATGTATGAAAATTACACAAAAATAGCTTAAAAGAGTCAAATTTAATTATTGACTATATATTTTGTAAACTTTGACTTAAAATCTAAAATTTAATAAGAAGTCTAAGATTATTCAACTTATTATCAAATAATGCATTAAACTTTCTATCTTTAATATCAATCATTTTCCTCATCTCCTTAACCCTACTTATCTGGTAATAATGACTCTTACTTAACATAATTGGCAAGATCTCAAGTTTATTACAACTTTTTTGATGTAATTGAAAGTGCCAATTTAACACTATAAGACTGTGAATCTTATAATCTTGATATCAATAATTATTTTGATACTGTGATAATATATTATTTCTTGGGAATGTATATTGTCATAGTTTTAATATTGATTTCCATTATAATCCATTACTATAGGGTTGTAAACACTATCAAAATCTATATAAAGCTTTTTAAAATGTGTGATAAGGAGGATTGTTAACATATAATACATTTATGTGAATCTTTGATTAGCATGGTCAATTATGATAAAATCTTTTTGAGATAATAAGACTTTAAAATAATTCTGGCGTAACCTCGCCACATCTTAGATAATGTTAAAAAATCTTAATCTAAGACTACAATAGTATTGATTAGAAAGAAAAGGAATAACGAAAGATTAATAAAAACTAGAAAAAATAATTTAAGATATTATTCTATAATTATGCTTTTATTAATATCAATAGGCCTTATTGTTTATATATTATCATTTCATTTATTCTACAATCATATTAAAGATTCGATAGCACCAATAAGTCAATAAGCTATCTTAGCACAAGAATCTAGATTAAATTTTATTGCATCAGTAAATCGTTTTGATTTATACCTTATTAAATTGTATTTTGAAACCTATTCAAAATTTAATGATGGAAATTATGCATATTCTAATTAAAACATTTAAACAGATACATAAATTTTATAATTATTAAATATTGATTTTCAAACTTTAAAAGAGGATTTAAATAGACTTAAGAATATTAATTTTGTAAATTTAATCTTTGATCATTCATATTCTGAATTAGATAGTGATCAATAAGATTAAATTTTAAAAAGTGATGTTTGTATATTTACTGGATGTGATATGTAAACAGAACTCTTTTTTGATAGATTATTATAAACTGATTTGGTTCCTCTGTTTTATACAGGTGTTTTAAATTTGCATACAAAAATGTTAGGTTTTATATAAGATGCATTTTAATTAATCTCTTCAGATTAGAGTGATATGGAATTAATAAAGAATTTAGAATAAATTTTTGATGATAGTGATTATCTCATATATATGCATTGGGGATTAGATGTTATCCAATTCTAAATATCCTAATTTAGTTAATACTTTTTAAATATATCAAAATAAACAATTAATGGTCTTACTTAAAATAATCAATTATTAATAGTTTCAATTGGAATTCTTTTACTGATTTTAATTTCAATTTTTTCAATTATGTTTGTTAACATCTAATATTAAAGATATGTGCAATCAAAAGCAATAATTAAATGTATTCCACTTCCAATACTATTTTAAAAGAATATTCCAAAACATCTAGAAAGCTTTCGAAGAAAATATGAACAGTGATTTAATTATTTACATTATTATAAATTTCTTTTTCTTTTATTTTAAATAGTATATTAAATATTATTCAATTTATGATCTCAAGGATTTTTGAATATTTATTAAGGATATCATTAACAGATAATATGAAAAAGGAAATAATTTTCTAGTTTCCAGAAAAAATAATTTTATGGATATACTTTTGCTAAATAAATGGATTCTTAATTAATAGAGTGGAGAAGAATTTCACAATTTTTTAAGAGAATTAATATTTATTCACAATTTTTGATTATGCCAATATTGTTAATCCCTTAAGTCAATATTTAAATTTTGAGACCATGACTTATGTTTTGATACTACAATTAATTATGTTTTATGTTTGCAATTTTACTCTAATGTTGAAGAAATAAGTAAATATATCAATATTTTATTAGAAAGTTAAATTAGTTTGCAATTACTTTATTTTATTTAATTGGATTATGATGTGTCCATTTTAAACCATATTTGTTATGGTTACAACTAAAAATGAATTTATTCACTAAAACATTTAAGATTTAAGTACCAATAAAGAGATATTTTTATTAATTATTACTATATTAGGAACAATAATAATAACTATCACTTCTACATTATCAAATTTTATTTTTTAAAAAAGGGAAATTAATTAAGAGATGCTTCTTAAATATAATTTTAAACTTATTTACATTATAAGCCCTTTAACTTAATTCTATATCATAATCTCATATTTAATATAAAATCTGTAATTGCAAATTATTACTCATATATTACACTTTATAATTATGATTTTGCATTTGATCATCACATTATAATTTCCTTTTGGACTTAACTCAATATCATTATTATATAATTAATTGACCATACTCAGTATCTCATTTAATTGCCTTATCTGTATTTGGAAATACTCAAGTCAGAATGATTAATTTATCTTTTTATCTTTGTTTATAATCGGAATGGTAATTATCTAACATTTAATATATAGTTATTATGGTATTGTGTTGTAATCATATTCTAAAGAAGATTAGATAAGATTATACATAATTTTTGTTCAAAAAGAGAAACCTCACATTTAGCTCAAGTATTAGAATATTTCATTTAAACTCATTAATATACTTTGAAACATTTAATTCAATTAAATATTCATAGAATTTATTGTTAAGATCTTCTTTGTCCATGTTAAAATTGTTAATTATTAATTATAGATAATATTACTATAGTTCAATTAGTATAAAAATAAAAAAGGAAAAAGAAATTTGTTATTTAATAATGGATTATGCATTAATATAAAAAATATTTATTATAAACAGAATTAACAAAAAAATAATAAGATTTAATAATTTTGAATTATCTATCATTTTAAAGAATTTTCTTAGAAAATCATGTATTGACTTGTAAAACAATTTATTAATGTATTGAGAAAGTAGAAAAAGGAAAAAAGGAATAGTATAATGTGATCAACACTTTATTATATATGATTCAACAAAATTGTAAATAAAAATTAATAATTCAAACTTAATAATAGATAAAAATAACTTAATAAGAATTTATTATTATTACTGATATTAATATAATGTATGAATTAGCAGATAAGATTATTCTCCATTTATCTAAAGTAATCTAAAAATAAATAAAATTATGGGAAAAATATTAAAAAAATGAAATAAGAAATTTTGATTAATTATTGAAAATTATTAATAAGATCAAATTATAAAAAAAGAAATGTATAGATTTATTTGAATAATATTAAGAATTTAGAAATTAAATTAAGGAGACTATTTATTCTTTGAGAGTAAAATTATTATTTTACATTATCATATAATAAGATTTAATATTAATGACTAAAATTTAATCATAATTAATGTAATTAGAAGATGCATAATAATTTGATTTAAATTTAAATGATTTTAATAATCTATCTTTTTTAACTGGTTAAGCTTTATCTATAATATCAAATATAAGTCCAGAAAATTAAGGAAAATTAGAACAATAAATAACAAAAGAATTTAAAACATTTTTTGGATATAAAAATGATGAAAAAAATTTAACACATATTAAATAATTAATGCCATCTAAATTTGCAGAAGTTCATTCTGGATTAGTTGAAAATTTCTTTTTTAAAGGATAAAGTGATAGAATTAATAATGCATCTATTGCATTTATTTTAAATTCAAAAAATTTAATTGAATAAATAAAACTATGTTTAAGTTATTTTTTCCCAGTTGATTTAAGAGACACATCTTTTTACATGATTGCACATGTTTAGAAAACATCAAAATAAGATTAAGATATTCATGATGAAAATTTAACAGGTTATTTTTTAATTGATAAAGAATTTAATATTTTTGGAATGACTTAAAACATTTATAAGAAATTAAATTATAGATATTATTTTAAAAATGATGTTAATGCGAATTTAATTCCTCCTTAATAATTTTATAATGATCACAATATTTTTTCATTAATACCATCATTTTAATAGAAATTGTAAAATTATTATGAAAGATAACCTAATGGAAGTTTGAGAGATAATGATATAATCTTTATTAAGGAGAGAGGTTTATTAAAATTAGATTTTCATAAATAAGAATAGGAACATTCTGCTTCAAAATAATTCAATAAGAAATTCTCATTTACTAAATTTACAAATAAACAAATTTTGAGTTAAATGCTTGACAAAAGTAGTGAACTAATAAACTTTTAGACTAATGAAAATATTAAATATTTTCCAATTGAATATACTGTTACTTAAAAAATCTTACATGCTTATAATCTAAATAATAAAATAGATCCATTTTTATATTATTTGATTGAAATTGAAATGTTAGAAGATTTTAAAAAGATATCAGATTTAAACAATAGTACTAATAAATTTTTAAAAAATAATAATAATAATAATAAGAAACAATAATCACCTTAAAAAATTGAAACATAAAGATAAACTACTGCTTAATTGTTTTAATTTGAAGCTATCAATTTTGTAACTAGTGATCATTTAATTTCATAAAATGGTGATAAGGAAGCCCTTGCAAAAGAATCTCCTCAAGAAAAATAAAAATAAAAATAAAAGTAAAAGATTTTATCAAAAGGACTCATACCAATATAAAATGATGCCTAAAGCTAAAAGTCATCAATAATGAATATTCCTAATAAAGTTCATAAATTTGTTGAATTTCTTCAAACAAATAAATATCCATCTATATTTCATGGAATATTTGGATTAATTCTAGCACATTTTGTTATAGTAATATTTTATATTAGCATTACATCTGTTTTATTTCATTAAAAAAAAGAAATACAATCAGATTGCATAATTTATACATTTAGTGATGTTGATTATTTTAATGGTTTTAGTTTAATTTTATCTGGATCAAGACATACAATATTTAATTCAAATTATTTCAGTATATTATAACCACTTATTTTAAAAGTGGATAATACATCATTAAAATTGACAAGTAAGGATTGTATAGTTATTTCATGGCATTTATTAATGTCAGGATAATAAGATCTTGTTGGAAAATATGAAAATTATTCATAAATATTATTAGAATATGAATAAAAATAGATTACATACTATTATCCTGATTATTCTAATTCAAAAATTTTAAGTTAAGTGTTACTTGATTAAGCTACATATTATACTACTATGTACCTTTAATTTTATTTTACTTATCGTAGCATTTTATCATTAAATGCTTATTTATCTGGTGGAAATGACAATATATTTTTGTAATTAAATTATTTAAATTTAGAGTGAGAAATAGATATATACTTTATTTTAATTATTAAGATGCCATTGAATTAACTGAAGATTCAATTTAATCATGTTATGATTATAATAATGATGCAAATAAATACTTTGATTAATTAACTTAATTATGGTTTATAATTATGTATATAGTAGCAATTTTAATTTTAATTTTCCACATTGTAACTCTTCTTAAAATTAAAAAAGTAATACAAATATATTTAAAATAATTTATTCAAATAGATTTTGAGGAAAGTTAAATTATAGTAAAATAATTTGAGAATATGTTACAAAACTTAAAATAAGAAAATATTTTATTGAAATATTAGGATTTTGAAATTATTAAATAGATTCCATCTAATATATTTTAAGTTTTATAATAATAAGAAACTAAAACAACTTTATAAGATGAAAATGAAATTAATACTAATCGTAAAAAAAGAGTAACATCAATTAATGCAAAAAAAATAAACTTTGCTACTCCATCTTTTTCAATCAGAAAATATCTTTTATTATATATATTTTTGATGTTACTTAAAATATCCTTTTCAGTTGTATTTTAGATTTATTATGATTACTTATCTTCTGGAATTGCACCAGCAGCTTAAAGAGAATTAGAATCATAAAAAATGAGGTTAGATTTCATTATGACAATAAATATGTGGGATACTTATCTTTTAAAATAATTTTATAATGCTTCTTAACATTTAATAAATACTAATTCTATATTTAGTTATTCAAATTAAAATATCAAAAATAACTAAAAGTTATTCAATTTATTAGAAATTGATAAAAATTCATTATTAGAAAAAATTAAAATTATTCAAGCTTATGATTTAACTAATTTTCTATATCATAATTCAGATGAATAAAATTAAAATTTATTAATTTCTGAATCTAATAAATAAATTTTATTAGGATAAGATGTTTGTTTATTGACTAATTGTAATATGATAGATGATTTATTTCATGATCGTCCTCATACTGAATATTTGATAGATTATTACTAAGCTGGTTTAATATAATTATTTAAGAATGTTTTGCAAGTAATAGTAGAATACAATTATCTAATAACAGATGACTCTTTAACACCAGAATAAAAAGTCGAAGGAATTGTTCAGATGTATTAATCTTTCAATTATTTTATATATATATTTTATGGATTGGATGCTACATAATATTAGATATCATAATTTTGTAAATATTTTTTAGATTAAACTTTAAATTAATTAGAATACTTAACATCTTCAAACATTATTTATGTTTTAACTTTTGGAATTTTATTAATGATAATTACTATTATTGCTGAATGCTATATTTTCTTCCATTTCTTTAATAAATTTGAATTAGCTAGAGAGAGTATTAGATAAATTCCACTTGAGACTTTATTTCAAAAAGGAATACCAAAAAAATTGAACAATATTATGATGAAATATAATTGAATTTTATTTAATTGAATAATAATTATAATGTAACATTTAAAATTATATAAATATATTTAAAAATCATAAAGTTTAGAATAATTCAGAGTTAGTATTTATTATTTCAGTAAATACCTTAATTAATTTTTCATGAAATTCAATATGAATTTAATTTAAACAATTATTATATGAATCCATCCAATCTTAAAAGTCAGGAACAATTAATTCCTACTTTATTTTTATTATATTTTCAATACCAAATTGAGATATCTTCTAAATCTAATATAATATTCCTTTTTTAACAATCTAAAGTTCATTATCATTCAATTTATATTAAGTTTATTCAAATATAAAATCTTAAAATGCTTCTAAACATTTAGATTCATTCTTTTTAACATCATCACATAACTCTTATAGAAACTTTTACACTTTTTCAATATATGTATTTAGTATTTTATCTTAAATGCTTGAATCTAATTATTTTAAAATTGTTGATGGATCGATTGAATAAATGCAATCAAAATTAAGATTAGCATTATGAATGTTAAACATATCTTCTTATTTCTCATCAATTACTTTTAGAATAATATTATAAGCATTTCCTACACTTCTCCAAATAGGTAAGGGAAATCTATCTCCATTATGAATAAATATATCGAATCCAATTATCTTTCCTAAATTGAATAGTCTCTCTTAATTAAATATTTTTTTTGCTCTCTCTCCTTAAAAACAATAGAGTTAAAGGCCAGGAATATATTCAATGATCTCAAAGTAAGCAACTTTTAATTTTTATTTAAGTCGATGAGATAACACTTCATCTGTTGAAGCTGCAAATAAAATATCATTTCTAAGTTCTTACATCTCTACATCACACCATTTTAAACATTTCATCTAAGTTGTTTTTATATCAAGTGCTTATGCTAATTTGTTAAGAAAAAGTTCAACACCAACTTAACCTGATAACTTAAGAACGATTGCACCTTACTCTGAATCAATAAATATTACTCCTCTGGAACCAGAATCACTCATCTTAATTGATTTAATGTTCTTTAATTTTATGAAATCAAAATCCACATAAGGTTTAGCTGCATAATCAAACTCTTATAATTAGACTTACGATTTATTTACATTTTACTATTCTATTTATTATTCAACTATTTCTTTAGATCTTAAATGAATATTTTTGATATATTTATTTTATTTCATTAATTATAATGATTTTAATCTTCATCTGAAGGTTTTATATTTAAATGAATTCTGTTCAATTATGAAGAAAATTTATGGTTATTATAATATTAGGTTGTGGTTATTTTTATTTTTTGTAATTAAATCAATAATGATTATTGTATCAATTATCTATATGGTTTATAGATATATCTACTTTTACAACACCAACAGTTCATGTAATTACAAATATATTAATCAAAAAATCTGCCAATATTTAATTAATACTTCCTAAATCTATAAATTCAAATTCTAGCAATTTGGTAATTCAATATTAGTTATTTGCTATGGATCGAAATCTTGAAATTTATCTTTATCAATTTTATGGATCAACAAAGATTACTGAGAGTATCCTTAAACATTATTGTCAGATAACAAATTAATATCCTTTAGCTCTATAATTTTATATTCACAATATTCAATTACATCTTTATAAGAAGAAATCTGAAGATAGTTATATTTATTTATTAATTCTTTTTCAATAAATTTGATTTTATCAACTATGCCATTCATAACAATAGCATAAATAAAACTCAAAAAGATAATAAATCTTATTTTTGTAATGCTTTTATGATACTATATCACTGGATTTAAAATCATTATCCCTCCATAATTAATTCTAAAATATTTTATTAGAATTTTACAATATCTGATTCATCCAACGTTTTGTTTTTATTTTATATCATACTTTTTATAAATTGATTTTTAGATATTTATCTTTAGGAAATAATTAAAGATTTTAATTTAATTTCTGATTAAATTAATTTATAAGAATTTATGTATTATTTATTTAATAAATAATATTAATGTTATATTAGCTTTTTGGCTAATATTAGATTTATTCAGCAATGATATTTTTATTTTTTAATCCATTACAAGATTCAATATACTAAGTATCGATTACATTATTCTTTGTTTTATTTAAATCATTAATAAATTGTTGTCATTTACTTTACTATAAAAATTTTAGAATAGAGGTTTCATATACCTATAATTAGATAAAATAATATTATAAAAAATTTAGTTGATTAATGGGAGAAATTATTTAATTGAATTTCGGAGACATTGGAAATAATATTGGACATTAATATTTACAGAAATTAGTAGATGATCATTATTTAGATGAGAAAAACAATTCGATTAGGGATTAATATAAACAAAAAATTCATGTATCATTTGAGGAATTAAAGAATTAATAATACTAGTTTAGAGGAATATTTGATAATTCAAGCGATTGTAAAATCATAGATTATATTTTAGAATCCATTAATAAACTATTAACATCTCCTGAATGTGAATACATCAATAATGACTTATTACTGTCTTATAGAAATAGGAATAAATCAGGTACCTATTCAAATAGCTAAATCAACTTTAAAGATTAAGTAGCAGATGAACTATTTGAAAAATTGAGTCATCAGATTGAAAAATGTGATAGGGTTTTTGGATGTCATTTTGTTCATTCTACTTTTGATAATTCATCAGGTTCATCTGGATAGGCAATTAATTATTATAGGGATAGATATTCAGATAAATTTAGTAGTTCTTTTTCATTAATTCCAAATATTGTAAGTACTAACACCATTGAAATTTATAATACTACTTTTTCATTTTATCAATTAGTTGAAAATTGTGATGTTGTTATGCTATTTGATTATGGAGCATTGGAGAAATAATTATTAAAAATAAGATAATAATGCAGTTTTGAAAATTACAATAATGTTATAGCTGAATGTTTATTATAAATAAATTGTTCATAACGTTTTCCTGGTCATCAAAATGGAGATTTAAGAAAACTTTCCACTAATCTTATTCCTTTTCCTCGTATTCATTTCTTAACATGCGCATTTACTCCTATTGATATCAATTCAGATTGGAAATAGTAAATTAACAATTTAAGTATACCTGATAACACTTATTTAACTTTTCATGATGTAACTAGAAATTTATATTTTACTCAAGCATTAATTACAAGATGCAATTCATATCATTTAGATTTTCAATAATCTCTATCAACATTATAAAATAAATTAGGTTGGATTCCTGATGGTGAATTACATATGAATTGTAAAATTGAAAATAGAAGTCTAGGAAAAACAGTTATGCATGTTGGAAATCATAGAGATTTAGGACATAGCTTTAAATTACATGGTGAGTTATTTACTGCAAGTTTTAGAAGAAAAGCTTTTTTACATTATTATCTATAAGATGGCATGGATGAAATGGAATTCACTGAGGCTGAGTCTAATCTAAATGATTTTGTCTCTGAGTATTAAGATTATTGTTGCCAAGCATCATACTATGATGAAGAAGAGTATAATGAATAAGTATCTGAAGAATACATGTGAGAATAATTATAAATTATTAATAATACATAAATCAAAAAAATTGTCTAGACATTTTCTAGAGAATATTTGAGTAATAATATAGATAAAAATTATTTTAGCTTTATATAAAACTACAGATTTTTATTCATAGTTTAATCAGTAAATAATTGAAATAGAATTTATGAAAAATGAAAGAATTTTAATTAACCATAAATACAAGATAGTCCATATAAAAGAATAAGTCAAAACTCCATTCTTTTTTATTAAAAAATAGTTGTTTTTATAACAATATTTATATGATGTATCTTATCAAATACATCATTAAACTTAATTACTCACTCATAATATTATATTTGATAAATCATATTATTATTGTTAAGGCTATGGTTCATCTAATCCTATTAAATCAATTGTTTCTTATTGAGGATTTAGAGGTAATTATTAAGATTGTATTTAGGTAGTTTGAACACCAAATTGTTGTTAACTATTTCCAATCCAGAAATTCGTGGATGGTTAAGTAGATTGATGTGATTATTCAGTATAATTAGTAGTCATATCCCATGCACTATTAGCTGGAGATGTAGAAAATGAATTAATTTACATTTATTGTGCTTATTGTTATTATTATTATTATTATTATTATTATTATTATTATTATTATTATTACGGTTAATTAAATTGGGAATCCCATTAAAAAGGATTTGGACTTGGAGAATGAGAGGTTGAAACAAAGCCAAAATTATCAAAAGCTTATTAAGTAGATTATTATTAAACCCATTAATTTGGATTATCCCAAGCATTGTTAGTACTAAACCCTTATTGAGGATTACTAAATTAAGTAAAAATATCTTATGATGATTTTGATTATTGTTATTATTAATTAAATCCAGAAAATGGTTGAAATTATTATTATTATTATCTTTATTATTGTTATAATTATTACACTTATTATCTCTACACATATTATTATTAAGGTTATCGAACTTATTATTATTATTGCTATTTAAATTAAGTTTTTTCTGTTTAGATTTTTTTTTGTAAATTCATTAATTCATCAATTGGAATATCACCATCAAATTTCTTAACTTTGAAACTATTTTTATTATATTATTCCATTTCTTATTCTAATTTCTATTCTCTATTTTTTATTTCTATTGCTTAAGCCTAAAATTTTCTTCAAACTATTACATTCAATTATATATATGGTAATGAATGAAATTGAGCTAGAATTCTTTCAACATCAAATATAGATGGTCTTAATTTTGGATCAGGTGTAAGCATAAGTCTAATAAAATCAATCAATTTATCTGAATATCTATGCTATTTAGGTATATTGTATGTAGCAGTGGAGATGGCTAATTTAGAGCTCTCTTAAAAGGGATGTATAAAAAAACACAATGTGTATAATACACATCCTAGCATCCAAATATCTGCTTTTTCTCCTACATCATATCTCAAAAATAAGTCTGCCATTTCTGGAGGTCTATACATTAAAGTTGTATTTTTTTCCCATTCTTCTTCATAAATTATGAAATCAGACTATCTGATTTAACTAATAATAATAATTTATAACTCTAACCTTAAATCAACTCTTTGAGTACTAGCAGATCCAAAATCACATAATTTACATCTTCCGTTTTAAAATAACACATTCTCTATTTTTATATCTCTATGAGCCATAGGTGGTTGTAAAGTATGCAAACACTTAATGCCTTATGTAATTTCCTAAGAGAATTTCAATTGAACATATATACTCTCATATAGCCTAAAAGTTATTCTTCTGGAAATCTTGAATTTGGATCTTTAGCCATCAAATCAAATAAGCTTCCACCACCACAAAATTCCATTAGAATCAAACATACATGTTGTCCTTTCTCTTATACAAATGTGCCACCCATGAAATTGACCAAATTTGGATGTCTAGGCAAATGTTTCTGGTTAAAATTTGAATTTTTTATACCATAATTTCTAATTCATTCCTTGCTACTTAAGTTCTCTCCTCTCCTTAACAATAAGATTTTTTCAATGCAAAAACTTCTTTGGTATTTACATCAATTGCTTTTAGTATATAGCCATACCCTCCTTCAGATAACAACTTTTCTTCTTAAATTGTACGCCCATTAATATTATATCTAGATAGCATAATAAAATTTATAATTATTCATATTCACTCTAATTAAATTATTAGCATCCATCATTGAAGTATGCAGAATATCTATTTAATCAAGATTTAGTTGTATAAATATAAATTTTTTTCAAACCAGCAGAAGTATTACTATATTTTAATTTAGGAAATAGTTTATCATACTTTCTTGAATTTTTGAATTTATTATAAATTTTTGAGACATACTTTTCTTTTTTATAATTTATCAGTCGAATTAAAGTTATTAGATAATAGACTTTAAATACAAGCTTGAACACTTCAAACATTTTTCTTGACATTATTATTCACTTCTAATTGTATCAAAAATTTGATAAATAACTTTTAAGAGAGAACTCTCTTCTCAAATTATGAAGATTTTAAATCAAACCAAACAAATTCTTATCTTATTTATATTGATCAGATCTTTTGCTCCTGTTGATCTGATCTTTCATTAATCTAATTATCACAAGTTTTTAATACAAAGTAATCTAATTAATTTTTATGCATTTTTGTGTATTATATAATATAATTTTACATCTGAATATTTGAGTTACTCTATTTATTAATACAATAATATTAATTATGTTTTGAATTGCAATATTAAAATACTTATTTGTATTTAATTACTTTAAAATTTAACAAATCATAATATTATTATAATAACAAAAATAAAGACAGAATAATACATAATAGCTTTTATCTATATATATATTAAATAACTAAGAGCCAGAAATAAACTTTAATATTATGTTATTTAAATTAGAATATTTTTAAGAAATAATATTCATTATTATTTGCCTTTTACCCAGATGCCTTCAATAATATTTCCATTTGGTTCTATTAATTTTCCTTTACCATCTTATTTTCCATTTTTCCAATTACCTATATATTTTTAGCCATTTGGCCATCTCAGTTCTCCAAATCCATGCTTCTTATCATTTTTGAATTCGCCTTATAATTTATTAAATTTAATACCAACATACTCCTTACCATCATAACATAATGTACCCTAACCTTCCATTTTACCATCAACCCAATTACCTTTGTATGTTTTTCCATTGTACCAATAATATTCTCCATAACCGTGAAAATTTTCATTCAAAAATTCACCCTCATAATGTGAAGAATCACCCCATTTAAAAATTCCTTTTTTTACCTTTTTACCTTTTTCAAAAAAGCCTTCAAATGAGGTTCCATTATCCCAGTGAATTTAACCTTTTCCATCCTAGATTCACCTTAACAATATACAGGAAGCCCATCTTTCATTTCGCCATCGTATATTCCTCCATCTGGAAAAGTATAAGGAACTTGAGAATAACAAGAGCCCATAAATTAGAAATAAAAATAATCAATCGAATTTATATTCAATTAAATCAAGTAGCTTAAGTTTGTTTTTATTGAATAATCTAAGATCTTCTTAATCAGCTGCTTCCATTAAATACGTTGCCAAATATTTGAGTTCCTAATCATTTTTATCATCATGCCATTCTAATATTGGTATTCCATTATCAATTTAAAACCCAAAAGAATGAGCAAGATTATCAACAATAAGCATATTTTTAATTTACTTATTAGAAATAATCCTAAGATCCTTTATATAAAAGCCATTTTTAGTTTCCAAACAATTCTACCTTGATAAAATGCCAGAAATCCATTAACCTTTAGGATCCAAGTACTTGACAATAGTACTAGCATAAGCACTAGATGAAGCAGTATAAATATAGATTGTATAGAGTTAACTCATTTATTATAAGAACCATTAACAAAATGGTCGAACATTTAAATATATCTACAAAATAGAAATGTTGAATTACTCTAGCTTCTTCTCCTTATTCACTAACTGCTATTATGCAAGTTTAAGATTTTTCCCTTGATGAACAACTATGAATTAAAGTTTCATCCAAATCTAAGAGTAAGGTTTTTGCTTTAGGATTTCGAGCTTCAGGTAATACTTACATTTTTGTTTTAATAAAATTTAAACTTGGTCCCTTTAGACAACGAGTAGCATATATTAATCCTCTTTAGGTAAGTTGTAAGAATTTATTAAATGAAGTCTCACCTATTGTAGGTCCATAAATTAGATGTCGAAAAGGATGATTAGAAAATTTACATCGTGCATTTTATTTAGCTTTTGACAATTCAATGTCAGAATTGACATCTCTCTACAATTTACTATGATTAAATAGGATCTTACACTTAAAAAACTTATTAATTGTTGTACTCTTTCATCTTCTATTGGATTTTAGTTGATTACTCTTTTACATTATATGGATCTTCATTATTATTTTAAGTTTTATGTGTTTTGATATCTTCTTCTCTTTCTTCTTCAGCACCTTCAACATCACCCTCTATTCCATTCATTAAATTTCTAAATTTTGATGGTTTTTAACCTAATATAAATGTTATTGTACTTGTTGGTCCTTTTTTAGCATGCTTTGGGGAATCTTTATCTGAATCATCAGTTTGATATCCAGTGAGATTTTGACTAAAATGTGACATTTTACTTGGTGGTTTACTGATTTATTTTAACTAGAACTCGTCCTTCTAATTAGTTTCAGATTATTCATCCTCTGAATAAAACTATTTATCATTATTCAAGTGTTATAAATGTTAGACTGAGGTACTGGCTCTAAATTTATATATATTATCCATTTAATTAAATATTATAATGGATTCTAAATTTATTGAAGAATTTGATTACTTGGACAAAGATTAGAAAAATTAAATGTTAGTTAATCTGAAATCTTATATTAATCAATTGCAATCTTAAGTTCAAGAATTGGAGAGAAGTGCAATTGATATAATTATAGAAAAAGATGAAAAGATTTTATTGTTAGAGACTCTTCTCAATTAATTATCACCATCCAAAAATTATAATAAAGATGAAGAAATACTTTAATTGAAAGCGTATCATAAATTATTTTAAAATAGCCATATAACAGAACTTTACTAAAAGCTTGATGTTGATTAAGCTTAACATTATGAAGAATTATAAGAAATTGATAGAAAATGGAATACATATTTATTAGAATAGATTTAATTAAGTAGTCAAGATGGTTAATAATAAAAAATTGAAATGTTAGAGTCATTACTTAATCTAGAAAAGAAGAATTAGAAGTATGATCAAGAAGTATATTTTAAGGTAAATTCTAGCTGAAAATCAAAGAGAATCAAATAATGATAGATAAGAATACTATAAGTTCATTAACAAATAAAATTCAATTATTATAGGATGAATCTTAAGAACTAAACTAACAGTTAATCAAAATTCAAAGAGAAAAGGATTAATAGCGTGATCATTTTTAATCAGATAAAAATGCACTAGAAATTAAAATTAATGTATAATTATCTATCTTATCAAAGAAATTAAATATATTGTAAAATCAAAAGGAAAAATAAGTCTAAAATCTAAAGACATAGAATGCAAAATTAATTTAAACTAACAAAGAATTATTAAATTAGATAAATGAATTAAGAGAATAAATTGAAAGATAGATAGAAATTAAAGATTAAATACATTCAGATAATTATCTTTTATAATAAACAGCTCATACAATCGATTAGATATAAAGAGAAGAAGTCAATATCACAGCATTTGAAATATTAGAGGAAAGTTATGAGGAAAAGGATTATATGAATAATTTAAGATAAATTTTAGATGAAAAATCAGAATAGATTGTTTAATATGAAGAATGTATTAGATAATCTACAAAATAGATAAAAGAATAAAGAGCATAATTACAATTATTATAATATTAACTCAAATAAATTAGATAATAATAATTCAATCAAAAAAATCTTAAAGAATATATATAAACTTTAGAAAGTGATTTCTTAGTTTCTAAATAATTATTAGCTGAAAAAGCAGATCGTTATTAAGAATAAGTAATATTATTGACTTAAGAGAATTACAATCTAAAACAAAAGGTTAAATGTTTTTAATCCAAGTTTCATAAGAAATTTAATCGAAATGTCGATTGATTTCAATATTGTATAATTTACTTTCTATATAAATTACAAAAAATCAATTTAATATTAAATTTTAATACGATAATTATTATTTCAAAGTAATCGTATTTTCAATTTTACTTTTTTTTTGGTTTCATATTACTCATATCATATTAATTATACTGAATATCATAATCTAAAGCATCTTAAAGTGATTAAAATAAGTTACTATTTTCATCATCATCTCCTGCTTATTATTTTATGTTTATTATTTTGCTAATGTAATGGTATGTTTTGTATTGAATTTCAAGGAAACTAAAGGATTATTTTATTATTGTTAAGATTTAACAATATCATTGTTATTTGAAAATGTTCGTATAATTTCCAATTTTATTTCACTCTAAACTATTAAGTATTATTTTTTTAATTCTTCATTTCTTATCATTTCTTCATCTTATATAACTTATGTATATGTTTTTTAAGTTTTTGACTTCTTTCCTAAATTTTATAATATATGGTATGTTTTACAACATAATTCAAGTCCTTTTTATAGAATCTAATCATTTTTCATTAAGTTTAAATCATATTCGAAAAGATCCTATAAAGAAAGCTATAAAATTGTTAGAAATTATTGAGACCTCACTTGGATACTTTTTATCTAACTGATAAATTGGATCTTCTAATTTCTTTACACTAATTAATTATGTCAAATCAATTCATACTAATCCATAAAAAAAGTGATTTTATCACAGATGCTATCAAAGTTTTATCTTTAAATCTTAATTTACGTTGTATTTGGACAATTAAGTTGTTATCTTTCTATATAACTAAGTCTGACATCTCTTCCCCTAAGAGATATGATTTAATTGCTGTTTCATCTGTTAACTAATTCTCAAAGCTAACTTCATTTTCTTTTTTTTCCTCTTATTCTTAAACTTCTTAATTTGGTTATTTTGGGCCTTGATATATCTCTTTTTATTTTTAAGATATAAGTTGCTTTTAGTCTGAGTTGAGATTAGTTTCAAGTTTATTCTAGATTGTTTTTGGTTTAATATTATTTTTATGCTACTTTGGTTAACTTGAACATGTTCCCATTTTTAAATTAAAATATTATGATTATAAATCAATTGAAATCATGAATTAATTTGCAAATCTAATTAAGAAACTAAAAATTGGTGAATATTAAGATTACTAATATTAATACTTCTTCCACCTAAATATTTTGTATAATTATTTTATATATTCATTCAAAATAGACTATTACTAAATATTTTGCCAATTTTGCAGATGATTATCTAAGAATAACAAATAACTATTTGAATTTAAATTACATAAATACCTCAAATAGGAAAAAAGGAAAAACTCAATATCAAATTTATTAGTATAATTTAATAATTAAATGTAAAGTCATTGTGACTTAATACTTAATGAAAGAGGAACTCTTTGGTTGGGAGATTGCTAATCAGCATTTGATGCAGTATTTACATCAATAATTTTAGGAGTTCTTAAAAGGTAAAGGAATCAGAACTGTTATAACCGTGGCAGCAGGATTAAAATTAAAACTTGATGGCATTGTGCATCACATTATAGAGATACTAGATAGTGAAACAGCCAATATTTCAAGATATTTTTAAATTGCAAATGAATGGATAGAAAGAGGATTTAATATTGGTGCTGTATTAGGTAATAGAAATGAATTAAAAGAAGCGAAGTTCATTGCATGGCAGGAATCTCCCGTTCAGCAGCAATAGTAATTAGTTACCTTATAGAAAAGAAGAAGATGAATTATAATCAAGCCTTATCTTTTGTTAAATCTAAAAGACCCTAAATTAATCCAAATAAAGGTTTTAGTAATTAATTACAAGCATTTGTTGCAAAAGTCTCATAACCTCCATTATCTAAAAATTCAAGAGGAAATCATTTCTAACAAAATCAAGAATACTATGATTGTAATCATTATGCTCCTATTAATCGAAAGGGATCAGCTGGAATCTTACAACAAAATATGAACTTTTATAAATCAATAACTAAGTCTTTGTCTTAGAGTAAGAATAAAATTAAATGAGTTTATAATGTTCATTTCAATTATTAAAAATGAATTTGCTTTATTTTATACATCAAAAAGACTTATTTGAGTTTAAATCTAAATATTTGGATAAACATAATTAAAATTAGAGAATCATAATGAAGAGTGTTCTTTATTTTGATAATGGATTTAAGAAATAATGTTTTTTCAGATATTTAATAGTCTTTATTTATTTTTTATTTTTAGATTCTTTTGGACTATATATATATAATATTATTATATTTTGTTTAATATTTTTTCCGTATAATAGTATATATAAGTGAGATAGTTACTAATTTTTATATATTATTATAGTATTGAGAATGTGGAGATATTTTTTATCTTATAAATTAATTAAATGAGAAAATAATAATAATAAGATGAAGCAGAAGAAGATTAAGCATCTCTTATGCCAATAAAAAATCATATAAAACGAATTGAAGTAGTTGTTTGATTTAGGTTAATATTAGGAAATGTTAGTGTTGTTAAATAATGATCTTGTTAATGATGCTAAGGATATTGATAAGAATAGACAAGATATTAGAAGTTTAGGAGAAGCTCAAAATAAAGAAAGAACAGAATTGCATAACTCATTACTTGATCATTGTCATAAAATTGTAACTGATATGCGAGAATTAAATTAATAATCAAAAAGTGAAACATATAATCTTAAACAATAAGTAATCAACTAATTTATCAAAAGTTATCATGCCTTAATCAAGATAAAATTAGATTATAATAAAATTTAATTGTACTCGAAAATAAAGTAATAGAAACTGACAAAGACATTGGATTTAAGCGTAGAAATTAATAATTAAATAAAAAAAAATGAATTAAGAGTTATAGTCATAGTTAATCAAAATGCTCTGATGTTGTTCTCATTAACCCAACTTAAAAATCTTCATCTTATTTCTATTATTAATTCATCACTTCTTCTGAATTCCCTACATCCTTAGACTGTCTATCATATAGATTTATCATCTGAATTAAATCTTAAGGAACATAATGAACATGAGTATCCCAATAGTTCCAACTCAATTTCAAGGGACTTGAAACTTTTTCTTCTTGTATAGGAACAATCAAAGGATTTTTGCTTCTAGGTAAGTATTGCTTTTAAATTGATATTTCTGATTATTATAACATTCCATCACTTTTCCTAATATCTAAAATATCGCAATCATCAAAACTTTTTGTTGACTTTTTTTATTATCCCTTATGAAGCCAAGGATGTAAAGCAAAATCTTTTATATTTTAATATTTATAAACCTTCAGCTGAGAGTCTTTTCTCTGGATCTTTCTTTAAAAGTCTCTTTAATAGATCTTATTCTAGAGGATTTAATTTTTTAAAAGGTAACATGTTTTTTACATTTATTTCTGAATCTCTTATCATCTCAATTGTATCTAATACAGTTTCTTACTAAAATGGCAACTATCCAACCAATAATTAATATAAAATTATGCCTATTGACCAAATATCAACTTAAAATAGATTCATTTATACCTTTTTCATTGTAACCACCTCCTAAGAATATTTCAGGAGCTTAATAAAATAATGATCCAGTTCTTGTCCACATATCAATTAATTTAGTGACTTTCCCTTTTAATAAAAATCTTTTAGAAACTCCAAAATCTATTAATTTCAATGTTAATTTATCTCCAATTAGTATATTATCTGGTTTAAGATCTCTATGACACACTCCTCTTGAATGTAATTATTTTATTGATTAAGCTAAATTTAAAGCAATTATTTGAATATCTTCTAAACATAATTTTCCCATTCTCTATTCCAAACTCATATAAGGACAATATTCCATAACTAAGTGATGTTCTTCTTTCTTAGAATTTATAAAAAGATCTAATGCTTTAACTACACAATTTAGATCATTAAGTGTTCGATTTATATGAAATGTCTCCCTGATCGTATTAATTATTTCTGTATCTCCAGTTCTAAAGATCTTAACAGCATAAGTGGTTCTTTCTGATATATTCATATTGTTTTGATCTCGCTTGTAACATTTCTTTACAATCCCATGTGCTCCTTCACCTAATGATAAATATTCATATAACCGATCTGATGATGGCCATATTCATAAATATCACTAAAATGTCTAAATTGTTAATTTGTGCTTTTTGTTTGATAATTTTGTATAGGTGGAGAAGAGTTTTAAGGTGGAAGATTTTATTTCAAATTCCTTCTGTTTTTGTTAAAGAGCGTGTTCTTCAGAGAAGCTCTAATAGTCATCTGATTTTTGCGATTCATTTAAATATAAAAAAAAATAAAATATTTTTTAATGAAAACTTAGATATTAGCAGTTAAAATACAATTATGAAAACAAAAAAAATTGATTTAGAAATATTTAATTATCTGTTAAAATAATAATTGAATTTATTATTCTTAATTTATACAATAATCATTAAATTATTCCATCTTTTAATTATTCTTCGTATTATTTAATTATTCTATAATCTATTTCTTAAAAAATTGGTTATATTTATTTTTGATTACAAGCATTTTTATAATCTGTAAAGGTGTTAAATTATTTCATAAATTAATAATCTTATTGTCTCTTTTATAATAATGGACTTTAATTTAAATTATTAATGTCATCAATTTATTAAAAATTGTTATCTTGAATTAAATCAGAATATTTTTTTACTATTTTATCAAAAATAGGTATGGACTAATAATTGTTAAATGCTTGAATAAGTTATACCTATTTTCAATTTAATTTATACTTAAACTTAATAAGAATCAAATAGTTTTTTCTTAGCGGAATTACAAATAGTATCATTTTTATTTATTGAATTTTCGATAAGTTCAACGATTTCTTATTAGACTAATATCTTATATCCTTACCATAATAAATCTTGAGTTTAAAATGTCTTTAATTATTACATTATGTCCCTACTAAAAAAGCTTATGTTTTAAGTGAAAAAACCAGAGTAAGCCATTTATCCTTAATTATTTAAATATTTTTGTAATAAATGAAACAATTCTATAAAGTCATTTTCTTCATTTTAATTTTTACTTAATTAATGTACATCATTTGTAAGACTTTATATATTATTTTGAGAATTTCTTTGAAAACTTTAATTTATTAAAATTTCATAAAAGAGTAAACTAAATTTATTCTAATGGCATTATTTACAAAGGTAATCATAAAATAGATTAAATTTCAAATAATGATATTTTTTATTTTTAGATCCTAAAAATAAATTATGTATGCAAATTTTAAAATCTTTGAAACTCAATTTTAAGTTTATTAGTAACTATTAATACTATTCCATAAATATTTTAAAACTAGTAACTAATGTAATTTCTTCTAATTCATTCTACTGATATAAAAATCCCAAATTCGGATCCACAGTCACTATACAAAATTTCTTTAATTTATATTTATAAATTTTAGGTTATATCTATTCATTCAAACTTGTAATTTTCTCATACATAGATAGTTTCTTTTCAAATTCAGTTTCATTTATCAAAATACAGAGTGATCTAAATATCTGTTGTTCACTTAATATACCTATTATTGGAGAAAAATAATCCTATATATTTTGATAAAATTCTTCCACTTTTCCTTATCCTTCCTTAAGACCTCCCAAAAGGAAAAATAAGATTCCACTTAGTTGTGTTTTTTTAGATAGAAATATTTAATTAGAACATATATTGCATTTCTTATCATCAAATTACATAATTTCAAGATTGCAGCTTACAGTATGAGGGCAAATAAATCCTTAGCTCATGGAATCAGGTTTACATTTTGAATTTTCAATGAGTGAGATAAACAGACTATATATTTGATCTATCTGTAAAGTTTATAGCTCACTAAAATCAACTAATTTTTACATTTTTTTAATATAAACAATTTATGAAAAATAACATAATAAGTTAAAATCTCATTCTTTTTTACATCTATTTGTACCTGATCCTCAAATTTAATGAACCTTAATTGAAAAAAAATTTTTAATCAAAAATCATTATTAAATCATTGTTATACTTTAAATATAAAATATTATCTTTTTATATTATATACTAAATATTTTTCTATTTGTTAAAATAAGTGGAAATAATTATAAAAATAGAGTTAAATGGAGTCCTATGTTAAATTTGATTATATAATAGTTCAATTTCTTAGAAAGCATAAGTATTAAATTTAATCTAAAAAAATGTCTGATTAATTCATGAATAATTTCATATAAATTATAATCAAAAAGCCTAAAGTCATTTCTTACATCTAGAAAATACATTTATTGATTCTTTTCAAATTCACATAAAGAATGATTCTCCTTTAATTATTCCATCGCTAAAAAATTCAAAGAATATGATGTTAGTTTATAATTTAATAATACTGATAACTAATATCATTAGGGACTTAAATAAAATATTAAAATTCCTGTTTAGTCATAGTTAACAAATATGCCCAAAAGTCTATTGTTTAATTATATTTACACACCAAGGTTATTGAATCCACAAGACTTTTTAATTATTCTCCTAAAATCAATTAATATGAGAATTAATATCCTCATTTTTAGGACTTTTTGATGTAATCAATTTTTATTTGTTATGAATTTTTCTGTTTCCGCTTAAATAAAAAATTCTCTATTCATTAAATTGATTTTATATATATATATTAAGACTTAAAATTATTCATATAATTAGAATGCTTCTAGTTATCAAGTAGCTAAATTTTATATGTGATTGTGAATGATATTTTCATTTTTTTTTATTCTAGGTATCCTTCGTCTATTTATTTTTCAAATATGTTAAGGATACTTAAGTACCCTTTTATGTAGCATTAAATACTCTCGTCCAATAATTAGGTTCATCATCTTTCTTCATCTCGTTTTTGACAGGAACATATATTTCTTTATGAAATATTTTGTGAGTTTCATCATCCACATTGTAGGTTAGATAAAACCCTACACCCATCCCTGCTAATAAGTTTAAAATTGAACTTGCCATTAAAAAAAATTTATTATTAATAATATGAGCAATAAAAGATTAAGCAATTCATCTCAATAATAGCAACAATAAAAAAAACCAAATTTTAATGATTAACCAACTGTAATTCCAACAAAAGAGGATGATAAAAAGAGTTTGAATGGTAGTTAAATAAACGATTCTCAAGATGGAAATTAAAAATAATAACAATCAAAATTTGATCTTCCATAAATTCCTAAATTTTAGAGTCTACCTTTAAGAGATTATTTTGACAATAAATTAAGTGCAATATTATTGGAAGGATTGAAAGAAGTTGGAAGATAGAGGTATTATTTTTGAATTATATAAATTTTAGACCTGAAAATCCGATTAGATTTTTAGGAGAATATTTACTTGAATAGGATAAATAAAAATGAATATTTATTAAGCCATTGACTTTAAAATTATTAAAAAAATATATTTATTATTTCACTTTTTCTTGCTTGTTTTTTTATTATCTTATTTTTATTATTCTTTAGGTTATTCTTTATTGATATCATTTACTTTATTTTATTATTGTTATTATTATTATTGTTATTATTATTATTGTTATTATTATTATTGTTATTATTATTATTGTTATTACTATTCTTACTACTTTTATTATTCTTATTATTTTTATTATTCCTTTTGCTCTTCTAATTTTAATTCTTTTAATATAGATTGATCATTTTAAATTTATTTCTTTGAATCTTTTTTTTAATTCTAAACTGCTCCCTTTTTATTATTTTATTATTATTATTAATTTTATTATTATTGTTATGCAATCTATTCTGTCTCTTATTTCTAAACTTTAATTTCTTATTTAGGTGGAGATGAATGTATATCTTATTACTTTTTTTATCCTTTTGGTGGAGATTAATCAACCTTATCAATTTATTAGTTTTTCAAATCTAAACTCTATTTATCTACACTTTGTCTTTGAACTGGCTCTTAAGATATAGATTAATGTTATAATTCTTTTCTCTTTTATTCTTCTCTAAACATCAATTCGTACTTTGAAACTTCCTCTAAATTCTTTTGTTCTTTGTCCTGCATCTTTTTTAAAAATTTTTCTTATATGAATACTAAATTTACCATGCGCTTCTTTAGCAGCTTATTGAGCTTTATTTTATATATTCTAATTTTTTAATTTATGTTCATATTTCAAAATTGTTTGAGCAGAAAATTCATATACATTTCCAGTTGGTAAACCTTTCTTACATAGTTATCTAAGCAAGTCTAAGTAATAGATATATTTTACATTCATAAGCTTCTTGTAAACCTGAAGCTTGGATTACATTTTATTATTTCTCATTTTGTAATTATTTAGACATGTAATTAATATTATTTAATATAATAGATTTTATTTTGAATTTATTAAAATACATATGTAATTGGTTTTCTTTTTACTAAATAAGGGAATTAAAGAATTGAAGATAAGAAACAAAAACAAATAAATAAAAACAACAAACAATGTTTATTAACATGAAAAATTTTGCATAATTATTTTTCACTATGGATCTCATATTATATATCAAAAGTCTTTTTCCCACCCTTAATCTCCTTAATTTTGTCCATCCATCTATCTAACAGCCTATTCTTACTATAAAATTAGTAATATAAATGCAGATACTTTTATTTCTTCTTCAACCATTTTTCCATTTTATTCTAGAGATTTTATTTCTAACTCTGGTAATAATTTATCTGTAGGTGGTATATAAGGAGTCTTAATTTCTTTTTCTAATAATTTTTCCTAAGATATTATAATTATATACCCAATCAAAGTTTTCAAACCAAGGATTCCCCTTTAAAGAAGCATAAGAACCTCCCAATCTTACTTCAGGAACACGGGAAAGCAATCTAATATAATTAAACTTAATTACTAATCCATCAGTTTTTTTGCCTTTTTATCTTTCAAATAATTTGGATAGGTAATATCTTTTTTAATTATCTCCTCATAAATTTCATAAGGATCTTCTGCCTCTTCTCCAAATGGTACCATTCCACACATAAACTCATATAAACATATACCAATTGACCACAAATCCACTAAACAATTGTACCCCTTACCACAGATTATCTCAGGTGCCATATCTAAATTATAATGTAAATATATTACAATGAGGAGTTCCTATAATTGTATATGTACGAATAATTCCTTATTTTCCTTTAATAATTTTAGCAGTTCCTAAATCTATTAATTTAAGAAATCCTTTATCATCAACCATAAAGTTCTCTGGTTTGATATCTCTATAAATAATATTTTAGTGATGTAAGTATTCAGTTATCAAAATCATGGATGCCACATAAAATTGGGAATCATAAGTAGATAACAAACCTATCAAATAAATACAACAATATACCAATATCTCTTATTACATCAAATAATTCCATTCCTCGAACATATTCTAAAAGAAAATAGACATCTAAGGCATCTTTGAATGTTTTCATGAAGGATATAATAAATGGGAAATTGACTATTTCTAGTACTTGTTTCTCTTATTGTAGGTACATAAAAATAACATTAAATATTACTTTTCTAAAGTTTATTCATTAATTTGATTCTTATTAAATGCTTTCAAAACATATAATTATTGATTATATTTTGCTTTAACTAAATAAACTGGACCAAATTGACCATATGCAATTGTTTTAATATGGAGCAATTCAGACTTCTTAATATTTTATGCTTCTTTCTTTTTTGTTTGATCAGACTTCTATAACTTCTTTTCTAAAATTTTTTCATTTTTTTTAATCACTTCCTCTAGCTCTCCTCCAATACAATCTATAAAATTATCTGCTGTTATTTCAGCGATAACTCCATCAGTTTCCATAACAATATCATCATCTAGTCTATTATTAGAATAATATATTATTTTACATTTTTGCTTTATTTGTCTATAAAAAATATTCTTCACCCCATGCTTAAGCTTTAGTAGCGACAGTTATACCAGATTTACTCTTTTTTAAACTACCTTCAATAATAACAATAATTTTTTAGTTGGCTTATGTTCCTTTTTTCAAAATAACATCTCCTGCTTTACAAGATGAAATTTTCATCACATCCAACACCTTGTCTATTTATGCTTTAGTTAATTTGCTCAATAATGCATTCTTTTCAAAAGCCCACTTTTATAGATTTCTAAATGTAACAACATGAACTTAATCACCAAGTATTTTTGTGAGAGAATCTCTTCCCAAAGCTAAACACTTGACATCATCTTCAGCTCTAACAGTCATTTGTCTGACAGTATTATAATATAAGGCTTATTCACCAAATGAATCACCTTTGTATAATTTTCTTACTTCTTTGTTACCCTTCAATACAGAAACAGTTCCCTTTTAAAATTTGATGTTTAATTCATACTTCTTTAATTATATAGAATGATGATCCAGGATCTCCTTCATTTACAATAATTTGATTTTTATAGAACTTTTATACTATTAAAACAGCTGCAATTGCATCCTTTTATTCATTTGTCAAATTGTCTAATGTTATATAAAATGGATTTACGAAAAAATCTAACAACTTCCATAAATTTTCTATTTTCTTCATATTCTTTAGTGATCATTTCTTCAACAGCCCTTCTAAAAGTATTTCGATCAATTCCCCAAAGATTACAATTTTCAAAACATTTTACAGATGCAGAACGAGGAGCATTATATAATAGAGCTAATTCTCCAAATCCATCTCCTGTTTTCAATTCTCTTTTTGCCTAATTTTTTCAATTTCATTAATTTACTTTTTCATTTACAATTACTTCTAAGCTACCTCTTTATAATATAAAAAAACAAGTAGCATGATCTTATTATTTAAATATATATGTTCCTGCTGCTGCTTCACAATAAAACATTTTGTTAACTATGTTCTCTCTATATAACATAAATCATATATTATTACAATTCTGCTTCACTTAAATTGTAAAATACAAAATGATTTTTTAAACAAGTTAAAATAAAAGTAGTGTCATTTAGTGTTTTTTTCATATCTATTCTTTTAACATTCTCATGTATTACTTCACCACCCTCATTTATATTGTGTTTAAAATTTTAGAGTTTATCCTAAAACCCTATAAATAAATACATTTTCATCTCCTCCAGAACGTTAGTCCTCTTCTCCATCACAATGTATTTAATTATCAGAATTATTCTATGATTTTGGATCCATTAAATATAATTTAATATTTATATTTATAAAATTTAAGAATTTAGTTTTTTAATTACCTTTAATCCAAAAACTATACTAAATTCTGTAATTTTACTATTTAAAGCTTGGATTATTAAATAAACAATTAAAACAATAATTGTTTATTTGTTAAATACATGTTTAATTTCTTACTTAATATCCAAAACTTCATTAATCTTACTTAATTTTAGCAGTTAAAAGATTTTTCTAAATAGTTCTTTATATATTTTAATATATGTAGTATTATTTAATTATATATTATTTTTATATCTAAAATTAATTACATAATTTAGAGATCTAATTCACATTAATTTAGTAATAATCTCAAAATTTCCTTTATATTTGCTCAATTTATATATTTTTCTAAGTGAAATATCATTTTTAATCTAGAAAAAGGAGAAAGAGAATATTTACAGAAAATTAAATTAGTTCCTAGAAATTCTGAAGAATTATTTTAAAGGAAGTTTTAATTTCTTAATTTTTGAGCAAGCAAAAAAAAAATTAGATGTAGACTAAACTAATTGTCATATACGGCTACATTCTCTAACAGGTTTTTTTCAGGTACTCATGAATCATTTAGGTTAATACAATTATGAATATAAGATTATATGATTTTAGAATATATATATATTACTATCATTCTAGTTTAAATGATAGTATAAAAGTTTCAAAGCCATTTAAAGTCATCCCTCCATGATTTTTTAAGTAATCTTTTATCTTCAAAATTCTCTATTATAGTTTTTGAATTAAGGGATTGAATTATGACAATCTAATTAGAAGAAAACCTTGTTTCAAAATTCTCTGAAGGTTCTTCATCTACAGTATCATCAAGGGTTTATTTTTTCAATTCACTCAAAGGATTTGAAAAGTAGTACTTTTAGTAAATAACAAATCGATTCATTAATATAAATTAATTAGTTGATGAAATTAAATTAGAAAATTAAAAACTCTCTTTAATTATATGAGTTTGTCATGTGTTATTAAAATAATAATAATAATTAATGGAATTTCATTCAAAGAAATTGGAGGGGCAATCAAATAAATAACTAAGTAATAATTTATTAAGGTAATATAAAAATCAATAATTTGAGGATAAACTTTATAAAATTTATTTTGAATATGAATTACTGAATCCATTAAATATATAGATAGATGATATATCTGTAAAATAGTCATTGTCAGAATGCTTAAATAAGATTCAAGATGTAAATATATGTATTAAATAGATTACAAGTTTAAGAAATTTGGTTTGAAATCTGTAGGCTTATAATTTAAAGGTGAATTACTATATTCTCAAAATTAAAAATTGGCATTTTCTTTAAAAGTACATTGAATTTAAATACTAAAAAAATGTTTCAACAAATCCAGCAAATATTAAAATAATGGATTCCTTTAATATTAGAAGAATTAAGTTACAAACAAATATAAGATTCACTTAGGTGACTGAATAAATATCAAAAATACCTTAGAGAGGAAAGTAAAAATTATGAAAACTTAAATCTCTTAATAATGATTAAATATTAAGTCAATAATAATTGAAGGAAGTAACCAATCAAAAGGAGATTAATTAATAGTTTTTCTAAGCATAAACATAATCAAGTGAATGTGTTTAAAACAATTAATCTCAAATATTATAAGGGGACTTATTGATATTTATTTAGCAGACTCAAAAATAACAATTTAAGGTTTAAAAACTATATGAATAGAATTTATATTAAGTTAATTTTGAATGATAAATTAGAATCATCAAATGTAAGATTATCTTAAGAATTGCATCCTGCATATTATTTGGACAAAAGATTACTAATAAAGCATTTAAGGAAAATGATTTAGTATTATAAAATGATGTAGATTATGAATTCAATAAAGAATAAGAAATAATTTATGTAAATCTATATTTTTCAGAGTTGTAAATTGATTAAATTAAAGTTCTAGAGATTAAATAAATAGTAAATCTAGATTAGCCAAAATAACAATAATAATAGATAATAAAAGAAAAGAAATCTAAAAAAGAAGTAGTTGGCCAATAAAATTAACAATAATAACCAGAAATAAAAGGGAGATTGAAATAAGAATATTTCATAATTTTGACAATCTTAAGATTAATGAATACAATATATTTGAAGATATTATTTTGAATATTTATGTAATATGTTATTTTCAATAATCAACATTTAATGTCATGGCTACTCCCTAAAGTATCCAATGGCTAGTATGTTCTTGAGTTCTTAAATCAGCTTCAAAAACAAGGCCTACTCCCATAGCATTACGTCTTGATTAAGTAACATATACTGGTGTAGCTAAAGTATCTAAAAAATATAATAAGTATAAATTACCTTTTAATTTTAATTTATTTGCTTCAACAGGGATAACTTGAATTAGAGGCATCTCATAAATCAATTCTTTTGGATTCTATTTTTTAAGACAATTATTTTCAACATCCCATCTTGCTCCTTCCAAGTATAAACCTTCAATATAGCATCCAAATTCCATTCTTTGATTAATATCTTTAGCCTTGAATTTTTTTGTGACTTAAGTATATAGTCTACTTTTATCGAGAGCCCATGTTTTGGCTCTGCATGTAGTTTGAATCAAAGCAGTGAGATAACTTTCTGGAATATGAAGACCAGACAACCACATAACATACGGTTCTTCTTTGCTTGCCCATTATGTATATTATAAAACTCTTCTCTTGAAATGATTCATCCAAGATCCTAGTTTCTTCTCTGTTTATGGTGCAAGTCTTCTCCACATACCAGGTAAGAATCCATTAAATAAGGCTAATGACAATTCATCTAGATCACTACTCATACCAATCTCACCTTTTAAGGCACGTTTAAGATTAAAAAGTGATTCATTTATTTTTATTATTAATTTGTTGAATCTTTCAAGTTCTTAGAACAAGACAACTTATGTTGGAGAGATGATTTCTCCTGCTTCTTTTCTTAAAGCAATGACATCCCAAATGGCAGGTAATTTAGATAAGACATCTTCACTCACATCATTAACATATTTATCTTTGTCTACACCTCCTGAAACTGCACCTCCAGATGCTCTTAATTATAATAGATTATCCCAAATAGACTTTGCACTATTTGTGAAATAAGTGATTTCTGCATTTGGATGTAAACCAAAGACAACTGGAGAGTTGATAAGAGGTAAATGATCAATCATAGTTTGGAACCCTTCATGATTAAGTATTTTAGGTATTTCATATTTGAAATCTTCACTCTAAGCGAAGAGGAACTCTCTATTTTTATCAAAGAGGAAATCTCCCATGTATTCATCTAAATATGTAATCAATACTCTTCTATCATATGAATCTGTCACTCTACCTCCATACATAGCTTCTCCAATAAGATATTTAAGTGAATTCCAAGGGATTGTTTCATCTTTAGCATCATAAGCCTTCCTCAAATACATTGATAATAAACTGCTACTAATATTGAAATCTGATTCATTAAAATCATAACTAACATTCCATCCAATTTTACCATACTTTCTTCTATCCAAAATAATAGAATGGAAGAATGAAACTACATAAACTAATGTTTTATAAGCTACATGAGGACAAGAATTCAATGAATTTTCATCTATTTTACTCATGATAGCTTTCATATTTAATTTCAATCCATCAGGTGGTTCTGTGACTACTTTAAGTGACTTTTGTAAAATACCCAAAGGAAATCTGTCTGTAGGTTATGTTGTTAACCATAATCTAAAATCTTTATGTGGTTTTTGCATTAATTCCAAAGTCTTTTCTAAATAACTCTTCAACCATCCTGTTAATAAATGACAATTGGCTAACATTAACCAATGTCCTCTCTATGATGCAGCTTCAACAAATTATGATGCTTCTTATTCACTACCTTATCCAAGAGATAGATTTCTGAATTTAGCTCCTGTGAATCCTTTTGAGTCACCCAACTTTATTACATCTGGTAATGGATCAGCTCCTGGTGAGAGAATAAATACAATAGGTGATTTTTCATTAGATTAATCGAATATTTTTTCATAATTAATAATTGGTGGTTGTACATAATTGGAATTTCCATAAATGTCTTGAATATATTTTTTTACTCCATTAATTACACGATCAGGTCTGAAGACTCTTAATAACAATAAGATTTAGAATGAATTTAATTTAGTATATCCTTCTGGTAATGTTTCTAATTCTGGTCTTTCATGATCATACCATTTCTTCCATTCTTTACCATGCTTTTCTAAATCATCTGCTAATAATCTATAGGTATCAGCCAATTACATTAATCTCATAATATCTTTCCAACCTGAATCGGGTACCCATTCATAAGGTTTTTATCTCTAAACTTATTCAAGTGAAGTATTTCCTTTTAAGAAGAAATCTAATTCCTCATGATTTAATAATTTTTCACCATCTTATATCATAATAGTCATTTAGAAGGCAAACATCAATTTATGAATTTCAAATATACCCAAACAAGTATAATCATAAACATTACTTGTTAATTTATCAATAATATTTCTCAATCTTGATTCTAAGATAGTATCTTTTCTAGCATCTCTTAAAGATTGATTGAATACTTATAAATATGCACTTAATGAGTATTCATACATTTCAGAAATTGAACTTAATGAACTCATTGCAAAGAATAATATAGCTCCTCTTTTAGCTACTGTTGTATAACTTTATCTTGCTTATTCAATTTCTTAACTTGTAATTTACCCATCATTAATTGCTTATTAAATCTCTTCTGATTTTGCTTTTGTTTAATCTAATGTATTTATCAACTACACATTATCTAACAATGAACCTTAAGCTTCTGACAATCTTTATAATAAATCATCTTCTGCTTCTTTCAACTTTTTCTTATTTTCACTCATACTCTAAATTAGTTCTAATCTTTATTTCTCTTTATCTGGTCTTTCGAATGAAACAACTACATTTAATAATTAATCTCTCAATCCAGTTAATGTGACTGTATAATTAATAACCATAGTCTTTGACATAATCTCTGGTGTATATTTAGGATTAGCTAATTTGGTTGTGAAATACAATCTAAAATCATCATTATAGTCAATAATATTTTCACCCAATTTGATACTCTTCATGCCTGCCTTGATAATGAAATTCTTTTCTAAAATTGGATCTATGGTTGGATCTAATTCTTCATCTACATTTTCAAATAAAAATGGTTTGCCAAATCTGATGCAATTTTCTAAAGGTTTCAAAAATACACCTGCTCCTTCATTTAAATTCAAAACTTTGAAAGCTATGTCTTTTTCTTCCCTTTTTTTAATCCAATTAACTGCCTATAATTGTGGATCAATACACAAAGGCCATCTTGAAGCTCTAGTTGTGAGTATACCATTTTAAACTGATAATTCATCAGATGGTAATCCTTCAGAATTCCATTAAGATATTTCTACTGCACTACTTAATAGATCTTCAAATTTAAATTCTGGATTCATTGGCAATTCCTTTTCCTTAATATCAACCATCCAATGATCATAAAGCATTCTTCTTCTAAATGAATAGTCAAATGGTCCTACGTAACTTAAGAAAGAACTGGCAATTAAACAATCTCCAATTAATTATAATGTCATCTATGCTAATTTACCAGTGTCTTCTGTCCATCTTTTCTTCTCACCTCCTAAACCTTCAATCAATTTCTTTGCAGCATTCAATTTCTTTTCCATTTCCTATGCTTGAGCTGTCAATTCAGCTAATCTTGCAGCTTTTTGATCACTCTAAACTTATAATTCAGACACTTCCTTTTATAATGCTGCCAATTTTATAGCAGTATTTGTTAAATCTTTTTCTGTCTCTTCCTTCTACTTGTTCATCTACTCTAAACGTTATTTAAGTGGTTCCACTTTCTTATATACATCATAGAAATTAACTGTAGCTGATACCCATTTATATAGACCACCTGCAGCTTTTGAAATTTTTGATATTTCATCTAAACGATTTTCTGGATCTTTCATAGCACTTTTAATCTTTTCAATTTAATTTCTAGTCACTTTTCCAATCTTGTTACCATAATTCTATAATTATTCCAATAATTTCATTGGATTATTCATCATTTATCTAGCAGCATTCCAACCATCTCCTTCAATACCATCTATTGGTTTAAATATAAGTAACATAGATGCAACAGCTCCAACTGGTTTAGGTGGTGAATTCAATGCTTTCAATTCAACCAACTCTTTTGAATCAATCTTACTAAGAGCCTCTTTAGCTTCCTCTAAAATAGGAATGGCATCTTTAAGAATTTAATCAGCTTCCTATTGTTTCTAATTGATTTCTACACTGTCCTTCTCTAATTGTTTTTTCTTTTATGAAGCTTCTTCATTATCCCTTGTAGCAATCTCCTTTTTACCATTAATAATTTTTAGTAAATCCTCAACTTCTCTACTTTCATTAGTCACTTCTACTTTCTTAATCTCTAATTCCCCTTGTAAAACTTTCACTTATTCAGATGCTTCATCCAACTTTAAAACACCATTTGTATATCTCACTATAAGTTCTTAATATTTCTTTCTATTAACAGCCAATAAACGTTTGTAATTTTATAGGAAATCTAAATAGTTTTTGGGTGTGCTGAAATTCTTTCTTCTTAATTATAATTCAAAATCTCTTGAAAACATTTAGATACTCTCATGAACTTTGGTGATATGTTAAATAATCTTAGGTCTGAAAGTTTCATCTTCTAAGTTTTCATCCTTTAAATACTCAGTAGCCACACTTACCAAAGCTTCTTCAGGCCAAGGGAAGAACCAATTAATTTAAGTATTACTAACTAAGCCTGGGAAATTACGACATCTAATTCTCAAAGTATCTCCAGCTGGACTCATACACAAAACAATGTGCATATTGTCTCTAATTTTTTCAAGGAAATAATTCCATAATTCATCTTTTGTTTCTAAAATACCTTTTCTTTTTGCTTCATCTCTCACTTTATCACTCATTTTCTTTTTGCCATCTTCATCAAAAAGAGCTGGTACCATTCCTATTGTAAGCATATTATTTATCAATTCTAAGAAACCTTCTTCTAATACATGAGCATCAGTAAACAAGAAAATTGTAGGTTTCTATGTCAAAAGATCATATAAAGTCTTTAAGTCTTCTCTAAATTCTTTTTCTTTATATCCTCTT